CAGGAGCTTTGCTGGGTTCGTCAACTTTTTTAAAAAGATTTTACATTTTAAAACTTAAAACTTTAAAACCTCAAAGATTCTACATTTTAAAACTTAAGAAAAAGAAAAAACCTGTAATTGATACTACATCTTATACGGCTTTTTCATGACCTAGGTAATTATTTCTTTCGTCCGAGATATTTTATGATCCCATTAGAGGACAACGACACTTATCCCTTATAAAATATCTGGAAGTTCATGACTCAATTTTTCACTTCAAACGTCAGGAAAATAAGGAAATTTCACGATGCTTATTAAGATTACAATAATAATTCCGAAAATTTCACAAACTTTTGTTCTCAGTCTAACCTAAGAATTTTCACTCCATACTTTTGTGGTTTGAAATTGAAATCACTTCCTTTAAATTAATTTCAAATTAACTGTAGCCCATCGAACTATTCTTTGAATGGCGTTTAGTTACAGTTAAAGTGGTAGTAAAATTTCATCCTCTCTTAGGAATCAAGCTATTGAAACAGCTTCAATCATGTCACACTATTTTTCGCCCTGCAACAATCAGCGTTCAATTTTCCAATTTATCGAAAAATGAATATTGAAGTATTTTCTCGTCTTTTCTTCCTTTCATTATTATCCTATCTGGCCTATTTATAAATTCTTATAGTAAAATTTAAGTTCCTAATCCACCTATAAGAATTTGTGAAATCTTAAGACCTTTTGAAGGATGAAAATGCCTTAAAATAAAAGAAACAAGATGCTGGAATTCTAAAAATCTGCTGTGTAAAATTTATAAGATTGGAAAACGCTATTTTTATGCTGCTGCCCTCAGAATATTTCGATAATGAATAGCTGGACAGTTGTTTATACATGTATAAAACGGCAGGAAAAAAAAAAGAAAAGTGATGTAACTTCACTACAAAATGATCAGCTGGGAATTGATCATTTTAGGTTTACAAATAGAAATATCTTCTGTAAAACTTTCGTCTGAAAGAGAGAAGACGGCTAACTGTTCGTATTGCTGGAAAGACAAGAGGAACAGATAAAAAATGCACAAACACTCCAGCAATTAATGGAAAAATGTTGTTTTCTCAATATTCCCTACTGAGCGAATTCGTCAATCAGAATTTAAGGCCTTCAATTTTTCAGATAAGGTTGGGAATTTGGTAATAAAGTAGGGAAATCAATCAGTCACTTTTTTTCTGATAGTAGTTTAGATGACAACGGAAATGAGAAAGGGATACTCGGAAGATTGGTAATTGTTAACAAAACGGCTACTTTATTACTGATATTGTGACAATTACAAGTGCTCATTTTACTACATGCTGCTATGAGTATTTCGATTTTGATATCAAACTGAAGCTAGAAAAATGTCTAGATTTCGAGAAAATATGCAAAAGCTAAATTCGATCATTGCTGTAGCTAATAAACATTAGAAACATAATCCCGACTAATCAGTCTGAAATGTCTATTTACGTAATTTCCCTCCAAAAGAAATGAAATTAGAGCTATCCAGTAAGCAGAAATACGGTCTAGTTCGAAGAATTTGATGAAATCTAATTTGTTCCTAACTAAATGAAAACACTTAAATAGTTCCAAGAATTAGTTTTAGAATTTAAAATTTGTGAGAGGAGCTGTTTCTATAATATATTTCAAGGCCAATAGGATTCTTTCATTATGTCCGGTGCAAAAAATTTTTGTTAGAATTCACTTCCTGATATTCACATCCCAAATCTCAAGTCTTTTCCTCCCCATCTCATCTTCTACCTTCCCAACAGTGACAAGTACAGATGGATTCAGAAGTTTTCCTGCATAGCTTTGCAAATTTTTTAGAAAATGCAATGGGTATAAAGTTATTAAAAAATAACGAAAGTGGAATGATCGGTCGATATATTGTACGATTACTTATATACAAAAAAATATTCTTTCAAACGAATTGTAACGGGTTGAAAAAGTATTCTCTAGTTACGAAGTTTATTTGTTTTTAAAGGATTACAAAGTAAAAAGAGAGAGAGACAGTAGAAAGAGAACAAAACACAGTTCTTTTTTCTATAGGACAGCATCAAATGATACAAGAAATGCAACAATTCACACGTGAAATAAATGAGCTTTATGTGAAGGATTATTATGTACTTGTTCAGTCTATCTATGTCCACTCTTTTCCCTTTTCTAGTTATCTTTAGTGGTTAGCTTGTCCGTATAAAACTTAACCACGGCAGCCTAAAATTAGTATCAGGTTAATCAGCTTGAAAACTCTTAGGACAATCATTCCCACAGCAACGCAAGCAGCGAAATCGAATCTCTAGCCACTTTTGTATTTCCATAATAACTAAAAATATATGGTGATCAAGCGTCATTGTGAATGACTTCGAAGTATCGTATTTCCCATGTAGAAATATTCTTCTGTCCTACAATATGATCCCATCATCTGGAGATGCTCAATGAATGGCGGATAATAATGCTTACAATCATGCTTGCTCTGTTAATTGCTTGCAAATGAGAAGGCTTACTGTCTTCAGTATTACAACTCATCCTTGCATTCAGTTCATCGTTAACAGCATTTAGTTTAAGATTGATTTCGCCAATCACCTGCAATAAAAGGGACACGTTATAGCAGATGAAAACAATTACCAATAACTAAAATCTGTTTGTTGGCTGAACAAATTGATACTTCGTTCACATCATAAATTTATTGATTGAATTCACCTCTTTGATAGCGTCAAACATGGAACGCGAAACGGACACTCAGTGACAATATATGTTAGGAGACGGGCCACCTCAACAATCTCATTTTTCTATCCGTCGATTCAAGCTTGAAAATTTGCTAAAAATTATGAAATAACATTTTTGAAAAATGAGTCACTTCATAGACAAAAAGGGGCAATCAATTTAATTCTTAATAGATTGATATTTTCAGTTAGACGAACTGGACGATCAGCAACCGAGCAAGTTTATAACATACATCATACTACCTTTGTATAATAAGGAAATTCCAGCTCATAGGATTTAACGCGCAAGTAGCCAGAAAGCATAAAAGCCGCAGAACAGTAACTGCAGAACTGGTAGATGTAAAAAACACCTAAGAACAATCTAAAAGGCAGTACAGTAGTAAAATTTAATGGTAATGTAATAGAATTAAGTAGTAGGGTATTAAAAGAAAAAAGAAATACGTTGAATCAGTTGCACTCTTTATTTAATTTCTAGGATAAGGATGACACAAGGGACTGAGGACTAGGTTCAGGTTTGAGACACTGTCATCTTTGCAATGAGCGATAGCTATAATATTGAAAAAGGCTTAGAAGATGAGATCAAAAAGTGGGTCACAAAGGTTGTTGGGAATGCAATGCTGTTTGAACGCAATGAATAGTTGATTGCATGTTTGAGCGCTGTTGGATGTATCACCCCAACAACTAGGACTTATGGAGAGGGTTTCGTGGAAAAGGGAGAGAGGGAGTGGCTAAGGGATTGCATGGAAGCGGAAAGAGGCTTTCCCTTGATGGAAATGTGTGGCTTAGAGGCCAGAAACAGTGGCGCAACTCTATCCCTCTGTGCATCTTTCTGTCGCAAGCCTAGTGGTGCTTGTCATTACTCCCTCTTGTCATGCCTTTGTTGACTGGAGAACATGCCCTATTGATTACTGCTACTGCAATCTGCGACATCTTAGAAAAAGTGTTGAGTGTGAATGTACACAGGGTGACTATAGGCTTACCACTCTTCCTTCAGGGCCATTCCGTAATGCTCCGATCTTTGTAGTACTGCTTCAATCGGCACAGTGCTGACAATTAGTAAGCTGCTTCCACTGCTATACTTCTTCATTTTTGAAACTGACTGGATGATAAAGACATTTGAGTATGCAGGATTGCATTTACTGCCCTGAACTCCATCTGTGATCAGAACAAGCTCATGTTGTCGCTATTTTTACCTTACTTTACCTTTTACTCTGTAGGTGCGACTGCCTCAAAGTAAGCTATTTGAAGTGCAGATCATTAGTGCATAGTTAATCAGTTATTAACAATGCACAAATCATCCCGTTCGGAATGATCATATTCTCGACCTATTATCTTTTGTTGATTTGATAAAATACTACTAGTCATGGCAGCAGAAAGCATCTGGTTACCGAATTTGATTATATATTTGCATCTTCAATTCTGCTTAACACAAAGGTTTTTAAGTTTCGCTTCTAATAAACTCTTTTAATAAAATATCATTATATTCATTTCGAAAACACTGCCATACTTTGGTTCATCAGTTACATGTCTGCTTTGCAATCTGTCATCTGGCTTATCTAGTTTGTCAGAATTCTAGCGAGGATTGAGTATTTACTTTTATAGTAAACATTTCTGTGGTTTAAAAAGGATCGATTAAATTATGGACTTTGATGAATACCGTTCTGGCTATTGGTAGTGGAAATGAATGCTTACCGATTATAAATGTTAAATTTCATGAATCATATGATAATTTATCGCAGGAGTATGAGAGTATCAGGAAGTACTGATATATGTTTACTTTTACTCTGAAGGAAGTTCCTGGGCACTGTACATCAAACAAATTTCCGGTAGGACTATCCATTCCATCTAGACAACAAAAAATTGGGAATTATGCTCATGAGTTTTTTTCTTCAGTAAAATATCCTTAAGTTTTGAAATCAGTCATGCTTTGTTTGTTTATTCGAAGTTATGGAAATATAAAAGGGAAGAAATTTTTGTAACGTTTTTTCACACAAGAACTTTTGTGATAGTAACTAATTCAGCAAGAAAATAACATGGCAATCCATTTTGCTAAATTTACTTTTTTTTTATTTCGTCCTGAAACTTCTCAAACATTTGCAAATGAAAATTTTTGGGCTTTTCATGTGCATTTCATTAATAACTCATCAAATTGAGAAATCATCAACATGGTTCCACACTTGTTTCTAGTATTCGGCATTTTTTGAATACCATGAATTAAATTCGCTTTTGTTAAAGGGCCAACATTATAATTATTTTCTAATTCACATTGATTAGAGCACTATGCCGGATGCAAATGATATTTTTACGATAAACATAAAAGTACCATTGACTGATGATGAGGCCACTAAGGAAGGAGCATTACTCGTATTGAAGGAAATCAAACCAACATGGAAACGTGAACTGATTTCATTCAAAGTTAGTGTTTATTTCTAAGTTTTCGAATTTCTAAAAGAAACTTCGAGAAACTTCATTTTAAGAACGTAATACGATACAAATATAAATTTAGGCTTTCACAGTTGGGATAACGAATAAAATCCTATGTGCAACGTACAGTCCAGCAAATGGTACCACACACAAGGAGCGACTACTGTTCAGAATTTACGGGAATAATACGGATAAAATTATTGACAGGTATTAAAGCTGAAAATCCTCAAGTTAGGATTTTGGATGTTAAAAAAAGTGGTATCATTACTAGGCGGTATTATTACTGACAGCTAGATCTATCTAATCGACTTAACAGTTTTGGTTTAGTAGCCATTCCTTTTTATGATCTTATTTTTTCGAAAAATAGTATGAACTGATTCATGACTTTTGCAATAGATTTATTCTACTATAATGAGAATACATAATTTGAGGTTAAAACTAGATAGTCTTAAATAAAAACTTCTTTGCTATTAGGAATTTAATTCAAGGAATAAGGAATTCAACAACTGGTTATACTTGGCATCACATGGATGTGCTGCTCAAATATATGCAAGGTTTTCCGGAGGGATTGTAAGCGGTTTTCTTCCTGGAAATACGCTTACTGTTGACAACGTACGCAATGATACGATTGTTGCGTATGTTATTTACGTGACTTTTCACTTTTCCTTTTTATTAAATAGCAATTGTTACAATGGCATATATAATAGCTATGTTCATATTCAAATTAGCAGTCTTACTAGCTTAAATTTCTCTCTAATATCAAATATACATTTTTTTTTGAATTTTAAGTTTTTTTTTTTTTTTGAATAGGTATTCAAAAGTGGGGAGATAAGAGTTGAGCTATCATGTTTATCTGTAAGTCTATCTCAAGTTTTGCTGGACGGTAAGCTGAAAAGAGAAACAACAATTTATCCTAGATTGTAATTTAAAATTCTAAATATATACAAATACATACTTTTTTCTTAAATATATGATAGAACTATTTAAATATATAAATACGTATTTTTCTTAAAATATTATAGAACTGCACTGAGACAAACAAACAATTTGAAACTTTTATTGATACTCCTTGATTCGCAATAATGGATATTCTTCTCCTAGAACCAAAACTATTCGATTTCCCACAACAATGATACTTTCAGGAATACTTGTAAATCACTTTCAAGATTGCACAAATTAAAACCGAACACTGGGGATGAGGCAAAACCAACACTGTTTATCAAAATCAGACAGTTTTTGGCAAATTTCTCCGCTCATTATGAGGTCATTTTGCAGTTACTCTCAATGCTTGGCTAATTTATTAATTAATTTGGGATAAGAATTGAACAAAGACACTGATTTTTACTTCATCTATTTCTCAGAGTAAGCGAAAGCAAGAAAGATATGATAAATTCTTCAAACAGCGAGAGATTTCCTTCTTGCATGACTTGCACCGTCTACGAGACATTATTCAACGACGGCAATCTAAAGTTGTTTTTTGCCATAACGACCTTTTAATCCATAACATTATTCATGATGACAAAACAGGTTCACTTTTTTAATTTTCATGGATAAATCTAAAGTAAAGCTACAAAACGCCTCCATAATTAATTAAAATGTTTTACGTAATAAGTAGTAACTGTTCTGTTGCAGTAATTAGACTTTTCTGATTGATCACAAATATATCCTTGAAATTATATGAAAGTGAACGACTGCAGCAGTTCGATATTTTCTACTCAAGCTGTATTTTAATAAGCTTTAGTACTTTTTGAAAATAAATCAATTTATTTTTTCGCTCTTTCTGCTCACAATTTAGATATGTTGCCATTTCTTAAACTACTTTAAAATTCATTCTCCACTTCAGATTCAATAAGTTTTATTGATTATGAGTATGCTGATTACAATTATCAGGACTTCGATATAGCTAATCACTTTTGCGAATATGCTGGTCAGTTTATGATCCTACTTACGTAGCTTGGAATCAGATCAAATGGTGAGAAAAAGCAACAACCGGCTCAATTAGCTGACGGCGGAAACACATGAGTGCGTTTCCAAAGCATATGAAACTATTTTAGCTGGACGTTGAACATTTACTCCAGAAGAATTTTTATTCGTTTATTTATTTATTTAATTAATTTATTATTATTATTGTCGTTACCTTTATTATATTATCGTCATTGTTGTTATTTAATTAATTAATGTATACATATATACTTATTTTTTTTTACTTTATTCGTTTATTTAACCAATTTATTAATCAGTGTGTCTTTATACTTCACAAAAATAATATTTGATATTAAAATCAAATGCATATTATTATTGAGAGCTTTGAAGTGGCAGGAAAGTTGCTATATGTATGTTTAATTAATGTTCAACACAAGACAATACCTTAAGATGTTTTCGATTTAAAGGTGTGGAGGATTTTAATTATTCTCGATGTCCTGATAAGGAATATAAACGCGAATGGATAACGAAATATTTGATATATTATCTAGAAAGGAAACCAACGAAAGATGAAGTAGACAATCTCCTAGATGGAAACAATATTTTTGAAGCGGTATTTTTAGACTAATGTTTTATTTATGAATTAATAATAGGATGTTCTTTTAAGGACTGAGAATAAACTGAATTCTACGAAGCAAAATTTGGTGAAATATTTCAGGCCGCTCATTTCTTTTGGGCTCTTTGGGCCTTGGTGCAGTCTCAAATTTCAACCATTGATTTTGACTATCTAGAGTAAGTTTTGTAAATTGAATTAATATTTCCTTTTTATATTCTTTGTGAAGCAAGCTTCGGGAGTTGAAGACTGTGAGGATCGAGATATCAGAGTAACTCTCGACTAGAGGAAATACATTCACATTTACTTTTCATTAACTTTATTGTTATTTTTAGTTATGCAGTTCAAAGGTACGAACTCTTCCAGAAATGTATGCTTAAATGTGATTAAAGGTAGTAACTTTGCAACGTTTTTTTTTTGAATGACGGATCATTTTTTTTATTTGGATTTCATCCAAAAATTCTCAACCAGTATATTCTGATTACTAAATAGATTTAATCCATGCAGATTTGGCACTTGAATGTTTCTTTTCACCTGTTTACTATCTTGTCTACTGTTATAATGAATAATAGCGTTTGAAGATCTGAATAATATTACATACGAAAGCAATCTATATTCAGTGGTTTCCATCATGCTTACATGAAGTATATATATATATATATATATATATATATATATATATATATATATTAAAAGGAAAATGGACAACATCTGTTACTTTCAAGGATTATCTGCCGAAATAAATTATCATAGAGTAAACAAGAAAGGAAAAAAGGGGGAGATGACTAAATATAATAAATGTCAGATCGAAAACAATTTATATAATAACAATAGTGCGATAAACATGCGAGAGCATTTGTAACATAGTTTATTAGATATAATGATTAAAAGATTCACGATTTTCGAAGTTGGCGATATATTGATGACTTGAACTTTCATTCCTTTATGAAAATGTAACATGGACAATTTTTATGTTAGTTAAATGAATATAATGTAGACAATATAAAGAATTGTTAATAGACTGCCGTGATTATAGAATTACTAAAATTCTAAGTCACGACGTAACATTAAGTGTGTTAATTTTCTGGAAGATCAAATCACTAGGCTTAATCAGCTCAGTGAACTCGTTATTTTACATTGTCGTATTCAGCGGTAACATTGTTAAATCAACCACAATACACCAAAATAACTTCACCTTCAAAGCATTGAGACCAAAACGATGAGTGATTTGAACTAGTTTCATTTGCTCTAACAATGAATGAATATTCAGCATCTTAAGTTGCTTATAATTTAAAAAATGTTTCTTTTAAAGTTATTTTTGCAGCTTCACGGAATGATTTCCAAATAGTTGCTTAAAAAGGTGAATAGGAATTTCTATTTTAAGCATTTTCCTAATTTTTATTATGATACTAAGTATTATATTTCTTTGCTCGTCGAATAAAGCGAACATGGAAGGTTTCACATAAGATATTATCAAGACACATTCGCTTGCTGCACCTAAATTGGAAGACACTAGATGTGTTCGTCGAAGCAATACGATGCACATCGAATATTTTGTTCACCTCAAAACGTACTCATAAAGCTTTAGCAATCAGAATAGTTTATTGCATAAAACTGAAGGAGTGACTGGTTCTTTTTCTACGTATATGTATGTGAAATATGCTTTTGACCAGTAAAGTAATATAGAAGAGTTAACACAGTACAAATCAATAATTATCGATTTTCAGTTGTTGCTGGTCTGGTTCTCCAAATTAACTGATTTTATCACTGTTGTAGTGTATGAGCACATATATGTTGATAAAGTGAACTCATTATTGCAAGCATTTGCTGCAGTTTTTTGGTTGTAGATGATATTCTAAAGGTATGACAACATGTAAAATTTCAGTTCCTGCATTTCATTCTAAGTTACAAAAAAAAAAAAAAAAAAAAAGAACAAGGCTGAGGGACTAAAAAGAACACTGAATTTGTCGAAACACTTTCACATCCTTTCCTATTTTGAAAATATTAACTGAAAATGATAAGACTACTATGCGTTCCACATCTTTGTTAATGGTCTTTCTAATGAATGATCCCAGCTATTAAAAAATCCTCCACTGATGTGTCAGAGAGATTCCTCTCTGTGTATAATTTTGGAGAAAATAAGTTGTGTATATTAGTTCTGGGAAAGTTACTTTAATCTTACAAAGAATCGAAAAATAAACAATTTAAGCAAAAAATTTTTAGTTTAAGAGAAAAGGAGAAAAACGAAAAAATAACCAACAGGGAAAAAAATATCAAACACTAAAACATGATGATAATGGTTGCGACTTCAAGACAATGTCGCATGTTATTATCGACCATGAGAGAATTAAAGCCATTAGGAAGTGAAAGTTTATAATTTCGGGGAATTTGTATACGAGCGGCCTGCTGCCATGTATGTAAATTTTATGCTGCATCTGAAATTTCTTTTGTTCTATTTTTTGGTTTTTACTAGACAACTTCCATGAATTATTGAAAGTTCAGTGTTTGCAATTAATTTTTTGTTTTCATTTAGATAATACCATGAATGTTTTATCGTTTGTTGTTGTTTTTAGTTATTAGTCACTAATGGCTTCCAATTTTTTGTTTTTTAAAATGTTTAATATCTGCTTTTCACTAATTTTTCCAACTTTTTTTAAAAATGTTTTCATTGTTATTCTTGTGTTATTAACCTTGCTGCGTTCCTTGTTGCAATTTTCTGTTTTTTAAAATCTCAAATAACTATTGCGTTTAAATATTTGGGACTTGTGTTTATTCAGTTTTCCTCTTTTTTTTCTTGATCTAAATTTTTGCAAACACCAGGTGCTGGCTTGTGGTATATTTATTTTTACATTATTGAACTTGCAATGGATTCTTTAGTTTTATTAGGTTGTATTTGCTGATCTCATGTTATGCACTTTTTTGGACAGTTAGCAATAATTTCTATCTAAACCCATTTTTAGTAGCATTTAAACATCTTTGTTTACGCTTACTTTTATAAAGAAAAAAAGATTATAAAGAAAAATCTATTAACTCGTCCTGTAAGTCTTAATTTCCAGAGCAGAGTAATAATTAGAACAAATACTAACTTTAGCTGTGCACTAAATGAAATGGTTAAATAACTTACACTAAATTCATTCTGCTTCAGAAGATCCTGGACGATCGAATTCTTCTTGCCACACAAGAATCCTTGGTTTCGGCAATACCCGAAGCATTTCATTTCCGTGACTTAGGGGATCTCCAGAAGCAATTTCGAACAGCACAGATAGGTAGAACCATACACGGTGGTGGTTCAGGCAGAGAAAAACAACAACGTCAGTAATTTATAATTTTAATACTGTTAGAAATGATTATATACCTGTAGAGTGTGGAAGTAATATAAACATACTTTGATCTATGATTGAGAAATCATATTTATGAATGCAACTACAAAAGTTCCTCCTTTATGATACACTAAAGATAAGACAGAATTCCCACATCAATCAAACTTCAATAAATACCTTGTGCAACCATACCATATTTTCTAATCATTTCCATCTTTAGTGTATGGTATCTTCGACAGTCAATTTGGAACGCTGAAAGGGTGGCGCATTCACGCACTCAGAATGCATAAGCAAGATGGTAATACTTTATTCTTGATAATACATTTGATATTTCTATTTACAGTTCGATCTAAAAATGACAATCTTATTAATAACTTATATTTTAGGATTCTATGCCTATTGTTTGAAGTAACCTTAAATACAAAAACAAAGGGAAGTAAGTAAGCAACTTTAGGTCTTTTATGCACACCAGATACGGGCTTGTGTTGTATTTAATTTTGTATTGTTGAACTTATAGCGGGTTCTTTAGTTTAACAGGTTGTACTTGCTGATCCCGTATTATGCACCAAAATGATTTCTTTTTGGGTATTAAACAATTTGGTAATAAAATTTTCTAAGGTTTTTTTCCGCTTTTAAGCTTACCGTTTGCTTGAGATCTGTTAAAATGTAAGGTTCAGAAATGATCATATCAGTGATTAATTTACTACTGGATTACTTGCCGATTTTTTAATCACAAGCTGGTAGCCAATGTTGCAATTGTCTTCGTGATGAAGAAGATCATAGATAATTTGTGCCAGATCGATGAACTGGGTGATTTTGTAATATATCCGGGATTATCCATGTCAGTTTAACTTACCATGAAGTACTAGATATTACTGGGTATTAGAAATTGGTTACAGTATATGCATACATCCACTTATCGCTAAAGATTCTAGGATAAAACGTATGGTTCCGCAAAGGTACTAGGATCAAACGTAAATTTTAGATAAAAAAGTTTATATTTTTTGTAAAGATGAAGATATGTTTATAATATTAGATGAATCAAACACGAACAATATTGTTTTACTTTGGTATTACTAGGAAAGGAATAGACCAAAAGCAAATAGGAATTCATCATACGTGAATTTATTTCATTACTTTATCATTATATCAAAATTTCTACACGCTATAAGACTCATATTGGTTTTTTTGTAAATTGTCATGTCATTTGACATTATATCTGTTAAGCTTTCTTGAGAATTCTGTTAGATAAATCTTGCAGTAACGAATCTCAGAACTAGGAGATCGAATTTGGATTAATATGAGAGTCTTCCAGTTGAGCAAAAAATGTCACACAGCAACGAATTGTTTCTTCGATTCACTTTTCTTTTGATAGATCTCAGTGATGACATCCATGAAATAATATAATTCCAGCAAAAGTCTATTAGCACTTCCCATTTCACTACATCTGTTAGCTTCATGAGAATTCTGCTACATAAATTGGGAGAGTATGTTTCTTGCTATTGAGAGACTTTCCTTTCGATGTTCAAATGGACTTAGATCACAAAGAGCATGATCATTTTACATCACTTTCCATAGCTGATAAGCCTAGCTCATTTTTACACTCGGCTTATTTTTCTCACGATACACGGCTTAGGGTTGCAAATTGCACGGATTTCTTCCCTTCATATTAGAAAACGGCAATGGAGAAAGAAGAATGTAATGCAAAGGGGTGTTCATTTTTTACAATTGTTCCCCAACTATGTTTTTTTTTTAAGCAATTATATAAGATGATTAAGATGGAAGTTAAGAACAATAGTGCAAACTTTGAGAAACTTAGGCCGATATGTTTGGTGTCTTGTATGTTAGTCTGCGTATTATACCAATCCAGCTCTCATATATATATAGAAACATCAAAAGGAAAACTTGAAGGTTGATTCTGGTATCAAGAAGAAACAAATTCAGGATGTGAACAAGACGTACACGGCATTGTGACATAAAGCCTGACATTTCCTCATGCAATTGTACCCTATCAGTCTGCAACTTATCGATGAAACTATTCATTTCCACTTGTTATTGCAGTATGTAAAATACGAAGCAATTTTATTTGTTAGCAACCACAATGTATAGATATTAATCTATAGCAGTAATATTGATAATTTATCTACAATATTAATAATTTATCTACGCAGAGTATCTACAAATGAAATGAAGAAAATGGGTAAATGAATAAATTGGTCGGGAAATGAGCTGAATTGTGAGTGAGGAAGAGCAGCAGAATTGTAGCTTACTGGTAAGGAAAAAACTGATAAAACTGAGAAGTTGATTGAGACAAAAGGTTTAGACCCTTATGTAGTGGGTCTGACTTGCAGCAACAGCATGATTATTGAGTATCAGATGATCTTTACTCTTTATATAGTAAGAGATGGGTTTTAATATTGTTTATTAAAAACCTAACAGCTAGAAATGTTTCGTTCAAAATGTTTCGGCTAATCAAATTTGTTTCCAATCAAGCTTTTTTTCTCAAGTTTGGCCGTATTATTATTCTCAAGTTTTGAGCTGTCAATTCTTGTTTGATGATGAATGAATGTATATACTTTTCGTGTCAACACCATATGTGTTGCAGCGGTTGGCAAAGGAGCTACTGATGAAAAAAATAAAAAGAGAGGATGACTGCTGGATTTGGAAAATTGTAAAATTTTTAGTTCTTTAGCGAACTTAACTCAGAAGTATTTTTAAACTAGTATCACGCTCAAATCAGTGACATATTTTCGCATATAATGACAAAAGGAATGTTAAGTGGTCATAATTTTTGGAATGTAGTAATTTGTACTTATATAGTATTAAAAACGTATGCGGAAATTCTGAAAGAATTTAAAAAGTTCCCAAACTTACGTTTGCGATGTTTCTGCAAAACATTGAAAGACAGAATCGAAAAACTGACTAAATCAATTGGCTGTGTTCTCAGTGTTTCACGTACAAATGCTTCTAATAATGGACGTAATCCAATTGGCACTTTGTAATTTTCATTTGATGATTCTGCCATGTGGTTTTCTATAATTAAAAACATATGGCAATGGACGTGAAATAAACACACAATAGTGAAATCGCACTTTTGACTAGAGATTAGAAGAAAAAACTAAGTCAGAAAACTGATAAGGATGATATAATAAAGCACCATTTAGCAACAGTAAGCAAATATGCAAATATCCTTTTATCCTGATGAAGAAACAGACGGGGCAGATCGGCAAAAGGTTAAAGTGATCACTAAGTAACTTAAGTTCAAATATTTTACTGATCCAATTGTCGGAATCAGAAATCCAAAAACTGTACTGTAAGCAGTCTTAGCTTACATGAGTTGTATAATCTTAACTTAAGCAAGGAAATTTCAAGAGGTCACAGGTTATTTGTAATGCTTTATTAAAATTATACTAAAAACTGAAATTATTATAAAAAAAGTGAACTAAAATTAAAGAAAAAGTTGTTAGTAATACGTCTTCACAAAGAAAAAAATTACACAAATACTTAACTTCTTGCTTTTTAATTCGTTTCAACACTTTGTTTTTTTTTTTTTCCAAGTTTATTCAGTGTTGTAGTCTAAATGCATATCGACTGATCATATGGATCTTGAAAGGGCTTAACACTATGCCAATGTGGACCTCAATTATTCCAACTTTAAGAAAAAATTTTAGCGAAGTTTAGATTAAAAAAATTTTTTTTTAAACAACAATGATTAAGTACCTCTAATATAAAAAGGCACGGAAAATGAGGATAGCAATTATAAGAGGAAAGACCAAACGGGAAGGGTTATAGATGATTAGACATAAACTTTCTATCTAATATCATTCGAGTCCACCTTCGAATTTCTAACAATTTTTTGACCCAATCCTTTATATGCATCAACTTCAAATAATTAATTAACCAAAAAAGAAAGGAACTAGTTGCTGTGTTAGCACAACAGTCCTCGTAAGAATGATGACACTTTTTCTGAGAGGAAAGATTTATTCTCCTTCTGGATTTGTGTAGTAAAAAGTTTCAAGAGTATCAAAATTCCAAATAAAATAATTCCTATAGCCTTTCTTTCCTTGCTGACAGCCTTTATCACAAAGCTGCAAATGGGTCTACCAAAAAAAGTTTACAACTTTCCCAGTTGCTTCCATACGTCTTATTCAGTCAGTCAATGACGTTGTCTTCCCGATTTGCTTCAAGCATCGTTCTGCATTGAGACATCTGTCTAGAAGTAGCCACTCTTATATCATAATGAAATGATGTGATAGACGCTCCTTTTCCTATCCAAATAAGACGATAAAGATAAGAAGTGGAAACCGATAGTACCAAAAATGTTTTAATCCTCTGAACCATCTGCAAAAACAGCGTCCAAAATGTTTTGCCAAGACCAGAAGAATGAAGACTGAGGTTTGTAAAAAGTTAGTTTGGAAATGGAAGAATTGAAATAGACATTAATACCACCGGCGTTCCAAACAATGGCTAATCGAAACTACAACAAAAGCAACAATGACAGAGATGACAGTGACAGAGCTTAATGCTCAGAGTTTGCTGTCAAATGACAAATGTGCTGAATGCACGGGTAGACAGATAGACAGACGCGCATTGCAGCATATCCATCCATCTGATGAGGACGACGAACAGATATTAGGTTGGGATTTTTGCAGACACATGAACATGTATCCATAGTAACTGAAGCGAACAGAAGATGCAGTCAAAGTTCAATTAGCACGAAATATATTTCAAAAATGAGTTGAGTAGTTCAATATGCGTCACCCAGATGAGTGGGAGATGGATGGGAGAAACCTGAAAACGGTGCTTCTGCTCGATGCTCGACAGTTTGCTAATTCAAACTTCACCGATGCCTTCCTCTACAAATTGTTTGGAAGAACGAGAAGGTGGAAAAACTTCCTAATATTGCTTCATTTTGTCACCTCTACTCAACAGATAATCGACTTCCACAGTACTGTGAAATCTCATTGTGCTAATTTCATTCTATCTTGACCAGTGATCTGATCAAACATTACGAATTAAAAAGGACAAAGCTGTGATGAGTAAAAATCTATTATTAAGATGGCATATATATCACAATTTGATTTAGTAGATTCAACATTTTAGACGAAGCAGAATTCAAGATACACAGAATCGAAATTAAAATGTGAGAGATATTAGTGAATGACAATCTGTCATGTTCGAAACATCTGAGGAAATATGACAAACAGAGGTAAATATCAAATGTAAAAAAATTAAAACTCGAAAAACTGACGCAAATATAAATATTTCATACTGTAAAAATAAAATGAAGCTAAAATAATAAAAACAATAGGTCAGAAAAAATTCGAAATATGCTCATTTTGCTTAAATATACCACTAAAAGCAAATTTATCCTTAAAGAGGGATGAATAACTTTTTTCATTTTTGACGTTGATCAAGATCAGAAACAAAATGCTATCAAAATCCTACTTGCGAATCTACTCAATGATCCAAAGAAAATGAAATTACTTTGATATCAAATGAGAAATTCAGACCTAAAAATTTGAAGGTTTAAATTCATCATTTTTAATTACTCATTTTTTCAGTAAGTCAATTATTCACTTCATTAGAATTTAGAGAAATTTGATTTTTTTTTCTTCACGTGTGTTCTGACTACCCAACCATTTCAGTACAAAAAACAAATTAGCAACTACCACGGGAAGGATAAATTCCTAGGATACTAATGTTCGTGAAATACAAAAATATGTAATGCATTCATTAATTGGAAACATTAGCTCTGAAAATTGCACTTACTAAAATTCCGTCGTTTCATTATACCTGACAAATAATGTTATATATATATATAATACCTAAATTTAAATGATGAAAAAAATAATTCTATAGATTTCTTAAGTTTTTCATTGGCTTCCAGAAAATTATTAACGTTTTGAATCGAAGATTCTAAGTTTCAAAACGATTCAATAACAGTTCTATAATTGCGTTAAACTTTTTAGTACGGGACGTTGCACTATCGTAAAGCACAAGCATAAAGAATATATTCATTCAAATTTCTCTTTGCTAGAAGAAATTTCAAACAGGATAAAATAATATATTCAAGGAGTTCATGCATGAGGTAAGCCTTAAATTTTTTGTTGGCATCAATAAAATTGATTGATATTTTGAATCAAGATTTAAAATCGTAGCTTTTCCTTGCGCTATGATTGTTAAGAAATAAATTATGAATTGTTTCCACGCTTGCTTCACAGTATAAGTTCTAACAGTAGAATTTACAAGGGAAAAAGAAAATGCATTTTTAGATGTTCTTGCTCTTTTCAGATAGTTCAGTTTCTGGATCAAATTTTTAATAGATTTTCAGGTCGTCCAAATCAGAAGCATTTAGTTAACGGAAGTTTTACTACACTATCTCAGAACCAGTGAAGTGGAGGATTGGTTTGACCGAAACTTTAAGTTGAAAAATCACAAAAATGGTATTCGAAGTTAAGTATTCCGCAGGATTTCACCAGTCAGATCAGCGAGATCACTTCTCACGGTTCTTTTCCTTCGGTATCGGCATTTTTTGCTTGCTAGTTAAAGTCCCACCAAACCTTGCGAAGGTTCGTATTGCATTACACGGTCTATAAAATTAGCGAGCAAAGCTAGCAGTTTAGCAGTCGTAATTCATACTTTTAATATAAAACCGAAAAATGGTTCCCTTGAACTGTGATCTCATGCAATCTTATTGTCGTGGAACTCGAAATAAGAGAATTTTGAATAAACCTTGGAAACATCATTCTATATTTCAATATTTAAGCAGGGAAATATTTACAAGTTTTGGATTAAAATCCTACTTGGAATTAAGTTGGACAGAATTAAGTTTTGAGGCAAATTTTCACGACCGATTGGTACCAGTGCACCTGAAATTTTCAACAAAAGTTGAAAATTTAATTAAGTTGGACAGAAGTCAAAATTTGATATAAAATTTCTTATTAAACGAAGAATTGGTACGATTTGCATCAATAAAATACTACAAAATTTTTATGTTTGACAGAGATGTTTGAAGACAGTGCACTTTTTCGTGATTAAAGTTTCATGGTAGGTCGTAGGATTCTATGAATTCTACACAAATTCTAACAGAGAACACAATAAAACACTGTAATGGTAAAAAATTGCTGGAAAATACTGTATATATAAGTGTGGTAGTCGAGATGGAACTTGAATAAAGTGATGAATTATTGTTTACTGCATATATTTTCGCTAAACTGCATCTCCGTTACAACACAATGATTAATTTTTAATACTGAGTAATACCTAATCAATATTAAATTGTTCCTGACAGTTGTAATCGATGATATCATCGTCTAAAAAGTGATTAACAGAGCTTGGTAAATAATGGTAAGCCAAATAAGGAAAGCTAAACAAAAATATTCATTTTTTGATATCATAGTTACATCTCAAAAACACTATATCATCATCTGCAACTATCACTAAATGATCAGCCAACTAGACGATAGTATTGATGACTGAATTATATGAATTTTATCTTTGCTTCAAGGTTGTCATAATGGAATGTTAAAAAGAAAGAAAAAACAGACATATTTGTTATATAAAAAATACTGTATAACGGCATTAATGGATCATTCAGTTTATTATTCAGTGATTCATTGACAAAGTTAACATCAAATATTTTCCAATGCGCCACGTAATCGCTCATAATTATTTTTTCCATTATCACTTGTTTGATTACTCTATCTTTTTTGAATTCAGCAGAAACAAATGCATACCTTCCAGTTCCGGTCCTCTAATTCAGAGATTATATTATGAAAATATGTATTATTGGTGAGCCACTCAGTTTCAAATGTTAACACCATTATTTCTTAACTTCTATTTGCTACGTGTTTGTATGTGCGTTGGTTGTTGAAGCGCTTTGAAATTGCTTATTTGGAGAGTTATTTTTCCAAAATGAATGGAATTAAGCATTAATATTAACTTAATTGCCAACCTCATCCGTCGTAGAGCGAAATTTGTACTGGTTGTGTTTGATTTATATTACTTTCAGGAATAGTAATGAATACTATCGAAGATTATCACCAGAAAGGTCCACCATCGTATGGTTTGTTGTGATATCATTTTGAAAAGTTCCCTTTGTTTTATTAATTTGAAGTTTTGCCGGAAATGTATTGAATAGTGTTGCAGAAGCAGCAGTCTGCTCAAACACAAATAGCGGTGGAATATCACAAGCAAAAACAAATTTTGGGCCCTTTGCACCATCGCCAGAATCATCTAGTAATCCTGCATATATACCACAAACTGTCAACCCTACACTACGTTTGTTAATAAGATATTATGACAAGAATCTATTGAAAAACTGATTACTCATTTGTGGCAGTCACTTCTGAAAGAAATGAAATAATAAAGCTTTATGAACATTACATATTTTTCATTTATGAAGGGAATCATAATTAGTTTTACCTGACAGTTCACTGGGATTGATTACATCCCATTAACTTTACTTCACAGTTTTCAGAATTCAAATTAAAGTTGATAGCAAATCGCGTTTTTAGCGTTCTTGTAGTAAATTATCAGACTTTTTAGCAAATTCTACCGCGATGTATCTAGAACCGCATGCAATACCAATTATTGTTGGTGTACCTGTTTTTGGACCACATTCCTGTGCAATGACTTGTCCTAGTTGTAATAAAGCTATTGTTACGGAAACACATACGCATGCTGGTTTATTATCGTTCACGATTTGTGGAATACTGTTACTTTTCGGGTTATAATTTTCTTGTCTTTTGTTCAAAAAATTTAGCTTGAGTCAGTAGAACGATTCCCAAGCCTTGATAAGAGTAAAATATGCTTCATTCTGCGATTTGTTCTTTGTTCTCATCTCAAATCCAAGGCGAGGATTTTTGTTTCCACATTATATTAAAAAAAAAACTTATCGAAATGGTACTACTACATTATGAGTAGTATATAATATAAATTTTGGGTCTTACCACTTATCCTACTTGCTATTTTCTGGAAAAAGTGGTACTGGTAGTATTATACTTTTATTTTACAGTTGCTGGCTTGGTTGCTGTTTAATTCCGTTCTGTGTTAAGGATTGTTTGGTAATTTTCTTTGTTTATTTCTACTTTATACTGAAACTACTTTGATCTGTAGTATAGATTATATAACTTTTACGTAGTCAAGTTTTTAATCTCTTTAGTTTATTCAATTTATATAGAATGGTTTTAATTGTAGGATGTGAATCACACTTGTCCCAACTGCAAAATACTACTAGGATCTTACAAAAAAATTTGAAAGAGCAGAGAAGACAGAAACATCATCCGGATCGAGTTTTACAGGTGGTCATGGAGCGGAAACTTTATGATTGTTTGTTGCTTTTTCATTGTTCGAGCAACACCGAAGTTTTTTTTTTCTTTCTCCGTTATAGTCAGTGTTAATATTTTCCCTCCATGTAATTTTTTTTTTTCAGTCAGCATTCCTTTGGATGGAATCCTTCAAATGGATAGTTGAATCACATTTATTTTCGATTTTTCCATATTGTTAATATCTTTAATCTCTCCACTATGGATAATGAATGAATAGTACATGGTGTTCTGATGACATGATGTTGCACCAAAAAAGGTGCTATGGGCCTCTGAGTATATTATCTAAAGCTAGTAAAGGCAGTGACTGCTTATTGTTTTGGTAATCTGTAACTTTGATTAATAGCAATTAAATTTGTTTATGATGGAATTTTGTGTTGTTACAGTATATATTTAATATATCAGTTGTGCCATACCTCATTCCCATAGAAATTAATCAAGTTAATCCAGCGGCTTCTGTTAAGATAAATACTAATTGCGAAAGTTGTCAACTATTATTTTGCAAAGATACATTACTTACCCTTAGTGAACATAACTGGTAGGTTCTACCACCACACTTTAAAATAGGTGTTCTTTGCTAAAGCTGATTGTTAGATATAATGTTTTCTTTTATTCGAATTGGTCCAGTTACCGTATGTCTAATTGTAAGCACTTTTAAATTCTTTAGTGTTTATACAAGCAAATATTATTAGCGCTGCACTTGGTTAGTAAAAATGAAGCAGTCGTAGCTTTGAAATTTAGGTAGGAATTGTAAAATATATGTGTAAAGTCGTTTCTTTACAACCATAGGTTATGTCAAGTGGGTGTTTGAGATTATCATTTTGAAATATGATATAGACTCCTTTGTTCGTCTTCGTTGATATGTGCAGACTTTATGTAACGCGTTGTAAAACCCTCAATTGTTGCACTAACATTTTTTTTTAATACTGAGGTAGCCTTGCACTACTTGAGTTCATTCCATCAATCTAACAGTTATTTTTACCGCAGATTTTCAATAGCTGTTCATCTGTGCTTGGTTATTATTTTTAAAGTTGTATCAGTTACTGTGCATGTCGTTATGTTGAACTGAAGATAGAGTTTCTCATAGGCATTTTTTGCATGAAATGGAACGTAATTGCGGGGACAAACAGTTTTTATATGAACTTTTTGATTGTCCAAAAATTGGGAATAATTATTCGACATAAATCCTAAAGTCGATTGATTAAATGGGATTGAACCGTATCTCAAAACTAAAAGTATTATTATCCAGATTGTATACAATTGTCAACGAAGTATCGACTATTCAGTTTGCAACGATAAGTGTACTTTTGTCGTTTTTGTGCGGAAAAAATTCAAATTAAGATAAAAGTAGTTTTAATAAAACTGTGTTTCTGATTTATAAAAAATATGCTCAAGCAAAACAATTGCGAGCTCGGTAATCCAAATACACTCGGCATCTTGTGTTTTGATTGAACTCTTTAAACTAAACGAAGAGTTTCGTCCATTTTGTCTCTAATTGAGAAATCATCTAGCAATATCAGAAACATTGTTAATCATAAAATAATCGGTGAAAATGTGGAGAGTGCCAGTTCAGGTATAGGGATGATTTGTCATTGATGTAAAGGAGTAAGGATTAGTACAAAAAATTGAGGATGAAGGAAGACTTGTTTCTTTCAACCAACTCAAACGTTAGAAAGAAACAAGTAAATTGCATTTTAATTGGGAATGTCACTTCACACAGATGATTTATGACGATAAAAATTTCTGCAAATACTCTTTCAGGGCAGATTCTTGCCTTTGAATGCATTGTAATTCAGCGTGTAACCTTTCCAGTTCTACTTCGCGTTCTCGAATCAGAATCTGCAAAAAATTTTTTGTTAATACTTGGTATATATCTTTTAAAGTGAATCAATTTATTAAAATTATAAAAGCAGTTTGGACTTCAAATTTGATTGTTAGAAAATAGTTGCGGAGGATTATTCATTTCTAATAATCCTCAATTTGAAATAAATGCAAAAGTTCAAAATCAATCAAAAGACCTGCAACTGCTGTTCCTCGACAACATGTTGCTTGTCTGCCATTTCCAAGGCATTTCTGGATGACATCGCACGAATTTTTTCACCTTCTACGGTTTTTGCCAACTAAAAAAAAATTCATTCCACATTTTTCATAACATTTCACTGCATTCCATAACACAAGAGATATAATAATTTTGTCGTAGCCTTACTCCATCAAATGCTTTTATGATTGCTTCTGTAGCGTCATTGAAAGTGTTCAATTTATTCACAATTTCTTTCGCTTCTTCAACAAGTTCGTTAGAAACATCCGCAATACCTAAAAAATAACCTGTTTCTGTGGACATACAATCTGGCTCTTATTAGCGATGTTCGTGTGATAACATATTGCACCAGGTCACAAATCATCACAGGTAATAAGTAATAGACTCGAAAATCAATTTCTTTTCCCTAAAACAAGTAATATAAAAATACAAAGTGGGATTATCCATCGTAGTTGGATGATATTGCCAATGAAAAAACATAACCATAAATGTAATCATTTGTGTATTACCCGGCTGGAGAAGACGTATTTTGCTGAAAGCATCTAGATATAAGCCAGCTTTCATCAGTGCTTCATCTGCCATTTATTCTTTGCACGAGGAATAGAAGTTCCACGTCGATCTGGAGAGCTGAAGTAAATTAATCCTTTCAAAAAACAATTTTATTACCTAATTCAAATAAGTTGCAAGGTTAGCACATATTAATGATTTTTACAAAATGAAAAAAGAATTTGTGAGAAAAAGTTATCCGGTTACCTTGGAAACGCTGTAGTTGTCAGAATTAATTTTAAGAAGTCGTAAGCCACATTGTTTCAGCAAAATAAGTCTTCCATTAGGACCAGCTAGTTATCTGAACCGATTATGTATAACAGTATCTGACGGATATTGGCATGTAAAACACACTTCACATTTGTCATCATGACAAAAACTGAAATGAAGCATAGAAGCCTTTTCGAAAATTTTTGAAAGTATTGTTTTTTCAACATGGATTTAAAAACAGTAAAGAAGAAAAGAACGGATTTTCGATAACCAATTTTACGTTAAATGTGTATTGGACCTTCAACAAAGTTCATAAAAATCTTGCAAGTACATAGAAAAAACTTTATTTCAGATTTTTGTTATTTTCTAATTAATAATAATAATTATCATTATTTTCACTTATCAACATATAATAATATTTATTATCAATTATTATTATTGTTATTAATTGTTAATTTATTATTACTATTATTAATAATGTTACTTTATCACTATTATTAATTACATTACATTAATTATCATAATTATATTATTATTGTTATTATTTATCATTATAATTATATTATTACTTTCTATAATTATCTTATATTTTTTCACTTACCAATTATGCCTGATAGAAGTAATGAATGCTAACTGAAACTTTTTGCTTTTTCCCTATTACACATAGGAATTTCCCATATTCTGGAAAATATACGTAAAACTTTTGAACTTTGCCTACTTTCTTTAATTGTCTACTCTCTCCAGCAATTATTACATCAATTAAGCTTTATTTAGGATGACGGTACCTTTTGTTTTCAGGACATTCCATGCGTCATCTTCATCTCTCTTTTATTTAGGTTATTTAATGAATAACTTTTAATTGACTTGTGAAATTTCTGACTCTTTTTTTATTTATTTATGAATTAAATATCATTTCACAAACAAGTTACACTTTTTTTAATGGTGATTTGCTTGAGTGTTTCACTCATCGATGTTAATACAAAGCATACATACTTTGATAATGCTTTGTTAAAAAATATCACAGCACACTTAGTTTTTAACATCTCTTGGAACTCAGGCAATGCTCGTGACCTATACTGTGTACCGATTTGCTATAGGATCTGATTTGTATGCTTAATAATATCACTTTTATCCTAAATGATTTAAACCTTTTACTGTTCTCAATTGCAATGTTTCAGCTGAAATATGAAGATTTTTCGAATCTAATGTGAATAAAATTTGAAATATCATCAAACAGAAAAAAAAAAAGGAGAAATGAAAACGATGCTTAAGAATTAGAAAAAAACACTAAAATTCTTGCATAATATTAATGTCCAGAAACACTTGTTCGCTTTCTGGAATCTCCCTGAAGACGGCAAAAGGGAAAAATTCCGGATGATATTACCAATAAATCAAAATTTATTTCTTGTCTTATTTACTATTCCTAAATTTAGCATATTTGATTTATATATAATTTTCTTTTCTAGATCATATATTAATGAACCGAATGAAATCTACAATTGTCTTCCTGCCATGATGCTAGCACAATGTTGGTATTATAAGCAGTGGAATTTTTTCCTATCAGTTTAGTGAAATTTACAGCCGATACTTTTCACTCGGTTTAATGAGAAATATAATTTCTTCCATCTAGAATGATTGCTCGATCATATTAAACATAAAAAAGGTAGAAGAAATTGCTGAATACAGTGCTTGCTTTATCAAAGAAACGATTTAGTCACCCAACGGTTAATGATATAATATGTTATTTATAACTATTTTAGGGTGAATCACAAAGAGGAAAAAAGACATAGTTTTGCAACAACAGTGAAATTGAAAGGAATATTACAAACTTAATAGATACAACTGCTTGTTGATTTTTTTTTTTTTTGTAGTTTAGAAGTACCTTAAGATAGTACTTTAAGTTTTGAAGTCACTAGTTCGAAGAGAAAACAAGAATTAATGTAAATTTTTTAGTAATATAAAAATTGTGATGTAAGAGTTTGCTAACAACGTCTTATGAAGATACGACACATTTTGAAATTCTTGAGAAATAATAAAAAAAAACAATATATAATTTGTTAGCATTGCATATGGAATATTATGAATAAATAGTATTTCGAAGCTTACTTGCCATATGAATTTAAAATAGCATCACAGTATAAAAAAAGGAACAAATGAAAGAGTGAAAAGGGAAAATGGTAACGAAAATAAAATGAGATTAAATTGCACAAGTGTTGAAAAAAAAAGATCTTGAAGTTTCGAATGACTATTATTTTTGATTGTTATTATTTCGAAGCTTAGTCTGCCATATGAGATGTCAGAGAAAATCGCAGAAAATGAAATTGGGAATTAGTACTTAGAAAAGAAAAGTAATGAATGAAATAAAATAATCTGGAATAACAATCTAGCAATAAGACATCAACAAAGATAAATCTGATGAACTTATTAAATTACAAAAAGTTTTTAATCAATGAGTATAGCGAACAGCTTCGGCTACAGCACAACAGATTCGATAACTGGAATCAGTTGAAGAGAAACATTCACTTCCTGCCGGGCACCGAAATGGTTGCCAAATTTCCGTTTCACTACCACAAGCAATCACTAAATTGTGTCGATCACGAATGGCTATCTCCTTTGTGCAGAAGGTTAGCACTACAAATGTTTATGCTATGATTACAAATTTGCCGTAATTATATCGGCTCATTATAGTATCGGGATTATGTCGTTTTAATAAACTACCCATTAAGCCTTAAAAGTTTATTAATTAATTTATTCATTACACTTGCTCCTTTCCTCTTTATATTATACAGCGAAAAAAAGAAAAAAAAAAACTGAAATCTTCTCAAATTAACCTTTTTCTGTCTGAGTTGGTCGTTTCGGTGGTACTGTGCGATAAAATTTCGCTGGATCATAGACGTCTTCTGCAGTGTTCTTCAGATTAGCCGGACTGGAGCTCTGAAATGTGCAAAAGTTTGTCACTTTTAGATTCACATAAATCCGACCTAAATTGAAGAAGGAAAAAAAAGACTGTAAAGAAAGTAAGATGTGAAAAGATATTTAACCGTGGTAGGAAACTCCAAATCTTGTTTACTTGATACTGTTGAAGATGCAGAATTATACGTATCCATTGGGAATGAATTAACCTCATCATTCATTGATAGTAATTCTTTGTCGGCATCTAAAGTTTATAAATTAAATTTTAGAAACACAAGTTCAAGATTAGTGCATGATATTCAACATGACATTTCTATGGAAAGAAAACAATTTTGAAAGTTTAAGATAAAGAACGTTGGATGCACTGTAGTTTTTATATTGGTAGTTTCAATTGATAAAATGCCTGATAATTCTATGAACACACAATAAGTTCTCCGTACAATCTTTTGCTGAATATCATTTTCAAGCGAAAAGCAATGGAAATAAAATTATACATCCATGATAAGCTCTATTACAAATCTTAATCAATTCCAAATTAGAAGCTAGTATTTGTCGCTCTCGTTCACGCAATGGATACTTATTCTTACACATAAATGAACCATCATATTGTTGAAGTATTTCTTTCAAAGGTTAGACCTTATTATAAGTTCTAATTGAACAAAATTTCAGTAGACATATCATTCAAGTTCATTTTTGCGAAAAATTCATTTCAATTTCAGAGAGAAAAAATATCCATAAAAATTAAATATCTGTTTTCTCTTCTTAATGCAATGAAAGAGAATGAGTCTACACTTCGTTTTAATCCAAAAAAAAAGTGCAAAAAGCAAAAAATAGACATATGCTTAATTTAGCAGTAAAGTTATCATTATTTGTAGATAACTTTCAAACAGCTCCTCACCATTTTTCTGTTCTTGATTGCTTTCCTGATCATTCTGTTGAACTTTCTTCTTCTTTCGTCTTGCTATTACCAAAACAGCATTTTTTTGTTTGCTTGCATCGTATACGATTGCTGCTAAAGTAATATTTTATTATCAGTAATAAAAACAGTTTGTAGTTTCAGCAAACATTAGCTCAGACAATATTTACGCTTTCCTACAGAGAATTCTTCATTAGAATTACAATAGCCGAACGGTTGTTCCATACCTGATGGAGCGTTCAGTGGTTCCTGATTTTCTGGTACATATGTACGACTACCATCAGCGGATTTCTTCATCGATAAGTTATATTCACTGTAATCCAAACCAACATCTTCTGTAACATCTCTCTTATCATTTTATCACTTGATGAACATCTGTGTTTCAATCAAATGCTGAAGATTAACTTTTTTAGAAAATTAGAATACTTTTTCAATACATTACCACTTTGTGCGTTGCAGTACAATATATCTCTACCAGAAATTCGAGATGATTCCAAAACTACAAATTTCAATCAGACAAATTGTGAAATGATTAATAAGCAACCAATATTTCCATCACCAAATGACGGGAAGTTAAATTCGTGATCCACTTTGTTCGTTTGTTTGTTTGGGAAACTTTTGAATTCACTATATGCGACTCCAATTTGTTTCCGAACTTAACATAGTAAATTTTTTGATATTTCTTTTTTAAATTATTTTACAAACAATAGTGAAGAAGACACAAGACCTAAAAAAGTCAAGATGGTAAAAACTAACATGATTTAACTGGAGCATGAAGAATTTCATTCGAAATTTTATATAAGAAACTGTCGCTTGATGTGGTCATATCGAGAGGATTAGCTGAGGTAGGAAGAATCAAATATTCTGATCCAAAAGCCTGAACAATTTGCAACAATATTTCATCAAAAATAAATTAAAACCTTTCAAATCTAAATTCATCTTGAAATTTTTAGAGTCATTTCAAACTACATAAAATTCTCCCTAAAATTATTTAACCTCATTGTCACGTGAAGGATTACTGTCCCTATTCTCGAATGGTGAATACTTGGTTTCTTCATCGATGTGTGTTCCACTAGAAAAATCACGACGCAGTTGAGTACTTAATAAAGAAGGACTTTCTGTTGTATTCTCAAGTTCTATGAGATGAGCTGATGACGTTGTTAACTGAGGCGTAATCCTGGATGAATTACTGGAAATGGTTGGACTTAGTGTCTGTTTCATCCGTCGTCTTTTACTTGCTTTCGTTGTAGGTTGCTTGAATTGGAAATCATTGTCATAGGATTGAAATTTTTCTTAGAAAAGGGAAAATTAAAAATTTCTACTCCGAAACTTGGTTTAAATTTCTAAAATTTTCATAGAAAAAACATATTGCAAATTCTAAATTTCAGATATATAACATCATAAAGATATAAGGGTTCATTAGAATGAATGGGAAAATCAATGTTGGAAAAGCAATAAAAATATGATTCAAAAATTAGAACTGGTCTTTTTTTTTTTGAAAGAATTTATTATTAATAAAAGAGATAAAGTCACCTTGTTTTTTGATGTAACTTTAGTATGCACTGTTTTAGAGGTCAAAGGTTTCAAGAGAATTAGTGGTGACGCAGTTGTGGTTTGCAGTGAAGATGTAGCGAAGTAAGACAATGTCATTGCTGTTCGGTTACGACCACTTGAAACATCTTGTTTAGCTGCTACTGAATAACTTTGAAACTGCTGAAACTACATCATATCATATTTTACTTCTCTGTACGTGCCACCATTTTTGGCTATTTTAAACACATTTTATGTTCTAAAATTTTCATTGAAACTTGTCTTCAAATAATTCGAAATTCCATTTATGAAACAACCTGCGTAACTCTTGTTGGTACAAAAGAAACAGTAGGTAGTGCAGAGTTTTGCTTGCTTATTTCATCTATCATCCTGAAATCCCACTTAGTGAAAAGAATATTCAAACATGTTTATTTTTTTACTTTACTTTGTTTTTAATTTAATTTGTTTGATCCATAAACTTTTAATTTCGTGGTCAGCGGTATTGCTAGTGCATAAAAAGCGAAATTGTTGCTGTCGCAGCAGTATGTAGTGAGGCTTATTATCTTAAAATATCTATTATTATAAATTATAACAGACAGTCTAATGGTCATTATTAAAATCAAAACCAACATTTACCAGGCAGTGCTCTGGCGTTTTTTTTCATCAACTGTATTCATAATAGTTGAAAATTTCTCTCTGGAGGTTTGTTGCATCTCTAGTAATGATTCAATATCTGTTAGAAGTTACGAATAACTTTGAAATTTCAAATTATAGAAAGTTTAGAAGTTGAAAGTCAGAAACAGTTTTCAAGGAGACTTTTTATTGTTTTCATCGACATGATGTATAAGCTTTAGTTTTCTAGGAATTATGAAGGATGGTATAAAATGTTGTTTCTGATGTAATTACTCTAAAAGTCACTTTGCAACTTTCTGAACATATTCCTGCATCCCACCACCATGCAATAGCCGCAGAACTCACACTGATCATATCTGCGCTATAGAATCACTTAAGCTAACCTTATATTAGGGCTGAATATTTTCGATCCAAAAATTCTGCTGCAAAGTCATTATGATCATTTATGAAAACAAGATAAAAAATTATGAATTCTTACTTTGAGAATGATTTGGTGAAGAAGTGCTTGTATTGCGCATATTCTGAACCTCTTCAAGGTTGTACAAGGAACTCGGTCGAAATATCTGGATAACATGTTTGGTTGTAGATGATGAGGTCGTAGCTTGCGATGTCAGACGTTCTAAATCTTATATTTGCTGATAATTGAATTTCCTCCAACATGTTTTATGTATAGCTTAGTGATACAAATTATCTAAGATTCATGAAAAAAATATTCATTTCATAAATGAATTACCAAACAAATTATTCTTTGTGTATTTATTTCTGGCCGTTGCTGTATTCAACATGTCACTTTCTGCTTCTGCATGATATCCATTGTTCTTTGGAGTTTCGGTGGTAATAGTAGTTGTTATAAGTAAGTCGTTGTAAATTAGAGCTTGAATATGAATAAGAATAAATTAGAATAAGATTTTGAAAGAAACCAAATTTTCATTGAAAAGTTTAATCTTTAGAACATTTTTCAAATGTGGCAATCAAAGCTATTGAATTTTTAATACTTTTAACAAATAAACTACAAACAGACCGATAGCTCGCGGAGCAAGGTCGCAAAATCGCACTCTATAATTATGCCCTTCGACAGCAATCGAATTGATAAGCTGTTTGCGATGATATATGTCTGTCCGTGGATCAAATCCAATTGGTTTAGTGAACTCTTTCTCTTGACAATTTGCTTCATCTCGTGTTCGCAAACGACAACACAACACCTGTACCCTATACTACGAAATGATAATATATTAGAAGCATTACTTCGCCTGAAAATAGATTCTTATTCCTTCTAAAAAAGATAATTTTACCGAGTATCCGACAGACGAGTAATACCAGATATGTATTCTCGCGGTCGACATGTATACAGTGATTCTGTATCTACAACTGGATCAAACAAGTGGCTGTAGTAGCAGTCTTCTCGTTCCAATTCCGCAATGCTTATAGGAATACCATGCCATGGATATAGCTTTAATTAATCAAATTTTCAACTTGCTAACTTACTCCTGATTTTTGAAGTAGATTCACAAAACTTCAAAATGTGGAAAAAAAATTTAACAGATAGTGTTTTGATATGTTTGAACGAACCTCGTCGACTCGTTCGCAAATAATTGCGAAAACGGTATCTTGTCGGATGAAACCTTGTGAGCCGACCATTCGTACACTAATTCCTACGGCACCTGATTTATCTTGGTTTTATTACAACAGGAAAAGTTATACATAGCACTGCTAAGTATGCTAAATAGTTTTTATATTCAAGTTATTAAATACCTGAAGATTTGGCACATTCGATGCGAAAATTGTCGAAAGGCGCAGAAATGAGTGGATTTTGTAAAGTGTATACAGTAGATACAAATGCCGAAAATAAAGCAGCTGGCTTAACTATCATCATTTCTGTAAATAATACATATTTGAATAGAAAAATAAATTGTGAAATGAATAGATATTTCGAACTGTTTAAATGTACTTGTATTAATATCATTGAAGCATTCAAAAGTTATGCTCATTAATGGCAACTTTTACTGAAGTGATGAGAGAAATAAGTTTTGTAAATGAAAAAAAAAACCCTTACTACCACAAATTAGACTTACAATATTGGAATCTGAAACAAAAAGAAAAAAAAGGAGTAGTAAACGAAAAACTAGTGACTGCGTATGTAATTTAGCAGGAATGTCTAATCAATCAGTACAATATGACTATATACATTGTGCAACTTTATGGCTGTTGGCGCTGTATTCATCTTTTAAATGGGGTTTACGGTGACATTTGTAAAGTCATTTCTTCCATTTTATAATTTGATTAGGTTTCCAATGTTATAAAAAATATAATCTTAACTAATAAATGTCAGCAGTTTCATCTCTATTTGCTTTCATTTTCTCGGAATTTATTCCTCCGTGATTCCTAGCTATCTCTCATTGGGAAAAAGTTAAGGACTAAAAAAAACCGTCCAAAAATTTAAAAATATATAACTCAAAACAATGATCTGCTGTGTAGTTCTGGGATGCTGTTTGGAATATAAGGTAATGTGAAGGAAATATAAAATGAACTACTTTGATGTTTCCCAGCACTCCTAATGAACTTTATCTGCAACTATCCCACACAACGTCCTACATACCCAAATTAGTATTACATCAGAAATGATTTCAACCACTTTTTTACTGACAATGATTTAGTGTCCATTATATATCAATATGAAGAAAATTGTCTTCTATGAGCATTTTAATGGCTGTATAAATTTATTTTTTGAGCACATACTGAACATTTGATTGTGCAATATAATTTTAAAATCTTGCAGTAAAGATTGTTGGGTCAGATCATACTGATTTGCCTCAACCATTGTAGATGGAGAATTCAGAAGAGATAATTCGTATTTCACTCCATCTTTTAGATCTAAAATTTTTTTTTCTACAGATGAAGATAAACTTCAGTCAAAGTTCATTCTTTTGATTTTTTTTTACTTTATTTTATTTATCATTTATTGGGTATAATGAATGACCAAAAAGGAGCGAACAATGAGGGAGAACTCAAGTGTAAATAAAAAAAGAAAAATAAGTGCTCCTAATTATCATTAAATAGTGGTCTAGAGACTTTCGAAAATTCCATATGTTTGCCTTTCACAATATCAGACATGGAAAGTGAAACTGAAACTATTGTGTTAACAATGTTGAATTCATAAGAGTATTTTGCTCACATTAATAATTTCCAATTGTTCAATGAAAGAATGATTTTAGTACAATAATCCTAAAACTTCATAATTCGGTGGTAATGGATATCCTTTTCAAGTTTTTTTTTTTTTTTTTTTTTTTTTCATTCCCTTCTTCCAATTTTTTATTCATAGCTTAGGAAGGCACTTGTAGATCAAAACTAAAAACTAGTAAAATAAAAAATTTCCAAAATGTGTAGTGTTTCATGTACAAAATATGAGTGTCCAGTGTTTACTGACCTTATTTTCTTGACAACAAAACATTATGGCATTATAGTTTCGTCTTTTAAACAACTGAGAAGTTGTATTGAAATGAAATAATTACAGAGCTTGTAAATTTTCCACTCTTAATGTAAATCCCATTTGAACACATAGTTGCAAGTGGTAAATTAATATATTCCATTGATCACCAAAAAGTTATCACAGTAAGTTTCTAAAACCGAAAAAAAAAATAAATATCGAAAGTTTCCGACCCATTAGCATAGATCATATTCATTAGCATGCTGGATATAACAATATACGAGCTTGCTGAAGAAGATTTCCATGCCACTATAAATTTATATCGTTTAATCTATTATGATCAGATACCCAGCGAAATATTGTTGTTTTCACTATTACGGTATTCGTAAAATTTTGTATAATGACAATAAAATTGAAAAAAAAAAAAAAAAAAAAAACCATTTATAATGAAAATGATTTGAAATAATCTTTAAGAAAACATAAAATTCGGTGAAAAAAGAAAAAAAAATAGCAGTGGATAGTAGAATTCTCAGGAAATGATTTCAATGGACTCGTACGTAAGTAAATGAAATAGAATTTTCGTCAAAAAACAGTGGAAAACAAGTTGTTGATATTGAAGGAAACGTCCACATATATTATATATATTAATACATGTGTGTAAGAAATTTGTGGTATATCAACGGTCACTGGATAATCAGGTCGACCACCCAACCATTGACTGTGTGAACTGTTACAGAATAGAACTGTGATACCTGCTGCTCCTACATTAAATTCTTTTTCAGTGGAATTTTGTTACCAACTTTATTCATCTGCCATTTAAGGGAACTTAAATCTGGCAGAATAAATGACTCTTTTTGGAATGATCATCAATAATCTAAGCAGGGGTTATAAAATTAATTTCTGTTTTCAGATCGAAACACACGAAAAAGCAGGCATTCTTGGACCGAAATGTTCATCCCAAAATATATCTCAAAAATTGCAATTATTGAGCAACACCAACACATAACCTTCGGTAAGATCAACCAATGTCCCAGTTGATGTAACGTGATGTACTTACATAAACGTTTAATCTTGAAAGCAAGTGGTATATACGAGTTTGCTTACATATTGCTTACATAAAAAGAGTATGCACTAAACTGTAAATGTAGATTCAAAGTAATGATGAATCACAAAACGAACTGTGACTAAAACGAACTAAAAGAAATTGGTATGAATCCGCTGTAAGATCAGATCAGAATAATTCAGAATAAGTATGAAGTCTTTAAAAGATGTAGAGATATCGCATGACTGGCAACATAGTAACACAATACCGACACCATATTTAAAAACAAGTTTTACAATGCATATCTTTTACTTTTTATTTTTATCCTTTACTTTGAAAATATATATATCTAATTTCAGGATTGGAGTATAATGACAAGTTTGACTTCCCCAATTCCCATTATTTTTTTTTGCTTTGACGAATCACTAAAACAACCCAATAATATATATTTGTTTTACTTCAATTGTTTCAGAATTCTGGAAATTCATTCGGGTTACCAAGTTCAAAGATTTAATTAAACTTCAAAATTTTTAGTAATCAAATTCCAATTATCTTTCTACAGAAATATTATTGCACTGATGCAAGTCTGCTCGAACAAAATTCCTGCGCTCTCAACATTTTCAGTGATCGCTGGTGTAGCATGATGAAATGCATAATATTACCGATTGTATGATATCTTTCTACTTTTCATTCCGTTAGTGCATACCTTTCAGTAACTGAAAGGAATCTTTTATGCGTGAAACAAAAAAAAAATAAAGTGTACATGTAAGAATCCATTGATTTTTGATTTTTCTTCGATTTTTTTCTTCGAGACCTCTGAATAATAACATAACGACCAGAGCAATAAAAACAATTTTGTTAAATCATTATAGAAATAACGAAGTGCTGCCATTCATCTAAAAAACCAGCTTAAAGCTTGTTTAAATACTTGCCCTTGGCATCAAATCATATTAGCATTTCCAATTTTAGCTGCAAATCGAGTGACAAATTTCAGTACCACATTTCAGTCCCAACGTGACATACGAGGTATATAGAAGAGAAACCTTTCTACGAACAACAAACATCTCAGCGTTGGGTCAACTCAGTTTTGGAAAAACTGGTATCTACAGAAGCCAACTGTCAAAAGCGCAGCTGTCATCATTTAAGCAATTAGCTAACATTTTCACTACTGCACAGCTAAGAGATGAGAATTCAGATTCACTTGGATGTCCTTCAATCAAGTCAAGTTGAACGGACAAATAAATGCAATGCAGTGGCACAGCAACTGATAAACTGTACCACGACCTCATTCACTGCATCCCTCCAGTGCGCTATACGGAACGGAAACTTCTGATCGGCATTTCTTAATACTCTTATTTCTTCTCTTCACGCCCTCACCTTCAGAATTCAACTTACCAGCTCCGATCAATTCAGTCCAGACACCTTGAACGAAACACACAGACGCAGACATAGACATACATACATACATACGTACACACACACACACACACACACACACGTGCCTCATCAGCCCACTACTAACGGACAGACATACAAGCAAACTTCTTTGAACCCATCGACAGACAGAGAGAGGGGAGGGAGACTCTCGACATTCCGAAAGGCTACCTACCTCCTACTCTCGTTTCTTTTCACCTAACGAAGGGACAATACTTCATGAATAGTCTCTGAGCTGATTGGCACTCTCTCGCAATCGTCGACCGATCCTGCCACGTCTTCTACACTCACGCGGTACTTGCACCTCGTCGTACCTCCCCTACATCGATCGATGTGCCCCTCTTCCGAGCACCACATCTGCCATTCAAAGCGTCCCTTCTTATTCATCGTCCGTCATAACAGTAGTAGCACCAACAGCGCAGGCGACACTGGAAGTCGCATTACCCATCAGTTTGTACGAGTCGATACGTTACTACCCCACCGGGTGAACAACATGTACTGTATTGTATCTCCGCTTCCGTCTCATCCGTCTGGCTATCCGCAACAACACATTGTCACCAATGACTGTAGTTGTGGGTCACCCACTACTTGCAGTTGTTATTTCTTCAACGCTAGCTTTCTCCTCAAGACAATAATCTTCGCATACCTTCGTTATAAACATACCTTTTTACTTACCACTACGCATGTTTGTGTCTCCACACTGAACAAGTAATTGCACGGCATATGTACTACGGTTTTTTACGTGAATTTCCCGCACAACTGTAGTACTACTGATGTCGCCAGATTCTTCCCATCTGGAAATTTTTTTTTCTCTCTTTTGTAATCCGATATTATGAAATGTGCACGTAACAGACAGTATATGCATAATTATCCTCCCCCTTTGATGTCACGTAATGCGTTCACTTCAGACTGACTCATTTGGCTTACGGATCATTTTCATAAAATTGTTGGGAATTCTGATTCTCCAAATGAATCATGAGTATCAACTACACGAATGAATAATGATTGACAGATAGAAGAGATTCAACAACAGAGAAGAATATGAGTTGTCCCGGGCTGCAGCCTCTTACTTCCGGTATTTCCGATACACTTTCACAAAGATATTGCTCATCTTGACTGGTGCAGTATGTAGATGACTCACAATAATGAGATCAGCTGTTCTCTTCCTTCATTCTCTTCCAGGCATGGTGGATGCATCAGTCAGCAATTGAATTGATGATTTTATGTTCTTCAGTGTATGAATGTTTGTTGGAAATATGCTGGTGTCAATGTGGGCTATGACATCATGCTGAGTACAGCCAGCCAGTACGAATAAATGTGAAAGGCCTCCTAGCTATCTCTCTCTCTCTTTGCATGCTCATTTTATTCTACAAATTAGGTCAGGTCACCACTAATGCTAATACTAAGTACTTTTCCTATCTTCGGTATCAAACGACCCGAAATATATAACGCTGCATAACAGTATGGGATGAGACATTGCACTTCAGTCGTCATTTTTACATTATTCGGTGTCAATTTTTAGAATTGTTGTTGACTATAAATTTGCAGCGAAAAAGGACATTTAGCTTTCTCCTTCAGTTTACTTGTCCTATCAGTTCTTCGCCGAATCTTCCCTTCCTTCCTGAAAACATAGTATTAGTATTTGTACTACTGAACTGAAGCAACCAATTTGAAAAACACTAAATCCATGCGATCCACTAGGTCAAATATAAAAGTGTACGCTATAGCTCCTAAAGAGCCTACGCAGTTTAGATTTAAGCAATCAAGATTGACTCACTGTCCAATTATCCACATTATGAAATGGTACTGTCATCGGTGGAAATAGTTAAGTGAAAAGCAAAAGGACAGAGATGGAAGAAAACGAAATGTGGGAAGGATCTTTGTGGAAGTTTAATTTGCGGGAAACATGACAACGCACATATCATCATGAAAATCAACCCACTTGAATAGCGAGAACAAAAAATGGTACCATATTCTGGGGTAAAGTATCTAGGGAGGTAGGCATTTACATTAACTTAATATTGCCAATTTGGTTCACATAAACCGTCTTAGCTTCAATATTTTTATTACTGATTTTCTAAATGTGACAGATTTTTATATTTGTGCCTCTGTTGCATCCTTGTAAGATAAATGGTAACGTAATTATATTATAATACATTTATTTTTTTGTAATTTTCGCGATCACAAGTTAACATTTCATTCCGAATAATGTTCTCAAGAAATTCATTTTACAAACTGTAAAAGTATCTATTAACAAGCTTTAGATTCACGAGAAAGTTTCTTGACTTTCCAGTAGTTTTGTTAATCATCTCGCAATCCTAACCGTAAAAATATTTTGCCACTTTTTTTTTCGTGTGTTCGCTCACCATACGTAATGAAGTAAAATGTGGGAAGCATTCATATACTTTGCTGGAAATGCCCCTATGGTAGCTTTCATCTCACAGGTGGGTTGTTCTGGTTTCTTGTTTCGCCTATGCAGCTTTCGGTTCCTAAATATCGCAAGCATTCCCCTCACAGCTGATCTATTTATTATATATCATTTAAATTAGTGGAAATTTTTGGAAAATATGGCTGAATGAAAAAAACATATAGTATATGATACTGTGTTTGCTTGCGCATGCGGAAATATGAGTGCAATGAAAACATTGATAATGAATCATAATTTTCTCTGGAAACATGAACTTTCAACAGTGGTCATCTGGATTCCTTTTCATTTCTTTCCACACGTCACTTCTCATGTGTTCTGTTTTTTCTCCTCTTTATGACTAAACTTTTGCCTCATACCTTAAATATATAAATGACTTGATTATCTAACTGATATAATAAAAGAACAAAGCAATAAACCATTTATTTCCTTAAAGGTAGATATGAAGTGAGAGGTTAACGGTAGCTACAAAAGATGAAAAAGTTCACAAATAGATGGATAAATCTTAAATACATGCTTTTCTTCTTCGAATAGCATCTTGAGAAGTGTGTGGTATTCTAAAATTGAATTTTGAAAGAGGAGTATTAACAGTAACTTTTCCTTTCAGAGATATGCCATTGTTCATTAGATCAATTACTTCAAAATATGCATAGTTTATTTTCTCGAACATTATTACTTCAGATTAATCAAAATGCATTCATTGAATTCACAAGGTCTTTTAATCAAACTGCAATATTTTATCAAAGGAGTGGTAATGGAGAACGGAGAAAAATAACATTTTAAAACCTTATAAGTTATTCAGTAAAAGTAATGTGATCAATGATTAAAAATGCTTGTGCATGTTTTAAAAGATAGCAGTTTACCCTTTGGTATTAAGATATGATTTTTCTTTCTTTTTTTTTGAGGTATTTTGAATGGGGTTTATGAATATTGTTATGTAGATTTAATAATAACTACTTAAAGGTCGGCCTAACGCTATGCTGCTAGAAACTAATGCTATACTGGAAAATGTTGTTATGCAAACTTGTTTGTGAAAATTTTGTATAAAACAATAAACTATCAAAGTTATTAATATCAAAGCACTTAGTTGACTATCTCGTACATCTGAAAATCATGCAATATGAGAATTTTCAGGGTGCAAAAGGCTTTTTTAGATGTAAAAGCTCACTACTGATATGAAAGATGTGAATTATCATTTGGCAATGAAGGAAATGGCCTTTTTTACCGGATGGTGGGCTGATGAGGAAAAGCAGCTGTCCCCTTTGTTTTTTCGACTTTGCAGTTTGAATTGTGAAACACCATCACCATAACACTACTAATACAACCATTTTATTCACATTCAAATTCTGTCCTACCTCCATCATCACCTCAATCGCTTTTTCTTTTTTAATTTTTCCTTGTTAACGCACTATTTTACATAAGATTCTGAACCATTAGTAAATGTCTTTATGTTTGATGTTTTTCTGGTAAGAGAAATTCAGTTCATTACAATCACCGCTAGTAGATGTTGTCCATTAATGTTACATGTCGCCTCCACGTAAATCAGGTTGGATCTTTGGATTTTTACTGACAGCTTAATCAACAAACGAAATAAAGTAATCAGCAAGATGACTAAATCATGTAAACTATCACAAAGATGACTGTATTAAATAAGTCAATAATTCTAGCATTTTGATGTAGGTTCTTACTTGGATTATTGCTGTTATTTGTGAATTGCATGATCCATAATAATTTGTTATGAAGCTTCTGAGTTGCCCCATGATTTCCATTTTCTGAAAGTTGTTAAATTTTTGGCTCTAAAATACTCACGATTTCGTACCTTTTTTGAATTTTGTAAATTAGAATACGTAGGCAAATATCAAAGTCATAATTTTTTTCCCCTGAGATTTTTCTGATAATGGAAGCTTTTGCTCCTTTTTTTAAACCTATCATTTGCAACCGTTGAAGACAAAAAATAAGAGCTTCATATTGTTCTTTAATGGTACTAAGTTGCTGATTTTAACCAAAATTATAAACTGATTAACACTGAAGTAAATAAGCGGAGGAATATTTTTATTCAAGAAATTTAAAGGCATTCTTTTCCCAAACATAATTGGGAAATAGTTTTTAGTTAATAGGTTGTGAAAAGAATGCACACATGTATGAACCCGAATTAGAAAACATTCCATAAATTCGTGATTAGCTTTACTTTTGATTTAAATTTAACGTGCATTGAGCATTCATTCATTCTCTGTCAGTGAAGTGTAAACTGGCAATAGCTGTTGGACTAATAGGATGAAAGAAGTATAACAGTTTTTTATGAACTTTTCCCCACTGCTTTATCAGTTTTCTTGGAGCATAATGCTATCATGCTATCCGCATGTCAGCCAGTATCATCTGATAATCTAAAAACTTTAAGTACATTTGGATATACGCTTCATGGCACTTCAAAGTTTTTATCACAGCTACATGGATCGGAGAAGTTATGTTCAGGATTTAGGAGCAGCAAAACTGGGAACCGATCCCTCTAATCATTTTTATGTGTATTTTCATTCTCGATAATTATTTTCAGCTGTGACTTATTATTGATTTTAAAGTATTATGTTTAAATTAGTTGCAAAACATAGCATACACATCTAGCTGTATTTTTCAATTAAATTGCTTTTGACCCTGTTTCTGCCTTAAACACTTTAAATTTTCCATTAATTTCATGTCTTCATCCCTAATTCCGTTGTTGCACCTCAATTGAGAATAAGTCCCGTGACAATAAAGAGAGAAAGGAAGTAAAGGATGTAACCCTGGTTTTGATTTTTCTTTTTTTGTCCTTGTTGACATTCTCTGCATCTTTCATGAAATCGATGAAAGGTGCATAGGATGTTCTTTTTATCTCACTTTACATTTATTTCTTTTTTTTTTTGGTCATTGTGGAACTCATTTTTTAAATTGCTCATTGGTCTGAGGATTCTACAATTTTCCCAACCAATAATGGCTGAAAGTTTGTTACTATCGATATTAAAAGAAACTGGAAGGATGATAGTAGTAGCAGCAGGGCTTCAGGCGTTTAGCAGTTAGCTGTAGCTTGATGCTGGCTCACTTCTTATCCTTTCATTAAGAAAGCCGCTTCCGGTTAGCTTTTATTGCTACACCATCTCTTCGAAATGGATGCTAACTCTGTCTGATCAGGATTGATGACGTACACTCTTTAGAAGACGGACCCACTCCTCCCCCGCCCCACTAATGTTTTTAAATTAGACACATATATAGCCAACATTGCAAACAGACATGCATACATATACACGAGGTAATGCAGATGTGTGTTTGCCTATATATCTGTTTGCAATACACATACGTAGGCATGCACTTACCTATGCAGACGACATGCATTCCAAAGAAGCATAGGGTACGCAAAGAGAATTTGTTCGCAGTGCAATTTTTGTCCCCATTTTATATTCTCTCATGTCTCCTTCACAGAACACTTCTTCCTGATCAGTCTTTATTAATATATATATATATATGATTGTTATCATGAAAGTCTAGTCTTAAACGTATATCACGTTCACACGCACTTTGTTCTGACACACTAAGACTAAGGCTAGATAATTCATTTTAAATTCATGCACTCACTTAAATTGTGGCGATTCCCTGATCCTTCACTGTCACATATCTTCCGGTGAAAACGTAACAATTGCCCAACGTAACACTCTTCTACCTTCTTCCGTCTTTTATTCCTCGTCTCTTCCGTTTCTTTTTGGCGATAATTTTTCAAATGTCTGATTGGATGACATTGTATTGTAGGCATCAGCAATAATTTGAAGGTTGTTCCCTTTGCAGTGCAATGACATTGCTATGCATCTGTTTCAAACTTTCGCTCAATTTATCAAAGTATTTCAGATTTGCTTGAAATTGTGTCTGATAATCTCAGCAAAACGATATCACGTAGGCGGTATTAAAATTACAGTCTTACATATTATAAATATTGGTCATCAGGGCCAAAGAGTTCAATCGTCATTGATTTGTAAAATGACAGAATATAATGATTAAGTGATCAGTAAAGTTTATTCCGAAACTGAAGCTAAATGTTACTGATAGCTTAAGACTATTTTGTTTCTACACCGTCCGGAGAGTACTGCCAAATATGTATTACCATGAGATGAAGTACCTTAAGGCATGAAGCAAATTGAAGTCAGACGTCTACATCCAAGAATTATGTACCGAGAAGCAGGCTTTGGAGAAGTTAAAACTGCTTTTTAAATCCCTTGCCGTGAGGAGTGGTCAGATAAAAGAACATGGAAGGGCGGGTTATTTGGGATGAAAAATAGGATTAGCGTGATTTTATAATGTTGGCAAATGAAATCAGTTATCAAGAATTAAAATGAAGAATGCGGGATTTCTTTATTATATAGAATTTTCCAATAATAATAATAATAATTACATATCGCAATTTTCCCTAGTTGCAAATCAAATTATCTGTGAATGTTCTTTCAGTTAGTTAGAATCAGAAGACTAATATTTCAAGCAGTTCAAACAAGAAGGAGAGAGAGGTGATGGATGAAGTCTGATTATATGGAACGATCACATAATTGCATATTCGTTTGTGAAATGTTTGTTCATATTCTCTTTTCCACAAAAATCGAACCGTGTTTCAGGTGTGATGTCACTCATGGTTTCGGTTTCTAAATTAATATTTCTGGAAAGCCTAATATTTTGTCACCCCAATAATAAGTGTTGTTATTGCTGTGTCTGCTATCAGATGTTTAACACTTCTGAATATTCATAAAGGTTATTGCTGAGCGGTTTCCGACTCTTTATTGGCTGAACTTTAGTACGTATACGAAGATTAATATATATTTTGGAATTAGAAACTCCATTCTGTCTCTCTCACCCATATATTCGATAAGTGGGTTAATGGACGATAGTAATCGGTAAAGCGAGCCTGGAAAGAATGGTTGCTCAGGACATAAAGCTGGAATACGATCGAAGAGCGAACATGTTTGGACAAAATCCAAATGTAAGTTTTCTCATTTAGTGCTTTTCAGATTTCACCTTTCTGCACCAGTATTGTCTTATTTTTTCCTCCTCCGTTTTCCTTTATGTAATGGTTTACAGTTTGCGACATCGTCAGCTTGGCCTCAGCAGAGCTCTACACATAGTTCAGCATCGTTGGCAGTGCAACCCTCTGTCATTGATGGTGGCTCGTTTCTGAATGCTCCGCTCCAGGATTCGACTAATGCCTACTCTCCAAACATGTCTTTCAGCAATAGGTAAGTTGTTATTTGACATTTTACAACGCGGGTCTATCCAGTGAAGTACAAACCATTGGATAGGAGGAGACATGGTAGTCAAAAATAAGATGTGAAAGAGTAGGAATAGTGAAAAATATGAAGATAGATATTTTAAAAGACAATAGATATTTTAAAAGACAAATATTTCATCGATCTATAATAGTTTGTATACGAAACGATGATCTATGCTTGTTAGTCATAATTTCATGTTCTAATTAAGTTATTTACAGTTCTGGTTTGTCGCTGTCTAGTCAGACACATGTGGGCTTTCCTATGGCTGATCATATTCCATCCACCTCTACCCAGAATCCTCATAGCGGTGCTGTGGTCACGCATCAACAGAATAATACTGTAACAAATGTTCACAATCGCTCTTTACAACGCGAATCCGGCACTTCTCCTTTGAGAAAGTTAAGCGTTGATTTGATTAAAACCTACAAAGGCATCAATGAGGTTTGCACTTTTTTCAGTTTCTTTTCAGACTGGTTTAGTTTTTTACAATCTTGGTAAATGCTATAAATCTTATCTTCGAAGATTGCTCGCATCTTTTTCAAGCTGTAACTTTTACGTCGCAGTAACAACCCTACAGTAAATAATGAAATTTCAAATTTCCTGATAATATTTTAGAGTTATTATGCACGAAAGGCGAAAAGGCGACATGAGCAAGAGCATCATACACATGGACTTCATGCAACAACTCTTTCCGAACATCATCATACTGCACCACCACCCAAACAAGCCGTTTCACTCAATCAACAAGTGAAAACCTTCTATTTTGACATTTGCTGGAAGAGTTTTTAAAGTTATTTGAAAATTTTGAGGTGAGGACTTATTCGTTCTAAGAAATTATTTGCAGATTACTTCAAATTTGATACAACAAAGCCATCCACAACATGTCCATCATTCGATATTTTCTCAAGCTGCTTCTGTCCCTTCATTGTTGCATCATTTGCATGTGCAGGTCACCTTTTATACTTAATTGAAATATTAGAAATGATCTGAGCATGTCAGGATGACTCCAGAAATAGATAAACCCAATTGGTAGTTGGAAAACTTCTTGACAGAAAATCGATGAGAACATTTCCAATATATCTCCTTTAGAAGCAAGAACATGATTTACACCAGTAATGGATGATAAATCATTACTGAATTAGTGATTACATGAAAGTCTTGTTCTATGATTCCTGGCAAAACAACATGTAAATCCAAAAATTGGATTCGTTGTGCACTGTTTAGAGTGATTTTAGAATAAAATTAATTTAGGTTGTTGAAAACCCACGTTCTGGAAGTCACAACAACGGTTATGACGATGATAATCATGACTATATCATACATCCCGGTGAACTTTTCAGTAATAGGTTAGTTTATCACTTTCTTTCACATAGCTTCTCTTTGCCGACAAGTTCATAAAATTAGTTATTTAGCTTTGTTGAACAGTGCATGCGTTTTCCAGGTATCAGATTGCATGTCCTCTTGGCAAAGGTTCTTTTGGACAAGTTGCAAAAGCGTATGATACTGTGGAGCAGCAGGATGTCGCTATCAAAATTATAAAAAACAAAAAGCCATTCCATGATCAAGCTCAAATTGAAATCCGGTTGCTTGAAATGATGAACAGTCAAGAATCTGAAAGCAAACATTACGTTGGTATGTTATACATTTTATTGAATTTGGAAACTGTAGAACAAAAAATTTATCGAGGAGATTAATAACATCGTGGCATTGAAATTTTATTCGGGTATTCCGAAATTTTTTGAAGTGAAAAGAAGGGCAGTGTATTTCTAATTTTTGATTTTTCACCATACGAAGTGTTTATGGGAGAAATTTTTTGTAAATAATATTAGAAAATATAGGCGCATTTTTCATAACAACAGTCTAATAAATATCCTAATTTCAGTGAAACTAAAAACTCACTTCATGTGGCGTAATCACTTATGCCTTGTTTTTGAACTTCTTTCGTATAATTTATACGACTTATTAAGAAATACTGATTTCCATGGTGTTTCGCTGAATCTCACAAGAAAATTTGGACAACAAGTTTGTTTATTTATTTATTAAGTGAATAAACGGAAGATCATTTTAATAATGGAAACATAAATTTAATGCATTCACTGATTTGATGCACACATTCACTGAATGTGCTGTTCCCTACCTGTTTGCACCTTATTATAATCTATATTTTCAATTTTGAGTAAATGATTACCATATGCCGATGAGTCCTGTGATTTGAGGTAGAGGGGGAGCTTATTTCACACTTTAATAGGTTGTAGTGAGAGGCCCGGTTATCGTTTCCACAATGGCAAAGGTATAGAAGATTACAAGTCAGGTTTAAGATAGCAAATTTTGTTGTAAACTTGGAACAATTTAATTGTTTTACAGCAACATGTAGTGTTTCTGATGTCCAAGTGATAGCAGTAATCGACAAGTATATTTCATCTTTCCATTTTTTCATGATCTTTTTCATCCCTTTTGTTTCAGTTGGCCAGTACATTGATGTTTCTTTCATCGCCTCAGCTAAATATCATACACTGTGATTTGAAACCAGAAAATGTTTTGTTATGCAATCCAAAACGTTCTGCAATCAAAATAATCGATTTTGGTTCATCATGTCAACTTGGTCATCGTATTTACCAATACATACAGTCAAGATTTTATCGTTCACCTGAAATTCTGTTGGGTTTGCAGTATGACACAGCCATTGATATGTGGTCTCTTGGTATATGCTTTTCAGATCCCATTCTGTTTAAATTGGTTCAGTTTCCTGTAGTTTGTTCTCTAGCAAGTTATTTTATTCGTTAAAATAGATCAAATTGTCCTACTGATGAAGTTCCAAACTAAATTTGAATTTTATGATTTGTATTGCATTGTGGCTTAAAAATGTGGTTTTCTCATTTCTTTGGTTCAGGATGCATACTGGTTGAAATGCATACTGGTGAAGCACTATTCGCTGGTACTTGTGAGCACGATCAAATGATGCGCATAATTGAAGTGTTGGGTATGCCACCAAATCATATGATTGAAGCTGCGCCGGCAGAAAAACGTAATAAATTTTTCGAGAAAAGTGATGGTAGGTTTAATATGAATAATTTTAAATCGTTTCTTGTTTTCGATATTTAGGACGTATTTTTACATTTTCCTCCTAATAACTACCAAACACATTTCGATTCTTGTCTTGATATTCCCGATGTTTCTAAGTTTTGCATGTCGAACATAATTGTTGTATGCCAACATGTTATCGGAGCTTCGTTTCTGCTGAGAACCCTGGATTCCTTTGAATTGATCAGCAATATTGAATCATAAAGTTTGATTCAGCTCAAGTATTAACTTGTTTATCAATGTAAACGTCAAAAAGCATGAACATGATTTTGTTTGGCTGTCAGAACGAGATGTTGACTCAGTTCTTATCGGTTTCCTCATGCCGGATATATTGCATAAAACGTCCCGAAAAACAATGATATGGAAAATATTGAATGGACTAGTTAGATCGGACAGAACTTTAATGGATTAATTTTATATGGCTTTTGCAGGCATGATACTTTGAATAGAACATATCTCTTTCTGCTTGTGTGGATAGCTATACTGTTTTGCAAATTTTGAGTATTTATTCCATATCTCAGCAATAGGACTTTACAAAGCTATCCTAGAAGCAGGAAACTTCCACGGATTACTTTGTTACAGCGTCAGTAAATGGTGTGAGAGATCCTTTTGAAAGTAGTTGTACGAATAAGAAATTTCAGTAACTCCTTTGAGAAAAAAATTGGGCCATTATGCTAACGGGTGGAGCATAATGGCTTAGTTTTAGATTTAAGTACCGTAACTGTGTATTTTTTTTTTTTTTCTCAGAAATTAGGAAGTGAAAAATAATCACGAAAATCTTAAAAGCAGGAAAAATGGATATATATATATATATATATATATATATATATATATATATATATATATATATATATATATAAAACAAGCCAAAAGCTTTTTAAAATGATCGCACGGACAGAATCACCTGAACGGCTGTTAGTCTTTAGATAGTCTGGCATTTTTGTCAGTATCGTTATTAATGTAGGCTTTTTAAGATGGGAATTATCTGTGTAAAGAATCACGAGAAAACAAGCGTTATCGATCACCAGGATCACGCAAGTTGGCCGATATCATCGGTGTAGACACAGGTGGACCAGGAAGTCGACGCCTTGGCGAATGTGGTCATACTCCTGAAGAATATACGAAGTTCAAGGTTGTATTCGATGGCGGTGTGCATATTTTGAATTTACATGAAAAAATGAAGATTTGGACATAACTCTCATAAGTTTTTTCATTAATCTGATTTTTTCAGGATCTTGTGGAACGAATGTTGACGTTTGATCCGCGGGAACGTATTGGACCATACGCTGCAGTTAGGCATCCTTTTTTCTCACGTAGAAGTGATGAGTGTGTGACTCTGGGTTCTGCTATCGCTTCGCATTCCAGAACCTTGCAGCAACCGGTTACAGTATCCAATGTTCAGGTCAGTACATCACATACATTAAGTTATATTATTATATACAAAAGAAAGCTCTTAATTTCTTCAAAAAGCACTAATTTCTTCAAAAAGCACTTAATTTCTTCGAAAAAGTGCTTATTCTTTTTTTGTCTTCTTTTTAACACTTTCAGGTTGCCCAACCTCATTTTATTGAGGAACACTCAGTCAGTCAGATGGATTGCGCGGATTCTATAGCTCATTCACAACGTATACATTTGCCGCAACTTAACCAGGTATTTTATGTATTTATGGATGCAAATCCTAGCGATGTCAACTATTTTTTCTTTTTTGCTTTTTCTGCAGTTTTGAATGTTTAATATTCCGTGTCATGTTATCTAAAGTTTTTTTTTTTTTCTTTTTAAGACTGTAACCACAAATAATGCAGTCAGTACCAGAATCAAATAAAAAAGATAGAACTCAAGAGCTATTTCTTCACTGCTGTTGTCCTATTTTGCTGCAGTTTCAGGTTCTTGGTCAACCGAGCAATTACCAACAACAAACAGGATCAACAAATCAGAATTTATTTCAGTAAGTATTAATAACTTGAATTTGGTTCTTGCATTCTTTCAATTAATTTTCTTACAGAATTGCTCAACCTTTCGGTTTGTTACCTCAACAAATGCAACAGGGACCGAATCAAAATCAACAACAGCATCAGCAAAGCAATTCGATTATTTCTAGCACAGAACATCAGTTGCAAGCTCCTCCACATTTTGTATCTAGCTTGCAGAATTCAATTTGGACATCCCCTGAACAGGGTGACGATACACGATATGACCATCATTCTCAGCCGTCATCAAATCTTCAACCATCTCAAAGGGTTAGGGCTCATGTTATGAATATGGCTGCCTGTTGTATTCTTAGAAAAGAAAATATATTCATTACGTTCATTCTTTAAATCTTTTCGAATGTAATTGTTACCATACTGCTGAGTTTTTCCCAGTTCAGATGTTAAATATGATCTTTTTCCATATATTTTCATACGTAACTTGCATTTCAGAATTCACTTTTGCCACAAAGTCGCAATCTAAGCTTTGATGGCACAGTAGGGAATGGTCAGGTATCACATCAGCGTCCTATACAGTCTTCAACAAACGGTGCTAGAACAAATCCGACATCGGTTCTGTTTCCTAACAACTTTATACCACAAGCCCAGCAACAACAACAAACAGCCCAAACTGGTTTATCATCAAATTCAGCAAATGCCGATTTCTCATAATTGTTTTATTTGCTCCTTTTATATTTCCTTCTACTTCTGTTTTATTTTTGTTGTATATTTGTACCGTTTCAGTGCTTTCAAAAATTTTTATTTGTTTCAAAACATTTGTACCAGTTTTTTTCTGTGTAAGTAAATGCAAGCTTGTGACCATTTTATTTTATGTTTTCCTATTTTTTTGTAATATCTCTTCGCAATATTTCATAATATCTTCGTACTTTTTATAACATTTTGCTCCTACATTTCTTATAACTAAATTTCAAAGTGTTCGATTTATTCATGTTATGCTGTATTGAGTACCATATGTTTCTGTTTACAGAATTTCTCTTGTGGTTTTCTTGTACTTATTCTTTCATGTTGCGCATGTTATCCGCCATTTTTCTTATCGTCTTATCTATGTGTTATTTGAAATCGTGTATGGAGTTATCCATTTGCTAACCAACTTTTTTATGATTTATTGTATATGCATATCGATTTGTGTTGCTCTTTTGATTAATATGTTTGTATGCATTTTTTCGAAATCGCTAATTTTAGTTTGTACTTAGTCCAGTGTTTTCTTTTTTTTTTTTTTTGAGGGGGTGAAATATACTTCAAATTGTAAAGTTAGTATACTGTAAATTTTCGTTTAACTGTTACGGGCAAGATAAGATTATCCTTGTCGGTTTGCTTTTTGTATCATTTTTTTTTTTTTATTTTTATTTCTGAAACTCTGTTGTATATACCATTTTATCTATTCCATCTCTCCTTAAGTTGCAATGCTGTGCTGACTTTTCGTTTTTATGAATTTTTTTTCCTAATTTCAATTCTGTTTTCCTTTTAACAGCAACAGCAAATTTTGTATTTTCGTTTAGTGAATGAGTAGGCTTAGGATATGCATATATACATATATGTAGAGAGAGGGAGAGAGAGCGGTGTTTGATGCTATGCATGTGGTATTGATTGATACAACATACAGTATGTGGTGAAATTTACTGATTGAAAATTCTCTCCGTTCTTGAAGAAGGGTAACACTTTCAGAGAAATTAAAAAATTTTCGCTGTGTCAAATTCCTTCAAATAACAGGAAGAACCGGTTATAAGTGAAATAATGATCAGTTGTTATGATGAGTTACATTTATTGATATGTTGTTATGCTGATCGATTGTATTTTTAGGTGCTTAACTGCTAGCCGTATTTTTTTTTCTTAGTAATTATTCACTTGCATATTCGGCTATGGATAACTTTGCGTAGTTTTTCTCTATGTTTCAAGTCATTCTTCCTGATCTTCCGCCATTGTTTTTTCTTAAAACACCTGCCGTTTAGATGGTCAAAAGAATCATTTATTGGCTTCTCGTATTTCATCCTGCATTTTTATGCAGTGTCCATCGTGAAACTACTTCCTAATTTAGTAGATGGTCATTTTCTTCATTGTAATTAGTAGAATGAGATTTCCTGTGAATTGACTCCGGTATGACACATCTTATAAGCAGTTTCATAACTGGTTTACATTATTTTTTTATTAATTATTATTAATTAGCTCACATTATTACAATATTGTCATTTTCAGAATGGGAACACGCGTAATCTTTATAGAAAACTTGAATAAAGTATGCGAAAATTAAAATGCTTTTTCCATGTTCTCAGACTTTAGTCATATGACTACCTCTTTGACCTTGTATTACAGAATATAAAATGAAGCATTTCAAATTGGTTGAGGTTTTCAGTGTGCTTTCACGTTATTCAGCAAAGTTTTTGACTATGAAATGTTACACTTGATGTTTTTTTTTCGCATATGACTGTATCAACAAATTGAAGAGAAAGCGGTTTTTCTTGTCAGTTTTCGGTTCCGTGTGTTAAATGAGCAAAAATTGGCGGTACAGTTAAATGCGAAAAAGCTTGTAAGATATGCCATCTACAGATCATTTAGAGTTACTGACAATTGGCATCATTGAAGTTTTCATGGAATGATAGTTTTTTACAATATTTGATAGTGATTCTTCATTGTACACAGTCGAATGACATTATGTGGGGATTGATTCTCATTGATACATTTTTCCACATTTATCAAGGTCTTATAAAGTTCTCGGTTTTTTTTTGCAGAGTTATTCAAAAAAAAGTGTATTTGTTTTCTTTGCACTTCATTTCGATATTTTCAGTTAAATTCTGCTCGGTACTGATTTAAAAAAAGAAAGGAAAAGATGTTTGTTTAATATTTGACTGAATCGGGAAGTTAACTTTTTTGATGTTAATGAAGTTACGGATGGGAAATTAGTATGGATATAAAAAACTATGACAGTATTAGTTATGATTGCAAAGTCATGGCATATTGAAATTCGCATGAATTTCTTCGCTTGTTTTTTTTTTTTTTTTTTTTTTTTTCACTGCATTAAAAGAAAGCAAAATTTATTGATAATGTAAATAACGGAACTTATGAATAATGGGTGATCCGAATTATAATTATTTTCACAACTGCAACATGAAGTTTTATATCTAGAAATTCGGCCATCTTCTGAAATCATTTGCATTCTTTCTATACCAATTTTATAATGATATAAAAATTGATTCCTTCCTATGAGATTCTTCTACTTTCTACCTTTAGCCACTGTTAATAATAAAATCATTTGAACTAACATTTTCTTTTGCGTGGCACCAAGTGTGACCTCCTAGGCGTTATACCCGCTCGAAAGAATACTCTTGCTAATTCACCGTTTCTTTCTTTTTGTTCAATTGTATTATAATCACCAATAAACTTTCCATTAACATATAGTTGTGGTACCGTTCGAATACCACCGGTTCTGTGTTTGAGATAATCCTTGAAAAAGAATGCAATTTCAGAAACTAGCCAGTTTCAAACCTGCAGCAGATAGATTAGTTTAAAAGATATATTTTAGTCTCTTAACATATAATTAAGTAGTTAGATTAGAATTAAGTTGGAACATTTGTTCTGGGTGATTGAATTTTATTTTACATTGCAGTAAACGTGTAATAAAGCATCAGTTCAAAACATTTACGTTTATTTTAAGTAAATTTCCGTAATAAAGAAGAGGGTCGAAAAGGTAGGATATAAAAAGCAATTCTGCAAAATATATTAAGAAGTATTTCAATTAGTAAACGACGTAAGGGAAAGTTTTAGTGATTAACTTTATGATTATTATATTTATGTTTGAAGTTTCCTTTCTTTTTAATAGTCTCATATTTATGTTATGATTCCGCCTATAAAATAGTGGAAGTTTAGCAAATTTAGCAAAATTTGATGTCCAATTTGTGGATTTCGCAATTTTGAAATTGTCAGAATTTTAAAACTTTGCGTTTAAAATTATATTATATTATATATATATATATATATATATATATATATATATATATATAATACTGTATTTTTTTAGTGTGTTGCCGATACAACTAACAAGCAGAATGAAGTAATGATCAAACGGAATGTAATGTTGTTAGAGATATAACATCGAGTCATTGTGACAAAGTTGCTTGTTTGTCTTGGATTCGACTTGAGCTTTTCCATGAAATGAAGAATTTCGATATAATTTCAATTTGATATACAGTAAATGCAGAAATTAATGCTTATGTCAAGAAATACTAGGAAAATGATAATTACTTTGAGGAAATTGTAGCTTTTGTATGATATTCAAATAAACCAACTGCGTAAGCGTATTCTATTAGTTATTACTTTATTTTGTATTTTTTTTATTTGACAACCAATGAATGTTGTCAAATACTTTTGTTACTTCAAATTTAATTCTTAAAGCAACATACCTCCGATTAAAATGTGTTTAATAACAACTAACCATCATAATATAATGCTTAAAAGGGGCAAATTTTCAGAAAATTCTTCTTTGGCTCAATTTTTTTTTGATTAGAGGTTTTTTCAAAAACTAATTTTTGATGAGATGTAATGTTTATTTTATTCTTCCTGTGATGGCATGCACCTCCTCTTCAAGATGAAATGAAGCAGTAAGGTGGAAAAGGGGAAAACAATATGTACAAAGAACTTGTATAGGAAAGATTACTTGATAAGGAATGATCTTCACTACTTGATCAGCGAATCAATTTTTTTATCCAAAGTGAACATGGTAAGTAGACGAAATAAGAAAGTTATTTGCTTTTAGGAAACTAAGGTTAGCATAAATAAATTGGAATACATTGTTTTTGATTAAATTGGGATTCTCTTACCAGATGTGCAGGAAAACACCATTGATAACAGCGATTTAGATCATTTGATGCGTTTGTTGTAAAAAATAATTTTTTCAGATAGATTTATGTAAAAGCTAATGCAACAATGTTTTCGTTTTTTTTTTTTGAAGTATAGAACTTACCTGCATCAACTGCATATCGGGTTCAAGATTAAGCTCCATAATTCTTTTGTCCCTGATATTGTATTTTCCTATTAAATGCTTCAGCTTAATGCTATATTGGCAGTAAGTTTTCGAAAAAAGAACCACTTGATGATTTTGTATCATTTTCTCCAAATACCATTCCACATTGTACCGGTTATTTCCACTGATCTGATCAAATTGTAACTAAAACCGACCCGAAATTATTGATTTATCGGATGTGATCCAGTTTCTATTTATTGGCATAAAGAATTATTGAGTGAAATCAAAACTCTGTTCAATATTTACGGACAGGTAATTATTAATTAATAATTGAAAACTGAAGCAATCAAAGAATTCAAGCTATAATTTTAAAAAAAAAGACTCTAATTCTCATTTTTGCTTAATTATAACATTAAGATTATCAACTTTGCGATAATAAAATAATCCTGGTCTGCTGGAATAAGAAATTCTAATTTTTAGCTGTGATTACTTTACGATTTTTCAATAAATTGGCGATATTTTTTATTTGAAGCTTCAAAATAAGAGTTTTTCGGTTTTAAAAATTCACCTCGAATTCTTGCTGCTGATATTATTCGTTCAAATTCTAGTCTTTTATTTAAATTCTAACTTTGCAGCAAATAGTAAATTTGCAACTTTTTAATAACAATTTTATAAATATGTGAAATTATTACCAGCATCAGGAAGGTTGACAGGAAAAATTGTAAATGCATCATCATTAGAAGGATGATATATATGTAACAATACAAAGGCAAATACAAAATTAAGATGAAATCGAATAATGTTTCACTATAAGAATATGCAATGCTCAACCAGCTGATCCATTTAACGAAATTCTGTCACTTATCAGAAATTTCATTTGCTGTCGTATTCGACTTTGCTGATGTAGGCCTGATACTACACCTGCAGTTAATGATGATACAGTGATCCTCATGATATTATATTTTATTCTTGAATGAATGAAGCATTTTAACATTCTTTTAAGACATTATTAGATTCATTAATTTAGGAAGTACGTAACTAAAGGATGACTAATTTGGGCAACAAAAAAAAAAAAAACTAAAGAATTATTGTGTAGAATAACATAATAATAAGGGGGTTGTAAATGATGCATTGTTTGCAGCATGCAAATGGCATAGAAACGGAATTTAATGCAATAACACTATCATTGCTTATTACTGTGTCGATGTAAATGTTTAATCTATTGAAATAGTATTCGGACATTTCATAAATTAATGTGGAACAATTTCAAAGACGAGTTGGGCGTGTGATGCATTTGCTTGCTGGGGAAAGGAAGTGAAATCAAACCTATCATTGTTGGTAGTAGAAAGGTAACGTTAACGGATATTGCAATGGCATCATCATGCAAGAATCGCGCAAATGCGTACAATTAGAAAAAAAAAAAAAGAAAAAACAGAGAAACATCGATAGACACAGGACAGAGCAACTTTAACTGCAAACGGCAGACGACGACAATGGTTGCAAAGTTTGCAGAAGGAAGAAGAATGATAGGAAATCACTCGAGATAAAATTTTTTAGAATTTTGCAGTCCATCGCTGTCCGTCTCCTACTTCTTTCCACTCGATCACTAACATTCAATGTTAGTAACTTTCATTGGCCAATCTTCCAAATCATTACCATTTAGAACTTTATGCTTCAGTTTCATCTATGAGATTCTATGCTTCTTTACATATTTCAGTTGCCCAATGTCTTTGAACTGGTTATTTTAATTGCAATTTTCTTCAAAAAAAGAAAAAAGTTCATTCGTTAATTGTTTTATTTGATATTACCTATAAGGAAGCAAAAGTTAATGAGACAGGGAGAAGTTTTTGATTTCATTAGAAAAAATAATGCAATAAAATGAGTAGAATTTCTCAAGTGTTACTGCGAAAATAAGTAGTATAAAGAAATTAAAAATAGAACACACAACACAGGAAAAAGTTTTTCAGTCTTTTCTCAATAATTCCAACTTCACACTTCTTACTTTCTTTGAAGACTACAGAAGGAAAAAGTTTGGAAATTCAGGAAGTTAACAAAAAGTACTTTTCTGTGCTTTTTATTCCTTCAAATTTCTTTCTTTTTAAATTAACTGTGCTTTTCAACAGTTCTTGGCATGTGAACTTTTACATATGCCGGAAATTAAAAATTAAAAACATCTGAAAGTATTGTCAAAGATAGAAATGCCAACGCTTGACATTTTCTTTTGGTCGTTTGGGTATTTCCTATTGGTATTCTGACATTAACAGAACGAATCTATTTAACAATTATTATTGAAATATTCTAGCCTATCATCTTAAATTAAAAACGTAAGTGTTGACGAAAATAATAAGCTCAGAATTCTATACAATATGCAAATTAAGTCTTCAACGGTATTTTGATTTGCTAATCATATGTAGTGAATAAAATGTGAAATCATTCTTCTTTTTCGCGGTGCAAATATTATAGGGGCTAATTGGAACTCTCTGGGGCTACAGTTACTGTGAGGACAATTCTAAATAGTTTCGTATGACAAAGTGTAAATCTAAATGAAGCATTTTCAACAAGAATTGATTTGAAAAAAATTAAGAAAAAAGTGGAAAAAACGAAGAAAAAACCAAAAATTAACATTAAAAGTTCAACTAAAAAACTTTTCTTTGGGTGGATTTTAAAAAAATTATGAAATGGTATTTTTAAATGAAGGTTAAAATGTAAAATAAAATTCTTCTATAACTTTTCAAATATGACAGAGGAAGCTCTGGTTGTAATACAGATCAATCATTGTGTTACCAAATAATTTTTCTCAAGCAGATCGTAGTTTTTTCTCTAATTTTATATAGGCGAAAAATTTTATACGAAGTCTTTTTATTGAAATTTTATTCTTTTCAAAGAATAAAACATTTATTTAGCGGGCTAAGCTATTTCTGTACAACTAAATTCTCCATTATCTATCATAACATATCCATTTAAAATTAATTTTAACAAAAAATGATTGTGGATAAAATGAAACAAAGAACGAAGAGCAGTAAATAAATTGTCGTAAAATGGAAAAGAGTAACCATTTTCTGATGAGCTAAAATAAAATTTTTGTAGTTTGTGTTAAACATTACATGGTCGTCTTATCGGAAACGTTTAAATACAATATTAATTTTTGCAACAGCTTGTTTTTCTGATCTATTCGCTGATCTATTAAAATTTTAATTCAAATTAACGCGAAATATTTTTTGTTTGCATCTAATATGAAAATGATGAGTAAATGTAAAGAAACAACACATTGATATTGAGATTCTGGGCTACTCGTGATGGCCTAATAAAATGAAATTATAGATCAATCAAAATTAAAGAGCTGATAATAATACCTAAATAATTGAACAGTGCAATTGCTATAAATATTAATCCAATGCAGTTTAAAAGCTTAAAACTACTATTGTCGTTTATTCCTAATAATCATACTTTAGATAATTTTTTCTCATTTTACTAAAGAGATTACATTTCTTTTACTGCTAAAATTTTCAAAAAAAAAAGCCATTAAACTACTAAAAAAAATTTTTAATAAGCTTTTATCCCACTGTATCGCCTAAGCTAAATAGTGGAAACATTTAAATTGTCTGATGATTTTTTCAAAAGGTACTTTTAACGCATCATATTAAATTGTCAGAAAGGTCTTTAAAATCTATTAAATCAAGCAGGCTTGTTGAAATCATTTATATATTTCGTCGCTGCCAGTCGTGGTTCATCCATGAATCGCCTTAACAATTTACTTTTACATTATTATCATTTTGTTATGCAGTTACTTCTCATTTTTCACCAAATTTTTTGAAAAAAGACGAAATTGTTTTTCTTTTTTTTTAGTTAGTAGCTATAAAATAGTTTCAGTATGCTTATTAAAATTTTATCATATTTTTTCTCAAAATATTGATTGATGAAAGAGAAACAGTAAAACTGCGACATGACTCATAATGAAAATAAATTCAATAATAACAACTGGTGACAGGAAAGTTATGCTTGCGATACTACCATCATCTTTTGAAATTTCTTCAAAATCCAAGTTTTGAATTTTGATTAAATTAAATCATAAATTTTAGCTTTGTTGCATTGTCAACTAACAATTCATTAAAGCATGATTAGAGAGAGGATCTTTACAGTCAGACTTAAAAAGAATGTGAAAAAGTTAATTTCATCAAGAAACATGGTAAAATGATTTACAAAACAAAAGTTTTGCTTAGCTAATTTAATACATAATACATATAGATATTTCCAAATTTTCGTATGTTCTTTAATAACTAATAACTATTCAGTATGAAATTAAATGCCTTTTTATTATTTCTATTAAATATAACGTAGGGATTTTGCATGTGAATGTATTTATTGAAATTAGTTTTAACAAACTAACAGCGGTATTAACGATTCAGTTTGTGCAACCATTATAGATATTCGAGAAGTTAAATTGAAAATATTTGAGAAAAAAAGTAATAACGTTGATTGATTTCGTCTTGAGAATTTTTCATAGGTTTGAATTGAAACTTTAGAAATGAATGCCAAAATGATTCATAATTTTGCTGTCTTTTAAAGTTATCGCTTCCTTTGTTGCATATTTATCTTATAATTCATAAATTCTTCTCAATGATTCAGTTTCATTATTGTACCACCTATATTGCAAACAATTAAAAAGATTACCATTAGTTTTTCGTTTTATTTACAAGACAACCTTATCAAATTTAAATTAATCAATGATATTATGATCAAATATTAACATTCCATTTTGAACCAATCATTATGAATAGAATGTCTCCAAAACATGCAAGCATATCAATCTGGAGTATCACTAAACATCATTTTTATATGTTATTATGAAATTGACATTTTCAAATTGTAATGAATTACTACGTTTTTTGAAGTAATAAGCAAAAACTGCTCTCTGCTAGTACTTTTGTTGCTTAAATGAAAAATTCGCACATTTTAAAAAATATGCACTAACAATTCACTTCTTATTCTCTACTTGTCCTACTGCATTCTTCTGCTTTACTATCTATGTAGCAAATGTCACCAGTTCTATGCTGGTTCGATGATCATTTTCATCTGTTTACTGTTGTTCTCCAAAATGTTTATACCAATTTTTGGACCGTATTAGGAGATAGAAGATAAAACAAGACTTAAAACACAGAACGTTGTTATATTAGATCAATGTAAAAGAAATTACAATTTTGAACTGTAAATTCTGAATTGTTCCAATTAAGTTTATTAATAGAGATATTAAAAATAAATAAGCATAATTAATCATCAAAAAAAGAAACGAAACACAAGGCGTGAAATACATATGAAAATGATGAAGTAATCTATTTCAGTGTAAAACAGCAAGTGATGTTGATTTAACTGCCAATTTTAATCAACGAGAGAATTAAATTTCATTTATCGTTTTTTTTTTTTTTGTTGATTGTAAAAAATTCCTAGAAAACGCATTATATAGAAATCACGGTGATTGTGGAACTTCTAGTGCTGAAGCAACTTTCAGTGATCATTAATAAGACATTTCGCCTTTCCATAATCAATAAAATCAACAAAATTTTCCTGTGACCACAATCAATAAACTCCTCAATATAGATCTAACGAATTTGAGAAAATTTGGAAAGTTTTTGCTAAAAATAGAAAGTTTAAATTTCCAAAACGAATTTCAATGTCAAAAGAATATATTGCTAATATTTCAGTATGTTGTAACTATAATTATTACAGTTCCTATTCTTGTTACAGAATCGAACAATAACACTGGGAGAAATTTTCAAAACTACTGTAATATTTTGGTATAATTTTGAAGTTCGAGGAAGAAATATATTCCTGAATATTGTGCTGGTTTTGTAATTGTTCTTTTCTTTTACTGCTAATATTCCAAGATAAAGTGCGAATTGATTAAACAATTATGTATATAAACATCGAAACTATGCAAATCGGTTCTTCAAACTTTTGGAATCATAAAATAATGACATCTAAAGGATAATAATTTCTTCATGTTGTCCAACAATTATTTTTGAAACGTTTAAAAAACTCTCTAATATTTCTAAATTTAATTATTTGCACTGGTTTTTAATAAATTTTGTTGCATAGCTTGATTTCGCTCAAAAATATAAATCTATAATTGTTATTAAAGTTAATACAAAGCGATAATTTTTATAAGTTTTACTTTTTTAGTGTAGACATAAAATGCTCATCTTATCATAATATAAAAATAACTTTGAATTAAATGGTGGAATGAAACCTGGTATGATAAATTTCATTATCATTTATGGCAGCCAACAGCCCCGAAAAAATAAATTTTTTATAAAATTTTTTATATATGATAAGATCCACATAAATTTTTGATATGATACCAAAGTCATTTAGATGTTTGAAAGAACACCTTTCTCCAGTAACAATTTCAACTGAGCTATGGTTAAATGGTCAAATTGTTGTTGAAATTTCAACTGAGCTATGGTTAAACGGTCAAATTGTTGCTAATTTCACAATTTGGTTTTTAGAATAGATTGTATTCATAGTTGACTGCAACACTTACATCCTCAATTTCATTCCTGCTAAAGTAATTTTGGAAAAAATTCATGAATTTTAATACTATTCCAAGAAACACATCGATCAACAATCTAGAGCTATGACTTTAGTTAACGTAAATTTCTGAACTTTGAATCACCAGACAAATCAAAAGTACAGATCTTCCAACAAATAGTTTGTAATTTAATTTAAACATTTTTTATTCTAAATATTTTAAATTAAATACTATTGTCGGTCACAATTTTTTTGTATCTAATGCAATTTTCTTGAGATGAAGGACCAATTCGGTTTGTTGGAAAAAAAAAACTTAAATTTCAAAATTACTTCTCTAAAGAAGCTGAAATTTTCAGGATCATAAAAAGCCTTAAAATATATTTGTGAAAGTAAAGGAACGAATATAAGACATGTTCAAGATTCATAATAATCTTTGGTGATGTTAAGTGAAGTTGCATTTTTATTACATTATTCGTTGTTAGGAATGAAATTTAACGAAAAATTTTTTCTTATCTTTTCCCACTATTTCCTTTCAGCATTCTTTTTTCATGACTATTATTTCCTTCTATCATTTTTCTTTCTTTCGCAAATAAAGTTTAAAACAATCGTTAACAGTTTCTTATTAGTGTTTGTTATTTTAACATTCATTACTAAATCGGCATTCACAGGTCTAAAGATTTCGCAGAATACTAGTACTAGATTAATTCATATTGGCAAACGCATAAATCAAAAATAGAAAAAAGAATACCAGTTTCATTCAGTTTGATATTTCATAAAAGAGTAGCACTGCATCCTGAACGAATTTTTGAAATTTCGTCCAACAATATTTTAAGAGGTAAAAGTTGATTGAAATATTAAATCTCGAAGTGACTAGTTAACTTCTAATTGTTGTTTTTGAATAAAGTGCAAAATGTTTTTTTATCAGTTCTTGTTTAACGAATAAACGAATATGTTTTTAACAGATATGTTGAAATTCTCCTAGCTTCAGGAACATTAAACTTTTCCATTACAGCTCTTAGTCTCAGTGTTAGCAGACTTTCATTGCATCTTTCATTTAACAAGTGCTAAGGTAAGAGGAGGTAGTTATTTTGGTTCAAAACAATTCTCATAATTTCTATGCTCTGAGACAAAAACTTTTCGAGAAATAGATCATACATACATAGAACTTGTGGACGGAAAGACAGGAAAGAATCATTTATCGATTCCATCCATCAGTTCAACCAGCACAAATTGAATGGATTAAGGAATGATAGCAAAAAGCACAGAGAGCATATGTAGAGTAGCAACAAAAGTTTTCGCGTTTCATGAAGAAATAAGTTAAAAGTTCTCGGGTAGGATAATAAGTGGTAAGAAAAATTGCTCAATAACGCCGAGAAAGTGGAGTCCCTACAATCAAATTTTACTGCTGATATCGAAACGATGGGCGATTATAGTTATGGTTTGTCCCGGGCGCAATCTAATACACTCCTTCACTCACATCGTCCCAGAATACTAGTAATTCCTTCCTTCTTTCCTTTCCTTTTTTTTTTTTTGTTTGTTAATAATTACTAACTTCTACAATAAGGAACTGTTTGAAATATCATTTACCTTTAAAATTAACTTAAAAATGCTTTTTCCGGAAGATTTTCGATTCCTTGTACATATTTTGGTGTATTGAAAAAAGCGAGGTATCTACTGAAATTAATTGGTTCACAATTTACAGGTAACTCGAACAAAATCAGTACCGGATCTTGTGAATTATGTAAGAAGAAGCAGTAAATACAAGCCTCAATGGGGCTATAGATTCTGGCCTGATTATGATTTGGTAGGGTCAAAAATTTCAAATGTAATTAAATCTGACTGAATAAATTTATCTACCCTAAAAATGTTTCAGTACGATGACTTTTGGCATGATCGTTACAGTGGATTCAGACCACTTTACAGAAGTTCATACTATCCACGGCGTTATTATCATCCAGATATAATGCCAAATCCGCATTACTGGAGTGGACCATATACCACATGGGCAAAACATAGAGGATTTTGGTAATTTTAATTTCAAATCATTTTAATCATTAAATATTGAAGGTCATGGAGCACTCATTTGTTTGCATTTCCTGTCAAATCTCATTACAGAAGGATTCTGGAGAACTGGATTTATTCCAATATAATGAAAACTGTGAAATGTTTTTGCAAATTCATTGGAAAAAAAGTGTGATGAGAGATGTGTGCCATCTAATGCTACTTTCCAGAAAAGGATTGTGGCAGAGAGGTAATACAACTCCGCATGTTTACTTTTTTTGAAATGTTCAGGTACGATTACAACTCACCATTCTACTACCGAAGGTACTTCACTTATTATGACGACTATCCACGCTATATTTATATTCCGTTTCGCACTAGAAATTATACACCAGAAATTACTACACTCTACGGTCATTACTGCTGAAAAGCGAAGCTCATTCCTCAATAAACTCCGTGTGGCACAATTAATCAATGCTTATCTAAAACAGTTTTCAGTCCATTTTCACAGGAAAACGTGCTGCACTTGAACACATACTTTACTTCATTTAGTGCCTATGCTTCATAAGTGTCCATTCTACTAAACTCATGTGATGCATTAACCTGTTTTCCTTAGTATGTATCAAATAACAAGTTTATCTCATGTTAGATTCAATAGTTTGGTGTTATATAATATTTATTTCTCCATTCCATCACCACACTTTTTCCACCATCACAAAATTCAGATTAAAATAAACACCAAAATTTATTGCTCTACTGATTCTTTTGTCAGCCACAAATGAAGTAAATCTTACGAAATAGTGAACCAGGATATATTATAAAATGGAAACTGTAATAAAGAACCAATAAAACAAGAAACAATAATATCACAGACAATACATAACATAAATAGATAAGCTAATATATAAAAACAAGGAAAATATAATGTCTAGCTTACTGAGGTCACTTATCTATCGAAGCTATATTTGAAAGTAACTACATTCGGATAAAACTAGCAATGCTTATCAATAATTCTGAAAATTCGCCAGTCTCGAAAAATGCAAAGATGATATGGAAATTGGCAGAGGAGCATTCACCCTTCTTATTCTAAATTGAAAAGTACTGTTGACTATATGGCACAGACATCATAAAGCTGCACACTATAGAGAACAATGAAGAGATGAAAATGATAAGGGATTATACGTAATAAATACAACATATGGAAGGAATTATGAATGGCCATAATCACTGATAACTGTAACATAATCAGCGAATTTTAAACTAATCACATCTGATCAAGGAAAAAAATGCAACTGTCCATACCAAATGCAAAATCAAGATAAAGGACACAAAAATAATAAATTCCTATAAACTTCAACAAGAAGTCTGCCACAATAATGTCAATGAGAACAAACGGAAACTATCGTTTAAATTAAAAAGGATGATATCATTTCTGCAAGAATGTTACATACCTAACAGGTATGTTAGGTATGTAACATTTTAATTAAAAAAGGATGATATCATTTCTGCAAGAATGTTACATACCTAACAGGTATGTACAATATATGTTAGCGACTGAAATTACTTGAGGAACCCCATTATTAAAAAACCTTTCTTAAATGCCTGCTTACAAAAAATGAATACTTTACCTGATTCAATGGAAAAAGAACACGTATTCTTCTTTTGGCAACAAGATCACTGGCCATATTTTGACTTAGATTAAGAAAAGTGAGTTAAAAGCTGCAAGCACAGAGATAACTTCAAAATATGAATTTTACAGAGAAAATATAAACAAATAGGCACTGATATCTAAAAAGTGCCAAAAGAAACGTAGACGAATACATGATTAATGGAACCTAGTATCAAAAAAATACATCCTTCAGTATTTAAAATTATATTAACAAATATCGCATTAATTAGTATATTCCGGTCTCACGAAAACTATTGGAAAACTCAGAAGAAAAGTAAAATGTGATTTACTGCATATGAATAAAATGAAAACAACGTATTTTAAGAAAGGAAATAATGCTCAGAAATATTCATATGGTCTACCACCAATCTCTCTATCCATCAAAAGGTTAGAAAAATGCATCCAACAAACAAAGTAAAACTCAAATATAATAGCAGTAAAATATAGCACAAACAATTTAATAATAGATAATTTAACGTTAAAACAAATGTTGCTATTCTGAAATGCATAAAAATGAGCATGTATAGAATAAAGAGAAACAAATACCAAAAGTAAAAGCAAGCGACAATCTCTTGCATTTACAAGAATCACACAAATATAAACAGCAATATCTTGTCCAAGATGCTTGCATAAATGACTCTACCTGACACGTAGAGAGAATCTTAGAAATAAATTTAAAGCTTCATTTGAAACCAGCACCCGCTGTTCAGTTAACTTCAAGCAATACTTAAAAGAAAAAAGATTATGTAACAAATATTTGAAAAAAATCATAAGAATTGCAACTCAAATAAAATAACTAAATCGCGTGATCGTAAAAACAGTTGTACTAAAAACTATAGAAAAGAAGTAGTGATGATAAATTAGTAAGCTGTGCAATAGAAAAAAAAATGCATTTGAAAACAATATATCATGTAAATTCGCAGAAATTCAAAAAAAACATAACAGGAAATAATCAATATATTCATAATAACTTCGACTTTTCATTATAATTGGAACGAGCTCATGCAGAATGAATAAACGTAAAAAATTGGACCTAATCATTATCGTTGCCAATGCATTTAATAGAATGCAAAGAATTTTTAAATAAGCTGAGAAGACTGATAACCGTGCGCAGTGTGCTCCTATACAATTTTTAAAAACTATATTTTTAAAGACCTAGAACTACTGCAAAAATAGTGCTGAAGATACCTAAACAATTCTGAGACACTCGTCTAAGATCCAAACGAGGAGACTACCAGTCCAAAACATCCTATGTATGCTCCAAGTAATAGGCCCTGTATAATACCTTACTTGATATGCTGTAAAGCAATGAAGCAAATTATTATGAAATCAAAAATAAATAAATGAAAGCACACTGTACCCGCATCTGGAAATAAAGATTTCGATTGCTAGCTAGCCGATATCTAGCTAAGTTAAAATTCTTGGACAGCGAAAGGTCGTCTAGGGAAGATACGCAGCTCCGAAAGTTTATCAATTCGCTGCGACAGTTCTTCTAGACGTTTCAATGTTGGCTTTACATACACGTAAACGAATTCAGCTACCGTATCATTGTAGAAAACAGTTTGCATTTCAGTTCTAAAAAAAGTCTGCTATTAAATGCTCTAATGAATTCACTTTATCATGAGAAAACAAAAATTTGCAAAACGTCAAATCAAATTACTTGATATTCTGCTCGCAAACTTCCATTTCACGAAGGAACGACTTAACCTTATACAACACTTGATCAAGATACCAGGCTTGTGTGTATAAATGTTTCTCATTGAATCTTGCAATCCACCCACGAACCTTAAAAACAATATCTGTTTTCACATTAGGCTTAGTTTTAAAAACTGAAACAAACCTGATAATCATTGAAAACCTGTTCTTCAACGGAATTAATTGTCGAATGTAATGTCTGCACAGCGTGGAAAACGTGTACACCTACAAAATATTGTAAATGAGTTTTATTCATAATACATATGCATACTGCTCGCGATGCGCTGATCTGCATTTTTCGCTATCTACAAATCCAAATTTCTTGGAATTCCAAAATTTAAATTTAAGAAATATAATTTACAAAATTCCTTCAAACAACATTTAAAAAACTAAGGAAAGACCGATACCAGGAAAACTGCACTGCGGTATGAATGGAGATGAATTTTTGTCGAAATATAATACCGAAGAGCACTTCAACGACTGTGAGACTGACCGCATCACTAAATTTCAAATTTAATTAACTTTTCAACAGCATGAAAATGACGTCAGTGCTTTGCGAGTATGGAGAGCATAAGCACATGCGGATCATAAGAGAGAATCATGTTTAAAATGAAAAGTTATAGAAATTGCTACATTTCCGAAAGAAAAATAAAAACAAATTTAAAGGATATGCTTCTATCTATAAATCATCGAAAGAGATGCAAGCATTTTCTACCTAGATTTTTCCATGAAATAAACCAGAATTCTTACCTTCAAAATCATATTGGCCATTTTTTAAAACAGCCATGTTTACAGCAGCAGAAAGAAGACCAACTGGTATAATTTCGCATATGATGGCAAAATGGTCAAACCTGAAAGTGGTTAAATATTTAGAAACATCAAATTCACTTTGCACAACTTAGGAAAAACAAATGTAAGATATTATCATGAATGGATCGTCCATTAATGAAGTAAGCGAAATACTTATCATCGCTTTTGCTAGTAAAGTTACCTACTCGATTAGTTCATTAAAAAAAAAAAAAAAAAAAAAAACGTAACAATTACCAATACATATGTAACTATAGAAAGCTTTAGATATGCAATTTTTTACAAAAAAGTGCAATAAGAATCGTAGTTTTTCTTCTCTTCTGTAAGAACGAGGAACTCTAAAAACAAGGCAAAGATCTACAACGTTTCAAAACATAACTATCATATAAATCATAATTATAATCAACATAAACATAATTATCTGCGCTGCAGTAAAATTTTCCATTAAAGTAGTATAATGTATGCAATCGAGAAACTTTAACCTTTGCCAACCAGTCACAATGATGCCTCGAAACTGCTTGAATTTAGAGTGATGTTCATTCATCTGTTTTAACCAACTTATGTGGTTATTCAAGTAATGTTGAACATTAGAAGCATACTGATCTGGACCATCGGCACCTAAGATGAGAATAAATAGTAACTTGCAAAAAAAAACAAAAAAAAAAAGAAAATCGTAGAGTAAAAAAGAAACGTAATATAAATTACAAAACTTTGCATTTTCCAAAACTCAACTTTGTAAGCAGAAGCTCCCCAAACGTACGAAAACATTGAGGATAATCTCTGCCAAAAATCAGGTAACAACTGATCATCCAAATTTTCCATATAATTCCATACTACTGGCTCGACCAAATTACTCAAACTAAAAGTAATGAGACTGATAAAAGAAATAAATAAAAATTATGACGTCGAATATTTCTAAGAAGTTTGGGACACAAGTTACATTTACATTTAAGTGAACAGTGGTGCATATTTCACGGGGAAAAAACATGGCAATTGGTAAAATACTCAGCACTACCACTACTGAAAATACAAACTCATGTGAAGCCACTAACCTATCAATATACCAAATGAAAAATATATACCCATGCTTCAAAACATTTTGTGCTTGTAAATTTACTAGCATATCGTGCCAAATCAATACATTCACTTTTTTGTTTGGAACTTGAGCCTAAAATCAATTATAGATTTACAAGTGTAAGGAGGTTGCTTCCTGAAGCAGGCAATTCGTCAGGTACTTTTTCTCATTGAAGATTAAATTCGAATACCAATAAGAGAGTACAATTTGAAAAAACATTTGACAGAGAAAAATTAGCTTCAAACCTTAACAAACTTCGATATTCTCGCAATGTGCCTAAGAAGCAAGAATTCCGTGTCAACATTGTTGTTTACCATGTAGCTTCTGTCCTTTTCACACCGACCGATCTAACATAAAATAACAGTCGTGAATTACGTCGAATATTTTTATAATGCCATCACCTTTTACCACGAATTATCAAAAAAAAAAAATAAGCGCCGAATGCAAGTGTTTACAAAAATGTTGTGCTGAAACCCACAACTACATGTTCACATTGTTTCAACTGTGAAAAGCAAGCAATCTAAATTGTAATGAAACAAACTTGAAAAACTTCATCTGCTCCAATGTGGAAATATTTCATGGCAAAATCTTTGTGTAAATTTAATATTTGTCTCAGCGCTTCCTGAACCAAATCAACTGCTCCTTCATCCGTCAAACAAATTACCTGAATGTAGTTACAGAAATGCCACTAAAATACCAACCGTAAGAAACAAAGACATAAATATGCCTCGGAATTACATGCAACTGGACAATTAGAACTTCCTCAATAAAATACAAAAATTCCAACAAACAGAAGCTGTAAGCCGTACCTGTGGATATCGCTCCTCTTCGCGATATTTGGAGAAGTTAGGGTATTTCAAAATGTATTCCAGATGACCCACTGTTTGCACAAGAGGTATAATGTCCAAATTATGTGTCTGGATTGCACGGAGAAAACGACGCAATTCATCCAAAGTATATGCATTACCAGCTTTTACCCCGCTTAGTTTACCTTCAAAATTCATGAATTAATGACAACGAAGTTTTCTGAATGCAGTGGATGTTCCGAAGAAAACGGAAGGTAGCCATCTTATCACAGTACTGCTGCGACCATTTCTAAAATAATAATGAAAAAAAAAAAAAAAAATCAAATCCAACAAAATTTATTGGTAACAAAAAACGAAAAATTTTCACAGCACAATGTCAAAAAAATTGAGAAAAACAAAGGAACATATGTACCTGTAAATGGAAACATGTCTTCATATTCGATCATTATTCCTGTTGCTCCAATCTGTTTAATAAATGGAACAAGCTTCAATAAATAGCCCATTTTTGGTGCTGCGCCTTTCAAATCCAAATGAAAAATGCGATTTGCTGTAAAATGTATATTTCTCTGCAACAAGCATAATAAAACCTATACAAGTACAATTAATTGAAAATAATAAGAAAAGTCAGATACATAATAATTTTAATTAAGTGCCAAAACTGCTTTTCATTAATTTAATAAGATAAACAGCTCATTCATATCAAGAAAGTTCAAAATTAAGTAAAGGAAAAAACTTTTAGAACTTACGTGCAATAAAGTAATTTTGCGAAGATGATGGTCTATGTAGTACTTTTTGGAAAACACGATCCCCATCAACGACAATTCCTTGCATATTTTCTAGGCTGTCTCTCTGAATTACAAATTCGATGATGTAAGAGACAATGATAACTTTTTTCTACACTTTTCCGTGAATTTGACGAAAATGGCCAAAATTGATTAACTGAACTTTTGCGATGTTGTCAACTTCCTGCCAAACGAAGTGTAGAAGAAACTGGCAAAGAAATTGAAGTCAGGTATTCAGCTGAAATTCATTACCTTTACTCCACTAACTTTCGCTCCTGACTGGGCTTTACGTGACACATTACGCTGTATCCGCGACCCATCCTAAAAGCAGTTTTTTCAAAATAAAATTTTTTTTTCAAAAAAATTCAAAATCAAATGACGTCGTTGCAATAAATCATGCTTTTTAATATTGATATATCTTACTTAAATATGATTTAACATCCTCAGTACTCACTATCTTCCAACCAAAATCCCTATGACTATTTTGCCTAACCATTTAATGCGTCGAATATTCTGACATCTTCTGAGGTCTCGCAGTGAAAAGATCGTGAACCAATAGTTCAGGGTACCACTCGAAAGAAAAAGCTTGCCTGATAGTCCATAATGAGGATCGTGGCTGTGTAAATCACTGTTAAACACGATATCGATAACGCAAATCGCCGAACCGATCTTCGCAACATTTCCTGAAATAATATTCCAAAACCCACAGAAAGAGAGCACTAATCATACATACCAGCAGACAATAACACCTCACAGACCTACCGCACACGAACAATAAGCAACTTTTCAAGCCAGTTCTCATCCTCTGTCAGCAAAAGAAGCATGGAACTTTTCACGGCCCGCCAGACTCAACGTGCAACCAGGTATGAACTGAGTGAATTTCAACTCGAATAGGGGGACGCATGTTAAATCGGAACAACTGCAGTTTAACTGAGGAGTGCTTGACCTCCAAAACCACTTTTTTTTTCTTTTAAATAACATGAAAATTATTGAACGTGGACTTCATGCAAGTTATTCATCTTATTGAATCCAAAAAAAAATCTGAATCTGTGTAGGCCTGTAGGAATGTTTTCTCAATGTTTTTCATCACAATGTTTTCAATTATAAACTAGTGCTTATTTCCATCTTTCATCAAATGATGATACTTTTGTAGAACAAACTTTCACTCTTAACTGTTCTAACAAAAATGTTCGCCTTCAATTATTTTCCTCTAAATTTCTTTCAGTTTGGAAACCATTTGTACTCAACGCTAATCCAAATTGATATAAAGTTCATTTAATTGGCTTATTTTATTGAATTTATTACGAACCCACTTCATAGTTCTTTTTATAGTATATCATCATAAATTTCCAATAAACAATTTGCTAGATTACTGTGGTGTGTTTAAAAAAATACAAACCTAAGCATTTATAAATATCACATAAAATGTTGCATAAACAAGCAGTTTTTCATGTGACAATACTCCGAGGGACTTTTGTATGTGTGCAAGATAGTAATTCTATACGAAAATGAAATTTGAGAAAAACATCAATTTGCTGGGAAGTGGGAAATTATTCCATGAACATCCTAACAGAAACCGAAATTTCACTTCTTTTTTTCTCTCACTATATAATTTTTTAAGCGACCAAAATTTCAGATTTTGCTATAGGATCTAGAAAAGCTCTAGAACTAAATTAGATTAAAGCGGAATTCGCCACAGAAGGTACAGTGATAATGATAACGATGATAACGATGATAACGATAATAATCTGGTCATTGGTAGCTGAAAAGTTACTCACACATTTCTTTACTGTCAACAAATATCCTTAGAAATAAGAATATATGACATCAGTATTCCACTATTTGGCAGTTGCATTGGTCAGTAAATCAAATAAGGTATGGTTCCGGTATACTAGTTCTGCCGGAGTGTAGGCCCAGAGAGGGAATTTGTCCAGCTCGAATAGGTATCTGGAATTGTTTATTTAATTACTTTTATGAAATTATTGCTAATTGCATAATATATGGAAAAAAACATTCATGTTTTAATATTCACATGCAATGGAATGTGAGAAAGGGTAATGAACGATTTGTAATACCGCGTAAAATCTGAGGTGAAATCTCAGTCATAAGTAATTAGTAAAGCTGAAGCAAATGTGCTTCACTAAGTTGATCAAGATAGCATTTCTAATGATAGGCTAATAATGTACTCTTTTCTGGTCTAATCTGAAAAATTGACTTACGTTGCCCAAGTCATCATAAACAGTATTGCTAATAAACCACATTCGATAGTGGCCAATGTTCCAGCCAATAACTGAAAGAGATACGTCATGCTTTGGTTACAATAATCAAAAATTTTATCTGGAAAAAAAATTCAACTCCATGTACTTACCATATCTTTGACACGTAATAAACCTGAGGCGAAAATGATTGCATTTGGTGGAGTTGCCACCTGAAATAATTTAAAGCTTCAAAAAAAAAAAAAAAAAAAAAACCATAAAGAGATATCTTAATTATCATCTTCATGTTTGGCGTCCAAAAGTCAATTACAAAGTTCAAAATTTACTGAATGAAACGAACAGGCAAACTGAAAGCCATTGAAGACGCAAGAGCGGTAGGAATCATAAAATAAAGTGGATGAATTTCCAATGATTTCGCTAATTCTGCTACAATGGGAATGAAGATGGATGCTGTTACTGTGTTACTGCAAATATTTGTTAGGAATATGGTGATAAATATGCAAATTGCCATAATAACATTAACTGGGAACATTTGTAGTAATTGCATCATTTCTCCAACACGATAACTTAGGTTCGATTCCTGAAAACAACATTTGTATCAATTAGCCAGCATCTTTTATACAGACTAATATATTTTTTTTTTTTCATGCATTCTGAGTGATATATTCACGTATTAGTTAACTGATAATCACCTTCTTATTCAGATCTCAAAAAATTTACTAAGATTCTGTTTCTTATTCAAATAGATTTACAGCCGCTTTCTTTTTTTACTGTCAAAAAGCTAATCAATCGCAATTTTCTGCTGACTTTGAAAACAGTGGCCCTAAAATTATCCAAATAGTACACCGAATCACAGCTTTTCTTAGATTTTTGCTTTCATTTTATTGCTTACTTGTAAGAACCTCATAAAACCCTTGAATTCCATCATTGTAGAAAAAAGATTTTATAAGAGAAGTTCGCTAATCGATGCTTTTTGGAAAAAATTTACCAGTTTTCTGACACTTTCTTGTCAGGGGATGAACTATATGATACCAGTAAACTACGAAAAATGCATATAAAACCATTGAGAAGGATTGTTCCATAATTTTCATACCAAAAAAAATTTAACTAATATGGACATTAAAGATAATAAATTTGAACGCTTATAATAAAATTTATCTTAAGTTTTCGTAAAATGGTATACCAAAAACAAAGCATAAAATACAAAAACAAAGTAAAATATATATACTCTTTTAAATATGAGAAATTTTATAAAAGTAAGCTGAAAGATATGTGATAATGATTTGTATATCAGATTACATCCATAAACATTCTGTGGTAAGAGAACAATGATTTCCTGGTTGTTATATTAAATCAGCAATCTGTTCTTATAATAAATTTCAAATTCATGAATGAAGAATTTTGAGTCGTGTATTTAGTACCTTGACACCGGCAGCCATTGCAAAGCCACCTCCAAGTAGCAGTACAACACTCCATGGAAATTTTGCTTGCATTGTTTTCCAATCCAGTAATGTTTCGATATTCTCCGTTTTTCCTAAATTGTTATTTTATTTCGGATATATGCTCAACTTTATGTTTTTCTCTGATCAAACATGATAAAAACAGTTTCAAAATTTGTTACCAAAGAAATTTGGCTTTTGAATCGGGACGGCAAATAATATGATTGCAACCAACATTGCGCTTGTTGTATCTGTTACATATCTAAATTTCTTGGGGCTGTATGAAAATGTTTTTAAAAGATTCTAAGAAAATTAAGTGTAAATATTTCAAATAAGATATTCTGAGAATGTTAGACTTATCTAAATTTCCTCAATTATATTTCTGAGTTTATTTTTTGAAAATATATGCGAATCACATGCCCTGTTTTGAAAAGAGCTCCGAAACCAGAAACAACATAAGGATCTCTCGTTATCCAAAGTGTTAACAATATTAAGAAGCAAATTGATACAGAGATTTCTGCAAACGATAAGCCTGGCAGTTCATCGTACTTCTGTCTCAGTTTGTCTTTAATCGTCTGATGACCTGCATTTGTTACATCCTTTAAATTTTTATTTCATTCTGTATTTCAGTTGCTGGCTAATAGGTATACGATTAATGAGAAGATTCAATATCACATATTAGTAGGATAAGTAGTTAGAAGAAAAAACATATGAGTGTTTAAGAGAAATTTTTTTGATTCTCAATAAAAAAGAAAAAAATAAACCTTTCGAAGCTTTCCGGAAGAAAATGAGTACTAGTGTTAACCATGTCATGAATAAGCATGCAATAACAAGTGGTAGTGCAAAAACCATCCAGGATATGAAATTAATGTCTGTATCTGCGAGGGGGAAAATTCTAAAATAATATTTGATAGCAAATAGAAGAATAAATACGCTTTAAATCACTTCTTCAACTTAGAAATACGAATGCTAGAATCTTTGCTAAAAAAAAAAGGAAATAGAAAAATTTCCAGATTGACAATATATAAGTAATTGAAAAATAGTAACAAACTCTTTAATTTGGCCCAATAAAACAAGATTTGACGGTGTTCCTGTAATCGTTCCTGTACCACCGATATTTGCACCAAAAGCAACTGATATCAGCAATCCTTTGGCCATTTGATGTTCATCTTTACTTAAAATTTCTGTTGGATCTCTGGAAAACAGTATTTGACTATATTAAAGTTCATAATTATCACAGTAGTAAAAAGACTTGTGTGATGCAGTTCTTCATTTTGTAGAATGGATATATGACAAATTCTTCTTTGGACTTTTGGTCTGAATAGGTTATGTGCATACATCTTTCTCCATGCGTATATTCTGTGTGAATGAATGCGTGTACTGCACATGTGTTATGCGTATTTTTGAGTTAATTTCATACGGAAATGCAAAATAAACCAAAAAGCACCTCGTACTAAAAGTACCGAGAGATTTCCTTCGTCCATCGCTGTTTTCATTATGCCTATCTTCAACCACTGCTTCACCCAATAGACTATCCTGTAGAGCTTAAAATCATAAGATGCGTCTTCTCAAATTATAGTAATGAAATTTGATCACTGTTATATAATTGATCACTTTTTGATGACGGGATATTTTAAATAAAGCACAAATTAATTTGAAATCTACTGACAGAGTTGTCAAGTACATTATTGGTTTTACATCTTTGATAAATATGAAATCTTACAGTAAACTGATTTCTACGATTACTTTTGATAAGCTCGATAATAACAGAATTGGCAATAGGTACCATGAGAGCAGCGGTTGCTGTGTTTGATATCCACATACTGCAATTTGTTCTTTTCTTTTTTCATTTTTGAAAATCGAAAAGTCAACTACATAAATACTAGAAGCTTTTCACTACAATTGCACCTATTAGGAAATATAAATCACCTTAAAAATGCAGTTACCAACATGAAACCAAGCATAATCCTGAAAATGAAACATTGCCATTGATTTTATTTTAAAAAATTGCTGAAGTAATGGAAATCCATGTGTAAACCTTTTATCATCATATCAATTTGGTAAATGACCTTTTTAAAACCATTAATCCACCAAGAAGAAATCAAAGAATTTCAAAATAGAAATTCATTCTTTTTTTTTCATGCTGAAAAAATCTGCAAAATCTAATAACAAACGGAAAGACCATAAAGTACAATATGAAATAGTAACCAGCATGGTTGGGGTGGAACAATAGTTAACACGAATAAGGCGACACGATTGTGTAATTTGCATTTTTGAACAGCTACAGCTACCATTAATCCACCAATAAATAAAAAACTTATATCCTAAAAATTACACAAGCGTCAAAAATGTCAAAATCTTCAACTTTTTATAAACATTTTAAAAATTAACAAAATTTTATGGAATCTCGTTATGGTCTTTTGTTCATAAAAATATAGTAAAAACTAATAAAAGAAATGATAATAAAGCTCACAGGTAGATACATTTGAGCAACATCATCCGATGCCATTAAGCCTAGCAAAGGATAAAGTACCATTGGTAGTAAAGCAGTTACTGCTAACGGTATTACCTCCATAACCCAGTAAACAGCCATTATCCCAACACAGTAACCACATCTTGCTTCGTTCTATAATTACTAATTATGTTAGTGATATTAGTTGAATTGTATCACAATTGAAATTAACCGTTGCTTATCTGTTTCTTACATTCTAGTTTGGCAATAATATAGAAGTTGACACATTAGGACTTTGAAAATTTTCATTTTTTTTTCCAGAATATTTCCGATATATACATTTTTTTTTATTCTCAAATATACTTTACAATTTCTAAACAACTATATAATGTGAATGGAAATATAATGGACATAATGTAATAATGGAAACACGTGAATATAATGGACAATATATTTAGTGTCTGTTGTTGAATTTGGAAAGGAGAATTCTATACTCCTAGTGATGAATATGTAAAGAGATCTACCAAAAATATTTAAAATTTTTACCAATTTTTACTTCTTTCACTTATCTGTAAAATATTAAAACTTTCAAGAACAACGAGATACGTAGTTAGAAATTTTTACCTGACTTTGTGGGAAAGAAAACAGGATTGGTAACAAAATTATGGGCGTTAATGTAAATGCCAAATGAGTACGCATTCTCCATATTACTGATAGTGTTGACGGCCTAAAATCTCCTTTTTACCACTGAATGAAAAACTGGATAGTTTTAGAGCCTTTAATTTTTTTTTGATTTTTAGGTAATGTCAAGTTTTGATCGATAAATTTCAAATGAACTAAAAAATACAAAAATAAAATAGAAAAATTAAAAAGCTTACTTTCTTGGCTGATGATATCTTATAGGCGATTTTATCACTGGCATTTTTATCGTTAGTCTTCAATGTCTTTCAAAGATATATTGGTATTATTGAAATTTGAATAGCTTAAAGTCTTGCTATGAATTAATTTCAGCAATGGTATACGTTGGAATCCTCACAAGAAGAGTGTTACTACTACACTTTTATTATTTCCAAATTCAATTTTGATAAAAATGAACAGATAATAACAAATAAATGAGTGAAAAATTAAGATTAATAACACTGTAGAATCCGTCCAGCTGCATCTTTCGATTTTGATTTGACAATGTATAAATTAGACAGAGTCTTGAAGCATCTTCCTAAGGTAGGTCTATGATGCATGACGCTAATGTAAATTCCTCGCTAGTAGTAGGTCGTATTACTTAATCTTAGTCAGTGAATAAATAGATATAACTTCGGTATTTCCTAATATTACAAGATTAATGGTCGAGTAACACCTTCTGAATTTCAGGAATAGTTGTTCGTCATTGACCTACATTACGATGAAATACCTATAGGAATACTTAGGATTGAGAAGTGATCATTTTCGAGGTACATTAACGCTGCATGTCAACTTCTTTAGAAGTAGAAAATCCTTAATGGAAAAAAAAATAACCACTAATTAAGTTTTTTCATCATGACAACTATTTTTTAACTTGGCTAATATTTATGGATGTTCTTTAAAATGATTTTTACAGGGGATATTGTAAGTAATTGATAATTTGTTTATCATTAAGTCTTATAATAATTTGAACCGGTATTTTCGAAAACTAGAGAAAAAATAATAACTGCAACAAATGGAATAGTCTTAAACTCACTTTCTTTATGTCAAAATATATAAAACTTAAAATTCAAATTGTTCTTATCGAGACATAACCTCACAACTTAGTGCGTGCTGTATGGCCATAAACATAAAAATGCAAACGCTTCAAATGCCAAGTTTTCTAGCGTTTACTTAGCAGTTTCTAGCGCTATTTCAAATCATAATATAATTTTGTCAAGTTCCACAATATTTAATGAATTGAAAATTTACAAAAATTTGAATTTAAATTCAGTTCAATTTACGTTTTGTCGTGTTCTTATTATTTGTAAATGACAAATAAAATAAGTTTTTAGCTGAAAGAAAAGTTACATTGGATGCCATTCATGAATCATTCTTGAACAAATCTTAAAGGAAAACAAATCCAGAAGAGCTGAAAAACTTGAAGAATTCGCTTTTAATGTACACTGGAATTAGCATCATTAAGAATATTTACTCTACTTTGTTTAAAAATTAAACTTTGACCATTAATTTTTACTTTATTTCAATGCTTAAGGTAACTTTTCTATCAGTCTAATTTTTCTATCAGTCCAATGTGTGGAATAAAAGAAAAGAAGTGTTTTCAAACATGGATTGAAACTTTTCATGTTGTACCCAAAGTTGAACTGAAAATTACGAATAAAAAGTTATGAGTAATTTATTCTACTTGTACTTACTCAACAACTGATAAAATTAGTTAATATAACACCGCAACAAATTACTTTTCAATAAAAATTACTTTCAATAGTCGCCAAACATAAAACATAAGAATTGAAATGAGATGTTTTTGATTTAACGGAAGAAAAATTCGTTCTTTAAATTTTTAATGTAATTTTACAAATTTTCACCATAAGGATGCAAACCTGGCAAAACTATGATAACGAAAAAAGCTAAATAAAATTCGAAGACTAATGATAAAAAGATTGAAATTATAAATGTTTTGATAAAACTGAATGACAGACGCGATGTGAAAAATTACTAACCGATCAATGGTGTAGAAGGGTTCATGCTACCACTGTACCCATTTTTTTTTCAATTTTCATTAGTACACTCCTATAATAAATTATTATTACTGCTATTGATTGTTCAATAGACTGCACGTGGTTGCGGGGATCCCATCAATATGACTAGTCTGAAATCAATCATTTCGAATGAAGATTAGCAGAAAATATATAAGAAATGTAGGAATTATTCCTTTTAGCAATTTATAAGTCGATAGAGTCAAAAAAAAAAATTTATATCACTGATTATTGAATTTTGATACTGCATTATCCCTTCTAGCGACGTATTTTGTACTGACGAAAGTTCTTGACAATAATGGCTGACTCTATTCAAAAATAATTATCTAAAACTTTGATAATCGCAAATCATGCAATTCAACTTTTTCATTTTGGCTAAATACTTTAATCATTTAACTTTAGTTATTTGTCGTAATAATTATCAAAAATTATAATGTGATCAAGTGATTATGAAATTGCTATTCATAAATATTTGAAATAAGCTATCAATATAAGATTATATAATAGTGTAAGATTTAGTCCTACTTTTTGTTTCGTTTATTTGCCTAATTTTTGATTGCTAGGTCATTCTCATATGTTTTATTCATTGCTCTCAAAATTTCCAATAAAAGAAAAAATTTTTCTCGCAATTAATTTCTTATTATCAATTTTAAATAGAAATAGATGAAGTGCCCTTTATCTGATGTTTTGCATCAACTTTCTATGACAGGGAATGCGCAGTACTACAGCAGAAACTTATTTTATCAATAATTTGCAGGCAAAAATAGTAACGACGTAATATATCCATTCATTCACTTTATCAAGAGAGCATTGTAAAAAACATTTTAAATTATAAGAATAATGCAAGGAGAAAATAGATGCACGTGGAAAAACGATTTTTTAAGTTTTATCACACTATTTTGAATAGAATCTAAAATTTTAACAAAGCTTTGCAAGTTAAAATTTTTGATGTCAAGTGATTTTGGAAATAAAGCTGAAAGAAAAAGCATATTAAAACAGTATAATCAAAAATGACGAGGAATAATGGTAGTTGAAGAAGAATATCATGTGAATCCTTAAAGCTAATTAAGCGTAGCAGTGTCATAGCTGTAGTCTAAACACATTAAGTAGTTATCAATAGAATATTACTTTTAATGTTTATTTTTTTATCAGGTTGCGCTGCGTCAATCTTAAATTTATTTCAATCAACATAAAGTAATACTATTATCATGGAAGTTGTCTACTTAGGACAAAAAATTTTGCAGATTCATAAAAAATTTTTTAAATCATTGAAAAATTTATGATTAATCGTTTGGTCATGTAACCAAAGGTATCACAACTATAAGCAAATTTTAAAAAAGTATTCTATTTCGAGAACCTGATTGTGCGCTCTGAAATCATTTGGTATCTTCTATCATTTCGTTTTTTTTTTACTTTTAATTTATTACGAAATACAGTTGTGAAAACTTCATCAATCATTGCCATAGGAACACTGCATTTTTATCTTGACAACTTGAACAATATTTCTATTTTTTTTTCTCCTTGGGATATTGATGATATCGTAAAGTATGAAATTTGTTCAGATTACCTCACACATGATAACAAGTTAAGCAGTTCAGTAAGCTATATATGACATGAATGCAAACATAAATATGTGCTTGTGATCCTTCAGAGAAAATAAAACATTCGAGTGTCGATATATGAAATTTTAACAAAGCGCAATTAGTTTCAGATAAATAAAAAAATAGTTCAAAATCTTATTGATATGAGTTTTCTAATTGTAAGTTAAATGAATTTGGATATCAATCTCTCAGAGTGAATTTACAGTATTAACTATTTCAGAATTTATTTCAGTTTTCTTGATAAAATAAGTACATACCATCCATACATTAAATGTATGATATATGAAACTTCAACAAAGCGCAATTAGTCTCAGATAAATGAATTGCAGCAATTTAATCTATAATAAGTTGATAAAAGCTAAATGAACAGTTTTGATCAACGAAGCCGACAACATCATTTACATGGCACTAATTTGATTGCTGCATTTCATAAACTTTTTAATTTTTAGAGATGACTGTGTCATCAGTTAATAAAAACAGTCAATTTACATATGTTGGTTTGTAGTTTCATTAGGTTTTATAGAAAGCTATTCATTGTCAGCTCTTTTGATCCACTATAAGATCACTTTAAGTTACACATCTATTTCATCTTATACCAATTCATCTTCCAGTTTTTCATATCAGTGAAGAATGTTTTTCATAGCTTCATTTTACCGTAACACAATACAAAGTGCAATTTAGCTGTAATCGTTATTATGGCGCATTAGTCAACTCTTTTGTTCTATCCATTTCAATTTAACAATTAAACAAAAATGATTTTTTTTAAAAACGGATACATGTGTTTTAAACAAAAAAAAAAAAAAAAAAAAAAACAGCAGAGGGGACGAGAGCGCAGAGAAATTGAATACTTGAACAACGGGACAAAATTTAGCGAGTGTTGATTTCAATAATTTTTATTAAGAAAATGAAATGAAAAACGATTTGTTTCCTTGTAAATATAAAAGTGCTTCAAAGCATATTTATGCTTAATCATCAAAGCACAAGATTATATTTAACATTATTAATCATTGATTGATCCGGTGTGATTTTCAGTTGATGTAAAATAATTTAAATATGAAATAAGCATTAATAACTCATCATATACTATTATCTATATCCTAAAAGAGCGAGAGCGATACAATGACCCTAATTCACTGTTCATGTGACCACAAATTGACGAAGTTTCTACAGTAGCAATTGATAACAAGGATCAAAAATTTAAACTGACCCGATGGAACTGGCAAATATTTCCAGAGAAACGAATTATATTTTCTAACTAAAAGTCTATTTAGTAAAACTTCTATGATAAGTTATAATTATCGATTTCGATGACTTTCCGTTTTTTTTTTCTTTTTTTTTTTTTTTTTTTTTTTTGATACTCTTTTTGCTGCCTACAAGTTTCATTTAGTTTCTTCGTTGATTTCTTTTAGTGATGAGGATATCCTGATTTCTCTAGCAACATTCCATTTCATGAATCTCGTGGTATACCAACTTCACTTTTTTTCTTGTTTCAGTAACGAAGAAAAAGTTTTTTTCGGAAAAAATGGTGAACTATAAAATCCGTGATTTTATGCCATCTTTGTGAGGATAATTTTCATGATTAACTCATTAAAAAGCATTATTGCAATCAGAAGGCTTAAAATTAAGTGAAATCACAATTATAATCAACAAAAGTAGTAGAATTAAAGCTAATTATTATCATAATTTGATGAAATTTGTTCAAAAAAAGCTAATTTCCTTAAATAATTTTTCTCATAATGCATACGCATATGATGAACAATAGACATTTTTAGATAAAGAACAGTTTGAAAATGGAACTGAAATTATAGAAAAAAATATTTGAAATTAATTGAAAATAACAATAATTCGTATGACTCAACGTATTCAAATCTATTAATATTAATTTAACTACATGCATGGAAATATTTTTTTAATTGTCAAAAGAAATATATATATCTATACGCAAATCATAAATTTTCACCTGCTCCATTTATTTTACAAATCTAATTGCTAACTATCAATGATTGCAGATTATCAGTAATTGGAAGACTACATTATAAAAGAACCCGTAAAAATAATTCAAGTTTACAGTAAAGAGAAGTGTTCAACGAATTTTTGAAATGTAGGATTAAATTTCAACCCTAAATCAAAGTTCTGAAAATTGTTATAGAATTAATATCTTAACAATGCTACAACTTTTTGCTACAAAGAAAAGGTGACAAAGGGAAAAAACTAAGAGTAATTGGGATAAACAGTAATCCATGTAATAATCCAATGACCATTGTAAGCCAAATTGTCTTAAAAAATGTTAAAATAATATATGCATTGACCGTATAGAGGACAGATACACCAGCGATTGTTGATGCTGCACCCTAAAACTTAAGATTATAATTAGAAGAAAATATAATCTTTAGCTATAAGTTTGTTATATCTATTCACAGTGAGTATTCCCGTACTAACTGTCCTAAAATATGACCCTTCTAACTCATCAGTATGTTATGAATATAAAACAGGAATTAAAAACCTGAAAAATGGGCCATCCAAGTGATTCGAGAGCATGAATAACTCGTTCTCTTGATGAGCCAGTTGCCATAACAAATGCATATGTGATATGAGATGATAAATCAACAGCGAAACCAATACTCATAATGATGGAAATCATTGATACGGCATCCAAATGAACACCCCAGAATGTCATATATCCAAATATACCCGTATTAATTGATATTATAGAGATGATTATTAAAGCACCTGAAGACTTGTGCATTTTAAAAATTCGATCATCAATTTAGCAAATAAAAAATATGAATTTTAATGACGGAATCCATTTTGAATTCAACATAATTTCGACAGTGCAATTTGCAATTTGAAACTTAATTTTTTTAAGTTAAGAACTTACATGGAGCTAGACTAGGTACTAATGTTACAGCCACAGTAGCCATACAGATTAGCGATATAATGATACTGCGAATAGTTGATGGGACAATAATTATATATTGATCAGCAAACGGAAACGTTTCATGAAATACTTCGATTTTAAATGGTTGCCGATCAGCTATTTCACGTAATTTTTGAGCGGCATTTTTGTGCTGATTTGCGCTAACAGTGTTTTGCATTGCTACCTGCAAATTCATTACATCAACAAGAGATTGCTCAAATTATCAATTTCAAGAAATAATAATCATAAAATAAAAATGAAAGTAAAGTTGTCAATTTCACTATTTCTGTCATTTTTAGTGAAAGCAAGAGAAATTTAAAAAGTTTTAAAGGAACCTGAAATCGAAATGCTTGAAAAGTACCATTCTCGTTAAAGTGGATATCTGTTGCCCACTGATTACTTCCTCCAGTATATTTTAACCAACTTAGCAATTTTGTGTTCCAAATCCTAAAAAGAGTACTATAACAGTAAATGCTCAACTTTTTATTTTAGGTGTTTTTAAAATTGTAAACATTTAGTTGAATTTTAAAAAAACTACGCGTTTTTTTTATATGGTAAACATGATTGATAGACTTTTTTATTTTAACTTTAAAATTTCAAAATTCCAATTTCGGAAATAAAGAGACGGGTCAGGTATTAAAAAGGAAACCAAATGTAAAAGTGCGTCTGGGCATAAACAAAAATTACATTATCATAACTGAAATCTGTTAAACCTAACTAACCGTTCCGTATTTTCCAGTTCAGCGTTGACTTCATCAAGGTAATTTAAATATTCTAGAAAGAAAAAAATTGTTCCATCTCTACCTAATGTGTATTCCGTATTCTCAAATGCTTGTACTACAGCCATCATTTTTTCTCTGAAAAATTTTTACTATTGTATATTTTTTCATTACTTAAGTTTCAAAACTTTAAGCGATAAGTAATCATTCTAGAAATATTTCTAAACAATCCAATTCTTAAAGCAAAATTCAAAAAATAAAAAAAGAATAAAAAATTTGCAAAATAATTCATTTTTGATATCACTGGATGATTTTCCGGAAAGTAGGTGTAGCTGACAGGAGTTGCTGACCAAAATGAACAAGCTATATTGATGATTTATTTGTAATTTCAGAACTACCTTTGAATAGGATCAGTAAGATTTGGAGGATGTAGTACAGCAACATGAAGTTGAGTACCTCGTACCCAGAAATTTTTCAAATCTGCGAAATAATGAGAGGTGTAATGATTATTTGTAACCAAATTCTCTGGTTCCAATCCTTCCTATAATTTCAAAATTCACTAAATATTCCTGTTTCAAAAGCTTTTAACGGAAAATTTATAACAAATGTTATAGTGAAATTATGAGAAAATTTCAAAATATTACCGAATAATTCAAACATCCGATCACAGCAACAGCAATATATATAAAATAGAAGATGTATGTTAAAATAGCACATTCTTTGCGCAGTATAAACTGAGCATAAATATGACCAAAGAAATATTGTGTCCACGTATTCTTTTTCTTCTCGATTGGTTGAGTTTTTAACTGAGATATTGTTGTGATACACAGTCCTGAAATCTACACGCAAAATACATTAACAATTTCCATTTGAATATCTAAAAATTGTAATTCAAGGAAACTTTTGCAATAGATCAGACTTTATATCTAGGAGTGAAAGCTAATTTATAAAGTACTTCAAGTAAACTTTAAACAGTGTAGTATGGATTCATATCATTTTACAACTACTATTTTGCATATCAGAGTTCATTCCAGCTGTTCTATAACAACTTGTAATTTGTTATCTAAGGAAAGCTATACTTGTGAAATGTAGTAATGAGTATAAAAACTTAACCTTCAGTGATGCAGTTGTTATCAGTATCAACCATTTCAGTTGATTTTTGATTACATAGTTCGTCAACAGCAATAATCAAACTAAGAGTTTTAATGGCAGTTTTCAAAGAACTGCCATTTGACTGAGTGCTGATACCAGAGCGATATGATATATCAGATCCGCTAAATAAGTTCAAAAGTGATTCCGAATATAATCATAAAGGTCAAAAATAAAATAAAGTGGAAAAGTGGAACCTGTCAGTTGACGAACACTGCAAACTATTATCATAGTCATTCCTTGAATTACAGAATCGAGCACTGTTAATCATTTCTTTTTTGACGCATTTTTCGTCAGCTTTATAGAAAAGTAGGCAGTGTCGTTGATTCATTTCCACAGAACCCATTATGGCAAGAAATGCCATAAAAAATGTAAACTGAAAATCAAATTTTAATTGTTTAATTGCAAGGCATAATATTTACTCAGTGGAAATTTTAAAAAAAGGAATGAAACCATTTTCAAATTTTTAATTGAGTTATATCAAATAAATCACTAACTTGATACAAATAGCAAAAGATGAATGTAATACAGGCATAGCTGCAGAAGAACTGAATTCCTGGTAATTCGCTATGACAGCCTACGGCAAATGATAATATATCAGTGATATTTGTGATAGATATAGTGACCCCTGCATGAGCCATCATATTACTCATTCTGAAAGCAGGTCTTTTCAACTTTAATTTTAGCTCATCAAAAGGTAGTCAAATGAAAAAAAAAAAAAGCATAGATCGACAATTAATCGCCACTACTGCTACAGTTGTATGGTCAATATATCTAATAATGGACAATGACACACCACATTTAATCAATGAAATATGTTAGCAGACCGAATTACAACAATGTTTTCTTAACTTGCATAAACACTCAAAAAAATACTGAGACAGTTCTCACTCTTTGTTATTTCTCTAATGTGAAAGCCGAATAAAAGCAAGCTGCTAAGTGCATATAAAAATATAGAAATAGTTTAACCTTTTTGATACAGTATCTGTCTGGTCTGTTTGATTCCAACAAGCATTCATTACAAACATATCATCCACTCCAATTGCTACAATTTATTCATTTAAACAAAAATAATCTAACCAAAGATTGAATTAAAAAATCATTAGAGTGATAACCTTTTGTAAGCATACTTTTTGAAAATTATTGCTCGATAGTAAAGTGCTTGACGGTAATTTAGCCCAATATAAAGTGGTGTTTTTTTTTGTCAGGTTAAATTTCATAAGTTTAATTTATAAACCAAAAAATAAATGAACTTATTTAAAAACCTTCAATTAATTAAATTCTTCCGACACCTTTTTCATTGGTAATTAGAAATGAATCTGCACTGAATTGCTAACCGATAATAAGGAATGGTATAATTGTGTTGATTACATTGTACGGTATGTTTAACATCAGCGCAAGCCCAAAACCACTGCACATTGCCAGTAATGTTGTAATAAGTCCTAAAGCATACTCAACTAATTTTCAAACTAAATTAATTTCAATTAAGCAAAGATTTTGCAGCAAAATTAACAAAAGAGAATTTTAGAAATATTAACTTCTTAAGTATATTAGTAAGGTAATTTGACTTTACAGTACCTGCACACGCAACATACGGCTTGCTACGAACCCAGTCGATGCTTGTTCTTGGATGTTTCTTGAGGACGTATGAAAATATGGTAGCATAAATGCAGAGTAACGAGAAGCTAGTAAGGAAATTCCAAGTGAAGTCTTTTGCATTCTCAGCTAAACCGTCCTATAAAACAGACAATAGTTTTTTTCAGAATGATTTGATTTGAACTTTATTTTAATTTGAATTCCAAAACTTCCTTAATTCCTTAGTTTGATTAATTAAAAATTCGTCTCACATAAATGAAATTGTTTTACCTGTAATGAATGGTAATGTGAGAATGAAAGTGAAATAATATCACTTTTATAATTATGCAATAAGTAATGCTCAACAGCATATGAGAATGCGGTTGAGTAACGACGAACAATATGCGCTTCTTGCTTCAAGAAATAGAAGAGTTGAGTCAGTTTTGCTGCTTTTATAGTACCATTCGATTCGTTTAAAGTCACATCACTTAGTACTGTTCCCAGATAAACAGGCGTGTCCGAAAATTTGATTTCATTATTCATCAGAACTTGAAACTTTCAGAAAATCATTTTTAAATCCTAAAATAACTTTGACTGAAGCTAAGTGAATTCATTGTAATTCATCTTTTCTTTCTTATCTAAAATTTCATTTCCTGAAAAAACTATGATATTTTCTAATGTTTTCAAAGGAAACATGAATATTTTGTTTGAAATTAAAATTAACTTAATGATAAGCTTACCTTACTGCCAGCTCGAGGGTATGTTAATTCCACAAAATTGCCAACTTTCATCCTTTCTTGTAACATCGAAATATGTTCATTTGTTCCACATATCCATTCATAGCTAAGACATAAATCCTAAATGTACTGAATGTAGATTAAGATTAGTTAGTGAACCAATAATCCATTGATTAGTTAGCTGATAGATAAACTCCTGGGCTGATTAGCTTATATGATAACTAACTAAAGGTACATAGTAAGTACAAATGATTTCTGACTTTCGATTGTAGCAGAAAATGTACTAACCTGATATGTGAGATTATACTTGCCATCAGTTGTTGGTATGCTAATATTAAACATAATCCACTGATTCAGTCCTTGTATCTCATCTAATATTTCCTCTCTCAACAAATTTCCTCCATCTTTGGCTTTTACTAGTACATTTATAAATCGCTTCATTTCAAACGATTTACCCGGCAGAAATTTGTTTTCATTCAATGGCCATAGTGAAGCGAACGTGTCAAATTCTTGATGCCACCTGCAACTGGTAAACTGCTCTTGTCTTCTTAAATTTGGCAATTTTTAAGAAATGGAATCTACCCAAAAATTAAGTGTATAATTGCGATCTTATGAGTTTTATACTGTTTTCATTACAGTGAAGTAGAATTTCATTACTGAAATAAAACTATGATCAAGTGAAATCATTTAGGCAAACTAATGTTTGATATCATTTTGATGACCATATATATGTCTTGATACACGTCTTGAATTCTACCTATAACTTATATGATAATGAAAGATAATGTAGCTAAACAGCAGGTGCTAAGCTAATCATTCTACTTATTTTAAAGTGCTTCCAATTCCCTTAATTAGGATTAAAAGAAAATGCTTCATATCGTTGCTCTAATCAATTCAAAGTAGATGACTATGTAAATAGATCTTTGGTATTTCATGAAGAATGAATTTAAAATAGTAATAGAAAAATGTGTATGGGAGACTTCCTATATTTTTACCTGGCATATACCGGAGTGAAAACATAAAAAGGATCATCAATAGTTAAAGCAGTAAGGCGACAAAAACCAAGTGATAATAATGCAGTTATGATCAATGGAGACATGATTAGGAACCATCGCCACTGATAACCAAATTCACCATACCATTGAAAAAATCGACGAAGTTCAGGTTCTACTGATGTTATTCTCATCTGTAAATAATATTCTTCTCACAGATGCAGATTTCATCACTATCATCAGTATTGATTGCTGTTTGATGTGAGGTAACGATGTATTCTTGAAGTGTTTGGCGTCAATTCTTTTTTTAATATACCATCATATAAGTACTTTTTTGCTTTTTGTATCACAAATATGAAAAGCTTCTTTTAATAAGATTTTTAAATTTTAAAACTGCATAAACCAATCCAAGTGCAAATGCTATTATTTATTATATATATACTGATGATAAACTATCAACGAGTTGTTTAACTGAATATGATATTCAGAAATATATACAATTCTATCACACTCTTTTGCTGCAGGAAATGCAAGAAGTTTAATCAAGCTAGACATATGCCCATAGTTTGTATCTTTTAGAAATGATTAATTTCAAATGATAATATTTTTGTACACATTTTCAGCAAAAATTCTGTACATGACTTCCAGTTTCATCGTCGTCAGTTATAAATCTCTGAGATTAAAACACGTGAATTGTTAAATATTGAAAATTAAGTGAACTACCTTTGAATAGCAGAAAAGGAAAGATTCAAGGAGTAAAATGATTTTCTTTTAGAGACTTTAATAAACTCGAGAATATACTGTTATGAATAAACTTAACTAGTTTTTAAAAGGTTAATAAATGACTGCTGATCACCATCTATATTATAATTAGAATCAAAAGATTCTGAATAACTTGGACAGTAATCATTCACTATATCATTCATTATGTGTTTTTATTCATTAAGCATTCTCAAGAAAATTCGGTGTAAAATTGATAATAATTGTAAGAATTTAAAATGATGGATAAGATAAAAAAAGAATACAAATTTCAAACGGAACATTCATAAATTGGTTAAAAGTTTTGAAGTGGAGGTGGAGAGGAGGAATATTAGTGTTGTTGGGGACAACAAAGATGGTTATATCGTGTGACAACGTGAATTGATGACGGTGTATGAAACTGGGTCGATTGGAAAGGGGGGAGGAGGGAGAGGACACATCCTTACATTAGGTAAAACGGTGATGCGGAAGTGATTAATTCAGTGAAAGGTGTACAAAAATGTAAAAATCCTTATTTTTCTTCATATGTCTATTTTCTCTTCTCTGATATTCGTAATATCGGCGGTAATTAAAACATATTTAAACATCGATCATTCACTACTACCCAATATCGACCTTTTTCCTGATTTCATATAATTTTGGAAAAATTTACCAAAGAGTATCATTAAATTAGTTTGCTTCTTGTGATTGATAAGGATGCATCTGAAATCCGCTTACTACGCAACTGTCATTACAGCTATATATTCTCAGTTTGCATGTTACTTCCTATTCCCAATTTTTTTTCTGGAAAAAGTAGGACTCAAATCTTCTGAAATTTGAAATAGCAAAAGGTAATAAGAAAAGAAAAAAATGTTTGCTTGAGTTACGAAAAATAATTATAGCATAGTAAAATTGTAAATCATTTGTATAAGTTAAGTAGTTTTGTATACTTGAATCAAGTTTACTGGGATGATCTGACGGTGTTTTTTGTCTGTCCATGTATTTTTTTTTTTTTTTTTTTCATTTATTTCTTTTCCTCATTCACTGAACAACTTCTCCTTGATGTTTACACAACAGATATTAGAATAAACTAGAATTTCAATGAATTCCTTCTGTGGTAATTTATAAAAAAGTTTTTTGTAAAAATTTATTCTTTCCACTTCATCTGCCTTGGCATCCCAATTGTAAAAACAATAATATGTATATGACAAAGGTATTTCTAGAAAAGATCATTTCTGAAAATCATAAAACTAATGATCACAGAATAGGAATGCTTTTCTGCATTCATTTTCTCTTTGATTTCCTCTATAAAATGCTTTATATCGTATGAAATGAGTATAATATGAAAAAACAAACAGGTTCCAAACAAAGGATTTTCTTATTACAATTACATACCTTTCACTTATGATTGAAAAAAAAAATACATTTATATCTATCAGTTATGAATGGAAATGGTAGTAAATATTTCACTTCGTATAATTCCAATGAAAATTTTTGCTAGAACGATAGAATAATTTTCTTTGTTTTTGTTTGTGCCTATTATATCCTTCCAAAAGACACTTTTTACAAATTCTAGTGGAGTTTTTTAAAAATCTTATTAGATCATTCAATTTAGATATTTGCAATTATTTTCTTGGTGAAGTCAAGGGAAGTATTTATTTAATCTTTTCTGTGACAACATCAAAAATTAACTGAATTTATAGTAGGAGAAAGCATTATACGCTATTATATTTTATAAGCTATAGAACAAAAATTAATTTAAGAAACTAAAAAGTTTGACGTAATTTTTTTTTTTCTTAAAAAAATGAATAAAACTGAAGTAGCCCTAGAAGTCTTGTAAGAAATATTATTCAGGAATTAGACTAAGTAAGTATACAAGTGGAATTATCACCACTAACAACATCATAAAAATAATATGATTAAAATATTATAGTAGGAAAAGCAATAATATGATTAAAAATCAATTTGGAAATAATAATAATATGGACTGCACATATTTAAAGAAGTTTGCTCTTCAAGAAAAGAAAATCTTTTTTTGTTTTTAAATACAAATCACATTTCTATATCTTAGCCATTATTGATTAAAGCATCTTAGCAAAAAGAAACTGTTAATTTCAAAGAAATCGAACTACACGTAAGTGTAAAACTTATCGCGAAGTTTTACTTTTTCATCTGTAGTAGTCTATTGATAATTTAAACATCCGAAAATAAGATTAAAAGTAAAAACAAATAAGAGACAGAATGGCACCACAAACAAGTAATTTAAAATATCAATATATGCTGAATGGGTAGTAATCATTTACTAGAGAAGTCAATAAATTAGTTAGTATGCAAAAAGGCAAAGAAAAAATGAATGAATACCTGCATATTTGTATGCATGTATGCTTGCATATATATAAGCAAAAATGAGGAGGCAGACAGTAATGAAATAATAATGCAAATAAGTTTGAAAGCGAAATTTCAGTCGTAACAATTTCAAATTAGGTCATCATTTAACAGATATTAGTGGAAAAAGGAGTAAAGAGGTGAGAGGGTGGGAGTGGGGTAGATAATTCTCATAAGTAAACGAATAAACATTTATTTATCGAGTATTACAGCTGAAAAGTATAGTTGGTCCGAGAGTTCGTTATGTTACTTATCATCGTTACTGCTTCTATCCGTATCACTCCTGTTTCACCTACTCAATCACTGAATGTGAAAAATATCACTGGAATTAAAGATCTTTAAACAAATTAACGACGGAATATTGTGGCAAAAAAGAAAATAAATGAAAAATATTGTTATGCTAATTTTTAGTTCCTAATTTTCATTAGTAATTTTAAAACTTCAACTTAAAACATTTGATTAATCGTGTATGAGTCATTCATTTAGATATGTCATATTTGTTTTTGCATTGTTAATCTTCTGTTTAGTGATCTACAATCCCAGATTGGAATTACAAACAAAGAGCCCAAAAGTCCTAATTGAAATATCTGATGAATTCATATGCATTCTATTACAACAGAATAGTGTAAGGAACATCGAAGTTAAAGAAATGACTTTCCGGTAAAAAAAAATCAATATAATGTATTATCGAGAATAAATATTTACAAAAATTATGTACTAAAAAAAACATTCCAGCATATGGAGTTTTATTTATGTTAATATTGATTTTTCAAATATTGTAGTTTTGCATAATGTATGTACAAATATTTTCAGGAGGACAATAAACTGTTTGACAGAAAGAAATTTACTGATAATGGAAAGGTGAAACGATATGCAGGTCTAACTAGCAGAGTAAATTAAAATCAAAGATTAGATAACTGATTGGTTTTTTTTTTTTTTGATCTTTTTTACAATTCTAGTATGTCTGTAACTTAGTTGGACCATTACTAAAAGATTTTACACTGATTATTTAAAAACATTTGAAGAAACATAAAAATTGTCCATATTCTAAAATCATAACAAGCAGTGTAACCTGAAAATCATATCTCATAATAATTAAGTATTTGAAATGTTCATTAACTGACTGCAAATAATATGCAAAATTATAACATTAATTAATAATGACTCCTTTCCTACTGAATGTTACAGGAATTTGAACAGATTGAGGTGAAATGTAATAAGAGACAAATGCTAAAGTTTGAACAGATAAAGTATGGTTAAACACGCATTACATCCATACTTCGATCATCGAGTTTTTGGTAGCCTGGCAAGCACTCGCATTTGAAGGAGCCTGCCAAATTTATACACATCGCTCCAGAAGGAAAGACAATCACCAAGCTGAAATGTATGCTAGTCTGTGGCTTCATCTTTTCTTTTTTTTTAATGTTGGGTATTGCTGCAGTATTAAGAATTAAAATAGGATAGGAATTGAAAATCTCTATTAATTTTTCCACCAACAAACTTTACATTCTTTCTTTCTCTCTCTATCTTGTTTTCCTCTTTCTCATCACTAAAGTTAAAATATATGACAACTTGTCATCAACATCATAACATATTGTTCCATTTCCAAAAAAAAAAAAAAAAAAAAAAAGCCCTACAAATCAAATATAACAATTTCCAATTCTGAAGTGAATAATCTTCCAGTTTCTTTTTTTTTTTTCTTTAATTAAATCTTTGGAATTTGGATAATTTCTTTGTTACATATTGAAGCATTTAAAAAAATGTGATAACTCCTAGGACCATTTTGCATTAGCATTCTGCTCCGTAATTGCTGTTGTTGCAAATGGCATTCGGATCACAAGGATTAGCTTGTTCATAGAAGTTAACGTTGATACATACCGGACAGCAATGATTGGGTGGAATTTCTTGTTCGTCGCAGTTTAACTTCGTACATTTATTTGATTCTCTGGAGTTAACAAAAAATGATCTTTCAGTTTACTACAACAAAAAATTTATTGTCATCTTGAATTCCACTATTGCCTAATGAAAAACATTGGTTTGAAGGATTGTTCTGTATCAAATAAAAACCTTATCCTGAATAATGATATTCCTGAACAGTCGTAGTAGATAAATCAGAATTATGAAAATAAACTTATGATTTTTTATAATTTTTCAAAAGCGTAAAATAGTGAAGAAAATAATCAAATGAAGTATAATGAAAACGAACAAAAATTGACAATCCATATTGCCGTTATCGTATATACATCTCAACAGTTTTTAGGCCAATATTGTTGATCATTTTGCCATCTGCGCCCATTATAGAAACACTAGAGAATAATAAAAACTTTCCAGTGGCAGCCGGAATTAAATAAATTGGCAATATATGTCGACGTAATATAATACCTTGAAATATATGCCATGTAGACAGGTTATTTTAAATTTCAAATCAATTTTTTTAAATTTTAAAATCTAGAATAAAATTTGCTCCATTAAAATCTGACCTCTTTGGTGCAAACTGGACAATACTGCCCAGAAGGTAAAATAGTTCCGCAGATTACTCTAAAGTAGTACAACCAATTCGCCCGCAGATCACTTCACCATGTGATATACAAACACATCCCATACATAAACTATTGTTACGATATTTTTGTTCCACTACTATCAACCCTAAATCATTTTAATATAGTTTTCCAATTTTTGATATTGCAATTTATGATTTAAAACAGATAAAGGTTTCCTGAACTGTGAAATATTTCTATTTTCGCATTCTTTATTACAAAAAAGAAAATGGAACTAATTTATTAAGAACAGATAGAGTAAGAATTACTCAATGAAGAAAAGAAATATTGCTTTTTATTTAATTACATAGTTTTGGAAAATAATTTAATCCAATTTGAATTGTTTTTTTTAAGTTGTAGTTTATATATGACTGATTTTTAATTAAATTTTTATTTTTCGATTAACTGAAAAATTTTTAATTAATTGAAAATCAACAAACTTAACAGCTTCTTTGCTGTAATTCAATTCTTTTTAAGTTTTGATCACGCAAATGCATTGCTTCCAATCATTTGTTTATATCTGCTTTCAGCTAAGTGTTCCAGGATTTCCTACAAACAAATCTCAGAATTTTCATTGTCAAACTATTATTTGCTAATGATGAAGTCATGCATAGATTTTATTGCATTTAATCTTTTAAATATCATCTGATACAATTTTATATTTTGCATTTAAAACCTAAAATTCTTTGAAATGACTAAATAAAAAAAAAAGGTTCTGAACGGAAGTCTATAATTATTAGTTTTATAAACTGAAATCTTGCCAAAATTTTTCTAACTTTCAAAATAAAATTTCCGAATCAAATTATCGTTCATGAAGTTTCAAACACAGGCAATGAAAAATTTTTGCAAAATACTTGATCCAATTTAGTTGATAACTTGATCGGCAGAAGCAAATTATAAAATGTTGGACTATCGCATGTTGCAAGAAGTACGGCGCTTGTGAAGTTTTCTTGTTGAAATTCCAAATGTAACAATGCATTCTGTGTTGCAATATAATCCCAAAAACATTCTGCCTGAAATGGTTTGATTGCTTTATATATTCTATGAATTAAATAAATAGATTTAAAGGATCTCTTAATCATTTTAAGATTCATAATTGTGGCAGTTTTAGTAATCGGTTTTCGTAAATTCTTTCTTGAAGCTTTATTGAATTTTACGACCAAAATTTCATGGAATATTTTTCAATTTTTACTAAATATTTTTAATATTTGCAAATATTTGTATTCCACTCGTGACATAACGTTTCCTTTAATTTGATGATTTTTTTTTTTTTCATAAATGCTGATTACAGCACCTTCCGTTCATCCTATGATTAAATATTTTTAAACATCTGCTATTATTCAACCTGACAAATGATACGTATCTTTGAAGTCTTCAGAAGCTTCGCTGATTAGTTAATCCTCACGAATAATTTGGATTGCAAAGCCTGTTCGAGATTATGCAACACTGTTAGATCCACTGGATTATCCGAGATATTTTTCCTCCACGGATGATTAGTAAGTATACATCAAAGTAAGAGTGGAAATTTTTTTTTTTTTTAAAAGAGGCTAAATTAAATATAAATTTTCTCGAAAGGAAACCTGCCATTAGTATATTTTACAAGGTCAAATTAATTTTTATAGAAAAGGCCTTTTACAGAAATATTTTTTTTCATTTCTTTCACAACTTTTCAATTATTAAAGATGTCATCGATAAATACTTTAGTTTTTGGTATTCGTTTCCGAAATCCTTCAACAGCTGCCAGCATTACAGTAATGAAATTCACAAAAAAAAAAAGATGATAAATTTTCATCCTAAAAAACGAGCAGCATTAATTTTTCAAAATGTTAAACAAAAAGAAAAAGTTTTAATACTGCATTAGTAAAATATTGAAGTAAAAAATTTTGAAGGAAGTGAAATCCTCTAATGGAAAGAATGATTGAAAATATAATATGATATATAAAAAAAAAAAAATCACATGAAAGATGAAAAAAACCAAGGAAAAAAATGAAGAGAGAGAAAAGGAAAGAAGAAAAAGGCGAAAAAGAAAACAACTCAAAAGCCTGGATGATACGAATAAAAATTAAGCGCTTCAGTAAACACAAGGCACTTTCTTCAATTCACCTGATGATATTGGTCTGCGTTTCAAAGCTGTCATATTCCATTTTCTGGAGAATAATAATAGTATTAACTTTTAGATAAAAGACGAGCTACACTTTTAGAAGAACAGCTATTCAAATTGCAACGTTAGATGAAACTAGTTTTAAGTGTCTGTGGGATCAAAAAGAAGAAAATAAGCACTTGTAGTAAAATTTTCCGTAAAAATTTCATAAGTTTTATCTATAAGTGCTGCACAGAAAAAATAATAAATCCGACATCTTCAAGATTATAACAAAAAATGTGATAAATATAAGAGTCTGACTTTTGATTATACAAACAGTTAGGTAGCAGTGTTAAAAGGTGTTAAGACTTTTCTATGAGAGAAAACTACCACTGACTATTTGATTGGCTCCTACAATTGAACAATTCATAATGAATGTTGATTTGTAAATGTTAAGAAATGAAATCATTAGTACAAAAATAATATTAAACAAATGATTAATATATTCACTGAATGTGTCACATGTAGAAAGCTTTCTTATCAACTTTCTCTTGTATTGTTAAGCAAATTTGGTTAAAATTGTTAGTTTCATTTTCTTCCAATTTATATTTTAGTACATTGTTTCGATTTTAAATAATAGTTAGTTATATGCATGTAATTTCCGCCCATCTTTGTGTGATCATTTAAAATTTTTTTTTCCAAAGAATTGTATGGACGATAGCATTGGATTGTTTTCTTGACTTCAGAAAATTACAGGTTTATATTCATGGATTTTTTTTTTAAATGATCATTTGTGCGATAGAAGTAATAAATGAAGGAAGTTTAATGTATCGTTGCCCCATGTATTTCAGATTTCTGTGGCCACAAAATGTGTCATGTTGTTTAAATTTATTTATTTTTTTTCAATGATCAGTTGAGAAGTGTTTTAATTAATAATTTTGAAGGGAAATCTTAATTACAAAGACTGAGAAAAGTAAACTTCAATAACTTTAATGGACATAGCTTTTTCAAAAATATTTTTCCCAGAAAAGAAAAATGTCGTGAAACTTGAAATAATTTCCTCCGAATAACTTACAAACCATATCAAATAAAATTGTATTAACCCACAACACCAAAATTTGTGTTAATTAAACATTAGAAATGTAAAACTGTTTCAAATTATACATGATGTAAGCAATCATTATTTCAATTCTCATTTTCTCACTGTAGTTGAGCTTATCTGCTTGTCTGATAACAAAGAGTATGTGCATTGTTTAATATGTTAAAAACTACTTCTTTGTTGCAAATCAAATTTGCTTACAATGTCGAAATATTGTAAAGGTTTTCTAAGCTAATAGTCATTCTTTAAGAAACTACAGTATTAAAACCCATCTCTTACTATATAAAGAGTAAAGATCATCTGATACTCAATAATCATGCTGTTGCTGCAAGTCAGACCCACTATATAAGGGTCTAAACCTTTTGTCTCAATCAACTTCTCAGTTTTATCAGTTTTTTCCTTACCAGTAAGCTACAATTCTGCTGCTCTTCCTCACTCACAATTCAGCTCATTTCCCGACCAATTTATTCATTTACCCATTTTCTTCATCTCATTTGTAGATACTCTGCGTAGATAAATTATTAATATTGTAGATAAATTATCAATATTACTGCTATAGATTAATATCTATACATTGTGGTTGCTAACAAATAAAATTGCTTCGTATTTTACATACTGCAATAACAAGTGGAAATGAATAGTTTCATCGATAAGTTGCAGACTGATAGGGTACAATTGCATGAGGAAATGTCAGGCTTTATGTCACAATGCCGTGTACGTCTTGTTCACATCCTGAATTTGTTTCTTCTTGATACCAGAATCAACCTTCAAGTTTTCCTTTTGATGTTTCTATATATATATGAGAGCTGGATTGGTATAATACGCAGACTAACATACAAGACACCAAACATATCGGCCTAAGTTTCTCAAAGTTTGCACTATTGTTCTTAACTTCCATCTTAATCATCTTATATAATTGCTTAAAAAAAAAACATAGTTGGGGAACAATTGTAAAAAATGAACACCCCTTTGCATTACATTCTTCTTTCTCCATTGCCGTTTTCTAATATGAAGGGAAGAAATCCGTGCAATTTGCAACCCTAAGCCGTGTATCGTGAGAAAAATAAGCCGAGTGTAAAAATGAGCTAGGCTTATCAGCTATGGAAAGTGATGTAATATATTTAATATGTGTTTTAACTGACATGATTTCATTTTGCTAAATTCCAGGACTTGATTCTTGGTTTTCACATTCTCACACCAAATGCAGGTGAAATAACACAAGGCTTTGCAATAGCTTTGAAATTTGATGCGAAAAAAGCCGATTTTGATCGATTAATCGGTATTCATCCAACTGTTGCCGAAGTATGTTTCTACACCACACATTCTGTACACATGCCTAACATGACTTGCAGAATCATTCATTAAAGATATTGTATTTAACAGAATTTATGCCAGTAGCTAGATGGTAGATAAAGCATTGGGAGAGGTTGCTGATCTTGGGGAGATTCGTTGGATGTTGATGTAACTAGGTGATATAGCTTGTCAAATAGTTACCAAAATCGTACTCAGGAGGAAAGGTCAGTTATTCCGTTGCCGGGAATCGAACCCGGGCCTTGCGGGTGAGAGCCGCAAATCCTCACCACTAGACCACAACGGACACATACACTTATTTTTGTACTGTTAGAATTAATGAATAAAACGTACGCTTTAATGAGTGAAGATGAAGAGTGATCCAAGAAATGATATGTTCAGGACGTGTATTTGTTATAGCTCTTTCTTTCTGTACAAAGTATTTAAGTGTAACACAAAAGAATGAGATTATCTGACTTTAAACAATAAGTTTGTTTATCAAATAAAATGTGGGCCAGGTAATAAAGTGAAGATTCCCTGACAATTTTGATAACTTTCAATCATGTGACAGACACCCAACATAAATTTTGATTCTAAATTTTTTATAATGTGTTGTTATAACTACTAAAATATACTTTGTAGCAAATAATCATTTTTAATTATTACTATCAAACAAAGTGAATTTGTCGAGAAAATGAAACCGAATGACCCGGTAATCCTAACAAGTATATTTTCCAAACATTATTATCATTTGGGTATTAAGATTTTGCGATGATTATTGTTCAAATTATAAAAGTGATGTTAATTATGCAGTTGTAATCTTTCTAATTATTTTTACCAAGAAAACAAAATTAAAAACTATTAGAATTTTTAGTAAATCTTTATTTTGCAACCTAGCACACATTTTGATTTTAAATTATTTATAAATGTAGTGTTGTAACTAATAAAAAGATGCTAACTGTCAAAAAGATGCTACATTATTTATAAATGTTGTAACTAATAAAAAGATAAAAAGACAAAGTCATTTTTAATTGTGATAATCATCATACTGAGCAAATCAATCAAGAAAATTAAATCAAATGATCCAATAATCTTAATGAAATTTAATTTCACAGCTTTGTCATCAGTTCTTTCGTAATGTATATTGCTTAAATTAAAAAGGCGATATTGATCGCAGACTTGTAATTTCTTTAATTGTTTAGCATAACAAAACAGAATTGAAAATTATTAAAACTTCCAATAATTTATCATCCTAGCACTGATCTACATCTGGATTTCAAAATTTTTGTAAATGCATTGCCGTGCTGCTTAAAAGATGTTATCTCTAAGATTTAAGTCAATTTAAATTGATATCAAACAAGATAAACTTTTTTTTCAAAAAAATTGAAATAAGAATGGTGCAATAATTTTGATTTATTTGATTTGTGAAGCTTTATTATCATTTCTATCATTTTGCTTCTCGAATTTTCTGCCAATCTTTATCATTTTGTTTCTCGAACTTTCCGTCAGTCTTTGCCATTCCGCTGTTTGAACTGTTTCTCGAATTCCATGAGCCTATACTACCAGTCCCTGCAGTCTCTGCCATCTGATAATCTCCACCATTTTGTTGTTCCAACTTTCTGTTCCTAAAATTTTTATCGATCCCTGCCGCTTTGTTTCTTTGTTTGCCGAATTTTGTATTTCCTTATTTCCGTGTTTCTCGAACTCTCAGTCTGCAGAAATTGAATCTATTATACACACTGCAAAAATTTGGACGTCGACATGGTAATAAAGCTTTAGAATTAAAACTCATTATTTTTTGGCAGAGATTGACAGAATGTTCGTGAAACAAAGTAACGAAGAATGATAAAAAGTTCTAGGAACAAAGTCGAGATAAATAGTGCGAGAACATCCAAATTTATACATTGTGTATGATGAATTCAAAACTGCTCAGATTGATAGGAATTTTGAGGAGCAAAGTGGCAAAGACTGACAGAAAACTCGACAAAGTGAAATTAAATTCGAGAAACAAGAAAATTGGAAAAAAAGAACAAGGAGATATGTTCGGTTTTTCAAAATTTTCTCAACAAATACCAATCTGCGCAATTTGAATTTATTATACAAATTATAAAAATTTGGACGTTGAAACGGTGTCACTGGTTTTAACATCGCAAAAATCTAAAATATTATATGAGAGTAGAAAATATGAGTAAGAAATATATTCTATGAACTCTTTGCAATACAATGTTTATACCCTAAACTTTTTGTTTCCAAAAAGTAAACTTATGTTTAGATTGTAAATCTTCTATATATTGTTTACACACGGTATCAGCTCCTCATTTAGTTGATCTCACTGTTGTGCCACCACTAACTAGTAATTAGATTTGTTTCTAAACCAGGTCAACAGCTCTTTATTAGACCGATTATTGTAAATCATGTATTTTGTTTATGTATACTGCTTGCTACATAAGGAGGCTACTCATATTAACAGTAGTGTGTTAAACCAGCAGAGTTCAATCACGAGGCAGTTCGACCACAAAAAGGGATTTCGCTACTTCAGTTCTTCTCTAGCAAGTTTATTGTATTATAGCTTCTCTTGATAAACGATTTACTATATTCCTGTATTATCCCACATATTAATGTCTATGTTAAGCGAATCTCCCAGAAATCAATAAACGTCTCCTAAAATGATTTTTTTTTTTTTTCAAATCTTTCACAATGGTACTTTGGTACCTTTTATGCATCTCATATATATACTATATACATCTTATGTACAACTATATATCTCATATACCACTACTGTTGCAATACTTTCGGTTTTTCTTGAGATTCCTTCTCCGCCTCGATGAAACTTCCTTCCTGCCCCATTCCTTTCGATGTACTTGATTTGCTTTACAGTGAAAAAATTTAATGCATCTTCTACTTCCTGTTAGATGGGACTACCTTAAGCATAGCATCTAAGTCCTTTAGCCCTTAGTTTTTATGTCGAGTACTTTTGAAAGCCGTCATTCCAATGATCACGACAAAAGTAACATCGCTCCTTCAAATTTTTTATGGCCAATAATGTAACCCACTTCACTGACAGCTAGATCGATTCTTATATATTCTAATGCCTTTCCTTTTAAACATCTCTTTAAGTGTAGGAGCTCCTTTGTAATTATTATGTCTTCTCTTTTATCAGTCTGTATTTATAAAATTCTTCGATTTCCATCGAATTCTATTGCCTTCACTTTTGAAGATTTGACTGTAGTCATTAATTTCTCGATTAGTTTAGTTAAAGTCTTTCCTTCGTTTTCTTTTTAACTTCATTTTATGTTTAATCCATCACTTGAAGGTTCTTTTTCGCATAATGGGCGCATCCGATTTTCTCAATTAGAAAAGCTCAAGCATAATGTACTTCGTGACTACTACTAAATAAGCGTTCTTCGGCGTTCAAATAGGACTCATATAAATAGAGTCTTTTCTTTGTCTTTAAACGACTGTAATGCTACTTTCATTCCTTTTCTAATGAACTTGCATTGGAGTTGATTGCTTCTATTATTTTTAAATATCCAATGAGTACTCTTCTTCTTTCTAGAGGTACCGATATATTTCGTTTTTGATTCTTTTTTTTTTTTTTTTTTTTGCATTTCTCCACAAATATTTTGTTTCCCTTAAAATCAATTTAATTTCTGAAGGAAGCTTAAAGTTGTTCTGATTTTTTTTTGTTAGGTAAAACAGGAATTTTTCATCCTTCTTCCTCATGCTTCTGCTCAAACTGCTTTCACCATCCACGATTTTTTATTACCCAAATTTACACACATCCATCCGTCTCTGGCTTTATAAACCGAAGATTGTATGTTCAACTTTGTTGCCAAATTCTTTCTGATAGCAAAAAAGACTGAGAGAGTTATTTTTGTCACTTTTGTTCTTTTCTTCTCAACATTTCAAATTTCGTTAATTAAACCTTTATTCTAATAAAGTGATTAATACAAGAACGAACGTAGCAGTTAGAATTTCAATAAGGCAAATTCAATGACGATATCAGTAACAAAAAGGGAAACCCAAATGATGCCAATATACCAATCAACCGATTCAGCCTAAAGGATTTTACAAAATGAATTTGATGGGTGGGACTGTACCACACAGTCCCTTACAAGATTTTTTTTTAATTTACAGGAATTATGCTAATTGCAGAATTAAAGTCTTTTATTACCAGAAAACAGGGCTGAAAATTGTTAAACTGTCATTGAATTTTCATTTTACCATTTGAGTTACGTCATGATTTTTCTAGATGTATTACCGTAATTACTTAAAAACAAATCTATAAAAATAAAATCATTTTTAATTGATATTATTATTAACAAAGTTAATTTCTCGAAGGATGTATTTGCTTGTATAACTTTAAAAAATTTCAAAATTGATTCAGTTAATAATTAAAAAGAAATTAAAATCATGTTTCAAATACTAAAGTCATCTAAATGTTCCGTATTACAACATAATTTGGATCAATACATTTTAGGAAGAACATTCGGTGACAGTGTGTTATTTATGCTCACATTATTTTTGCATAATAAACTTATCTGTTTGACCGAGATGACTTTTAATACTTTGTAAAAGTATTAAAGAACTTTTCTTTGTTTCCAAAGTCATGACCAGCTATTTTTTTGCTTCTTTCAGGCTTGTTGTTAATATTGTTATTTTTAAATTTTTCTTTGATTTAATATTAGAGGTTAAAATAAGACGAAGAAATTAGTGTAATGGAAAAGTTAATGATTCGCCAACAGCATTTTATAAATTGGTCAGGAAAAAGCTGCGTATTTACATTAACAGGTTTGTCACATTCCTAAAATTATCAAATCCACAAAGTTAAGTTTCAGTCTGATCAAGTCATACAAAATGAACAGAAATTCCAATTCTCTTAATATTTAATATGTTTTAGTCATTAAAACCTTTTCTTAGTGATTTCTGCTTTGGATAAAAGATTGCACTCTCTTAGGTAGAAAAATAATAGATAATTTATTGGATCATGATTGAACTCTGAGTTTTACTTCATTCAGTGAGTTCGTTTAACATGTTGAATATTACGAAATAGTTAATATACTAAAAATCAAAAAAAAAAAAAAAAAAATTTAATGAATATTTTAATTTGTTCTCATATTTTTTATGACCATTGCTATATGATTACCATCTATTAGAGAATTGTGCTTATGAACCTCAACATTGTTATAAAACAAAAGAAGTAAATAGACAAGATTAAATGTTGTTGATAATGATAATAACAGTCAACAGTTTGACGACAAATGAAGTTGTCGTTTTCCAGTTGACAAAACATTTTATCAATTTATTACAGTCAAAACGTAATCTGAGTCAAAAGGAGAAAAATCGGTTCATTCTGTTTTTCTTTCCTTCAAACTGGTGAGTAAGTTAATATTTTAAACGCAATAAAATGTAAATAGCGCTTCAGTAAAACTATTAGGAATGTCATATGCACTCTATTTCTGGTCAATGATGAATTTTAAAAGCATTATGAATTTAATTTTTCTATCTTTAATTTCTATAAAGTTTCAACCTTTGCTTTGAATTTAAAGGTTGAATAAAAAAAACTGATTGTAGATATGTTCTCTAATCGTGTATATCAATTCGATTTATATGCGAACCTTCAGAATGAGATAATTTATCGGTAATAGGTAGTTTTGCGTTATGATAATATTTATTTCCACATTTTGAATGTACCAACGATCACTAAGCAATGAGCATTTGTACTTTTTATTAATTCAAGTTTTGTAAAACAAAGAGAGAAAAATTTACAGTATTTGGTAAAAAAGTTTTGTTGAAATTTCGATTCAGTTCGACAGTTTTAATTTGTCCATTAGCGCGACTAATCTGCAAGAAAACAAAAATTCCATACCATAGTATGCATATATTATAAATTCTAATCGATTAAATAAAGGAAACTCTAGCCATCTTTTAAGTAAAACAAATTGTCAATTTTGATAAAATGGTAATTTGGAATTGTCGTATTCTAGGAAAAAAAACGAATAGACTTAAAACAAGTGAGAAAAAATGAAGACACATTTCACAAGCACTGAGATCATTACACTAAACTGTCTCAAACATACATACAAAGTATAATTACAATGGAAGCTTAATTTTTGCCGAAAACATTTTATAAATGCATATTGAAAACATAAGTTTTAAAACTTGTAGGATAAACTGAATATAATATGCTGAATTAACTTTGGACTAGATCATCCTATTTGAATAATCTTTAGATAAATATTTCAATTAAGAAATCCTTTACCCAACACTCATCTGCAAAATCTGGAATTTTACAGTTTGTTTACAAAGAATGTGTGCATTCCTTATGTGTTTGAAAACCGCACCTTATTATGGGATAGGATACACAAGTATGTAGTAGTTGCAACATACATACAGTGTCACCACTCAACGTCAAAATTGCTGCATTCAGTAAAATTCTACATGAAGAAGACAGTCCCAAAGAATGGGGCACACATTTTTCTGGCAGGTGAATCCAAAAACGGATGTTCCCACCAAGCAGTTGGCTTGATGATCAAAAGCTCAGTCATCTTTAAACTTGTTAATTTATGGACAGATCATTCCAATCGGGTTATTTTCTTGCGCCCTTCATTATGCAGTAAACTTTTCAGCACATAGATTCCAATTCTTCAAGCTAATACCGCAAAAAAAAAGACCGAAGCTTTTAAGGAATATAGCCAATGCTTTTTAAACTAGTGTTTACTTTGCATATTTGCTTATAACGCAAAAATCATTCAGTGGTCAACCACTTCATTTGATCAAATATCGTGAAACAAGCGATTGAGATCATGCTATTTGTTCTGTGCATCAAAAACTGTATCAACGTAATTAGTGGATTAAAGAATAGTTTAAAATTGTCGCCATAAATCTTTTCTTACAGTACCAGAAAAAACAGTTGTTAAATGGTTAGTGATAGACATCAAGATGAAAATTTAATGCTAGAATCAAAATAAAAGCATGAAAACCACTTCAAAAGAGAAAAAGAGCTCACCTTTAGAAGTCGGTTTAGCTGTGACCGTCATAACTCTAGTGCCAGATATTTCTTCACCAGTCTACGTATTGACACATTAACATTGTCTAGAACGACGTATATTTGATTTTCTTTCTAAGACTAAGAAGCTTAGTACTTCTGTCATCTTTGTATATTTTCAGTCAAATGAACCTGATGCGTCGATTGCACTGGAACTTCGATTCCTAGATTTCTCATAACACTTGATTAGTGATCAGCTGAAAGATATCCCTTTATTCCCATAAGAAGAAGCCAATTTATGAAGACACGCTGCAAGCATTCCTTAATTACACCACCACACTATTGAAAAATTTTCCCACTCAGTGTTGATTTCATTAATTTTTTCACTGGTTTTTATTTAAATTATTTTCCCTTCATCTTCTATTTTGACTGTAGTAAACCAACACCACTGAGAGGCTTAGATGCCGTAATTAATTCAGTAAAAAATATATGACTTCTGGATCTATAAATGAAAATACTTGTAGCAGTATGAGGAAAAACACATAGACTACTGCAACCTCTGTCGCGAAATTCGAAATAATCTCGCAATCTCCAAATAACTTACAAAATATATCAGACAAAATTGTATTAATCCATAATATTAAAATTCATTTTAATTAAGCATTAGAAATGTAAAACTGTTTCAAATTATACATGATGTAAGCAATCATTATTTCAATTCTCATTTTCTCACTGTAGTTGAGCTTATCTGCTTGTCTGATAACAAAGAGTATGTGCATTGTTTAATATGTTAAAAACTACTTCTTTGTTGCAAATCAAATTTGCTTACAATGTCGAAATATTGTAAAGGTTTTCTAAGCTAATAGTCATTCTTTAAGAAACTACAGTATTAAAACCCATCTCTTACTATATAAAGAGTAAAGATCATCTGATACTCAATAATCATGCTGTTGCTGCAAGTCAGACCCACTATATAAGGGTCTAAACCTTTTGTCTCAATCAACTTCTCAGTTTTATCAGTTTTTTCCTTACCAGTAAGCTACAATTCTGCTGCTCTTCCTCACTCACAATTCAGCTCATTTCCCGACCAATTTATTCATTTACCCATTTTCTTCATCTCATTTGTAGATACTCTGCGTAGATAAATTATTAATATTGTAGATAAATTATCAATATTACTGCTATAGATTAATACCTATACATTGTGGTTATTAACAAATAAAATCAGACCTATTATTTAACACATTCGTCTATACCAATTACAATAACAAACAAGGAAGGCTCTTGAGCATACGAAAGTTAAGGTCGACTCTAAGCAACAAGTTATATTCAGGCTGAACCACCAAGTGACAAAAAATTTCCATTCCAAATTCTAAAACATTTCTCTGAACAAGCATCCTATCTTTTGCTTTGCCTTGTCGTGTTTAAATTATTTTTCATGATTAATCTGCTTTTCTCCACTAACACACTGTAATAACGTTGAATCTTGGCGGAAGATTTCAATATTCTAAAAATCTGCTAACCATGTTTAAACATCCAAAAATTAGAAATATTTATGCACATAAAAACATTGTAATACACCAGCTATTTAAATGAAAACATTAACCCTCTTATGCACAGCATCAAGGCAAAAAAGAATCGAGTAGTTTCAATGAATTCCTGAGAGAGTTTGATAACATTGGCAAAGAATCAATAAGTGGCCATATACTGCATACATTCTGTATACGCTTTGCTTGTTGTCGCATCAAATTTCGTATTCGCGCTTTCGATAGTATTAGTAAGGTAGGTACCTGAAAATTATTAACATTACTCAAATTAAATGAAAATTGCTGACAAGTTCATCAGCAATCGATCAACTGAAACTTACATATTATCTTCTTTTCCGCACATAAATATCATTCCAGCTTGGTTTTTTTTTTTCTTGTTGCACTTTTTGTATTCATAAAAACACATTAAAGTACAAATTTACCACCAAATGGGTCTTATCGATAACGGTTGCTAGGGCACAGTTTTCACCATTAATCCTATCCGTCCTTCCTCGTTGATCTGATTTGTCTTGCAACATATTTCGGATTCTAAATTCTTCATAAAATATTCAGAATTCATACAATGATAATGTTCTCGTCACCTTTTTTAGCTACACTTTTAAAATTCCAAAGTTTAAATTCTGTCATCATATTACTTGACATAATTCATTATGTGTCCTAAGTGATGCAACTAACAGGAATGAAAATTTTATGATTTGCATCGTTTTCTTTAAAAAAAGAATTTTAATCAATTAGTGAACCAAATGTTTTAATATGGGGCATTCGTTTTTATTATCTTATTCCAACCGTTCTTTCATGTGTTTACTGATTGGTGATCCCTCTTCGATTAATCGTTTAATGGTTGGTATAGATGCATTAATTTCGGCAAAATCTAATGGAAGACGACGTTTGAAGTCAGAAGCATGTACATTAGCGCCATGAGCAATGAGCAACATAGCAATCTGTTCACGGCCTAAACAAGGTATAGCAAGAAGTTGCAGAATGATATGAAATTTTTAACATAAAATCAAAAAAGGCAAGTTGATTTTAAACGTCATGTTTAAAAACTCGATATTTGAAAAGTGCATTATGTAAATACACCTATTTTTACTGAATATAGCTCGTTTCCTAAACATGATTTGATCTGATTTACACCAGAAAAAGTTCTATTCTTCTAATTCAACATAATATCATATTCATGCTGACTTCTACAGATTGTGTTCTGTCAACTGATAAATTCAAGACATATTTGATCATGAAACATTAAGCATGAAAACTGGAAAATCTGATTGAAATGAATTTTTGAGTAACAGAACAAATTGACCAGCGATATTCCTGCATGCGAAATGCAAAGGAGTTTGTCCGGTACAATCAGGAATATCCAAGTTAGCTCCAAAAGCAATAAGTAAGTTACAGATGTTCAAACACCGTTCTTTTGTCGCAATGTATAATGGAGTGCGATTATCTGATACTGTTACATTAGGGTCTGCTCCATACATCTACAAATGGGTTATTCATATAATGGTAACTTTTCAATTTCAAACACATTTTAAATCACTGAATTAATTTTCTAATTACTTTGGAATCTAGTAGAGAAACTGGTATTGAAATTTTGATTGAAACTAGACAGGAAGGTATTGAAAATTTGATTGAAACTAGACAGGAATTAAGTTAAAAATTAATGTGTTGATAAAAATCTGGAGCTTAAATTTACTATTAGACAATATCATTGAATTAAGCCATCATTTAATGAAGGTGTATATATATTGATTGTTCTGGAGAATAAGATTTTGTTCATTCGATAGCCTTTGCTGAACCCACTGCATTTTTAGGATCAAAGAATTTTAAGTGGACCATTCAGACAGTTTCCTATTTAGTTGCTAATGAAATTTATTTTGTAATAATTCAGTTAGTCTTATTTAGATATTATTTAAGAAAGCGAACCAGCAGTAGTTCAACGATCGCATAATTGTGAAGTCGAACAGCCGTGTAAAGAGGAGTTTCAAGTCGACCGCTCTCATCAGATGAGAGTTTATTTAGCTCACAATTATAGTCCAACAATATTCGAACAATTGATTCGTTCTGATTTCTAACGGCCAGTGAAAGGGCAGAAGTGCGCATCAAATTTGAATTAATATTCAAGCTTCGATGACGTTGAAGTGTGTACAGGACCTGAACAAAAGTTGTACATTTCATATAGTTAATGACATCAAATATTTTGGTGATACTTTCTTCATAAATGTCTAGAAATTATGCTGACTCACCAATCCAGGCTTATTAGCCCTAATTGCTATGTGAAGCTCATTCAGAGCATCCCATTTTCGGTAATTTTGGATCATAAATCCTTACTTCAGGCACAAGGGCACACCAAATATTAAACAGATGAAGGATTAAATTTCTGCAATTATTATAAAAGTTTCAGCAAAAAAAAATGTCATACAAAAATATTTGAAATGTAAACATGCCATACACATAATTTTCAATATAATTTATGTTTTTAGTGAAAAATCATGTTATGCAAAGTGTGCTTCGTTTGTTTCCTTTTAAAACAAACGAAGCATTTTCCTCTCCGTGCTTCATCTGAAGAAATCTTTTTTTCACTATAAATCTTGGCAATCTGATAGCTAAATATCTAGAAAATCCAATCAATGTACAAATGCATTCAATGTCATATCTAGAAACGTCAAACACGGAGATTGACCGATAAGATTTGATAGCAGTTTTAAAAAATCTGAACTCAACCATTCATATATACATTTCCTTTATTTCAACTTGTTTTGATCTAGCCAGCTATCTACTAAAAATTTCGAGAGCATAAGGGCACTCTATTTCATTTCCCAAACTGATGATCATGTGGCTACTGACTGATTCTATCGGTAATATTTGCAGGAAAGTAACGGAGTGATTACTTTCAAAAGGATTTTTTTTTTTTCAAATCAGAAAGTCCCCCATCTTTATCAAAAAAAGAAAAAGTAAGGAAAAGCAAATGATAGCCTCGAAGTTTAACTCTTCCTATTTGATGCTTGAAAGTATGAAAGGCATAATCTTGTTCGTCAAAATCATTCAAAGTGGAGATGAGGTGTGAGGAAGATGAGGTCATCAGAAGCAAACAGCAAGTTAACCTGGAATGATGATACCAACCAAATGAAAATTAGAGTCTATTTAAGATTTGGTCAATGTTTTAGAAAAGCGCTGCAGGCAACTTCGCAGTCCGATAATGACAAAGCACGATTCAGCAGGTCTATCTCTGTCACTCATCATTGCTTTGTTTCTGTATTTCACATGAGAAAACACGTCTTTTCTCCTTCGCTCACTCTTTCTACGTCCTTTTAAACGTGCTTTTACAGCTAAAACCTGTTCTTTTTTGAAAGTTTAGAATCTTCAAGATATAATGTATATATATTCCGGATTTTTCAGATGTGCGAGTGCATATTTCATCCAATTTAATCTTTGTTAAAGGGTGCTAAGTACAAAAGTGAGGTTTGAATTGAGGGAAAGAAAATGAATAGAACAGTGCAAAAAGTAAAATAAATTGGGAGTGATAATCATTTTGACACCAACTTTGTAACTCGTTTTCAACAGAATATAAATTGAACAACATAAACTTTTCCCGTATTACATATTTTTACTCATTTGTTCAAATTTTCTCCGCTCCTTCTGTAAATTAAACCATTAGTTACGAAATGATCTTTCTTGAATTACCATTTGATAACAGATAAATATCACTGCAATTTTTATTCATAACTGTGGAGATATCGGTCATGATTGGAGAAAAAACGATGAAATGCTCATGTGCACAATTAATGATATAATGATTATCGTTACACTGTAGATACTATAAACTGTCACTAGTGAATACTCGATCTACCTTTATTAGCACCTAATTAAAAAAAAGAAATGTTGTTATCACATCATACCATTTGTAAGGTTGCTGGATTACCGTTGCCATTTCAGACAGCAAGTTCTAATTTGTCGCATGAGTTCGTAAATACCTATAATTATTTCCATCCATCCATACCATCATCTAGAAAGCTATCCTCAAAAACTTAAACATTTCCAGAAAAAAAATCGAAATCATCTTTTAATCATATTGAAATATTTTAATCGGAACTCTTATAGGAAAAAAAAAAAAAAAGAATATTTCAACCTTTATTTGATACGAGACGATTCCTTTATATAATTGTTTCCTGCTTAATTTATATTCTTATCACGTTTCTTCTCTTTGCTTCGGTTGTACTATCAGTATAATTGGTTGAGCTGACTGTTGTTTTCTTCCCTTTTACTTCTTGATCCTTGAATTGTCGTTGAATGTCGTAACTGTCGTTTGCTTGTACGTCGTCGTTTATTGCCAGAATTTTGTGCTTGCCGTTGTATTTCTCCACCCGTTGAATTTCTTCGTCGTTTTCGTAATTCACGTCGTTTAATACTCTCAAACTTGGGTAATTAAACCTCCCGTTGTTTTCTTATTGGTGTCCTAAGAACTAATCCCTCTTACCCGTCCTCCTAACCGTTTTCCTCTAATTTGGTTTAATATCCACATAGTTTCCTTTGTACGTCAATTCTCTCATTGTGTTTTTCCCTTCGCTTCGCTGCTTGTTAGCATGACTCCTTTGCTAGCGACCTCCTTTGTTCTTTATTAACTATAAGATCCTATATACACTATATACAATACCCTCTCTTTATTCTTTAGTTACCGTAATAGTACCTTCTGCCTATTTGCCGACACTCCAGACCTGGGACGGTGACGTGGCTTCTTGTTCTGGATGATATCGGTCCATCATCTAAAGTAGTGATTTTTTCTGACGTTTTCATATCCTGTTCATCTTTCGTGCTTCCTTCGCTCTTAGGACATACGTTCTCATCTTCTTCAGGCATTTTCGTTTCATTCGTGTCTTGCAGTTTCAGAGGGTATAATAAGTTTATGGGTCGTATAACTGTATTTCTGTTTGGAAGTTTCAATTCAACAGCTCTTACTTTTCTGTCTCTTCCCATTTTTAAGCTTATTATTTTTGCTAGTTTCCAAACTCTTCGTGGTATTCCTAGTTCATCTAATAACACAACTTCGTTTATCCGTGGTGTGTTTCTGGCCGTACATTTTGGGTGAACATGATTTGCTTAAGCCCTTTCTCTCAGTATGGCTAAATATTCTCCTTTCCATTTGTTCCAAAAATGTCTAAAGTTTTGAGTGTATTTTTTTAGCATTGTATAAGCTTCTGTCGTAAATTCCTCTAGCAGGATTGTATTCATCGTCGGTAAAAATCGGTAAAATTAATGATGTATTTGGAGAGATAAAATCAACTGGTCGTATGGGTTTAATGTCATCTGAATTTACATATGTTAAAGGGCGTGTATTTAATACGCCTTCTATTTCTATTATTAACGTTTCCAGGTCTCTTTCTTGTAGTAAGCTCTTCTAAAAGTTTTCTTCGTTAAGCCTACTAACCGTTCATATAATCCTCTACACCATGGAGCTCGAGGCGTAATGCTTTTCCAATGATTTCCTTTCTTTGCTAACAATTCGTTGACCTTTGCATATTCCTGAGTGAATACGGTTTGGAATTGAAGTGCGTTGTCACTGATAATTTGGTGTGGATAACCTCGTCTACTAGTAAATCTTCTAACAATGTGCATAAATGTTTCGGCAGATAGGTCTTCGGCAATCTCCAAATGAACAGCTCTCGTCGTAAAGCAAGTAAACAACGCAATCCATCTTTTAGCTGTACTTATATTTGATCTGTATTTGATCTCCGAGATAATCTACTGCAATGTTTTCGAAAGTTCTTGACCTTTTCACTCGCGTTTCTGGTAAATTTGTCATTATCAGCAATTTAAAAGGTTTTGCTTGCCATCGTTTACATACGTGTAACACTTGTTTAAAATTCGTTTTACTTCGGATCGGCCTTTTGGGATCCAATAACTTTTCCTGTTTTCTGATAGCGTATGTGCTACTCCGGCGTGAAATCGTGACTCATGTTTATATAATACAATAAGCTCTGTAATAGCGTTGTGTCTTGGTAAGTAAAGTGGATGTTTCGTTTTTTCAGGCAAAGATGAATTTTCGAGTCGACTAGCTGATCTCCACAATTTATTTTCATCGAGATAGAGGCTTATCTTAGTTACATCCCTTCGTCGAAATTTTTATTTGAGCTTGTTTTATTAAAATCTGTTCAGCTAATTTATAATCATAAACTTATGGAGTTGCCAACATCCGATAACAGTTCAATCCATTTGAATCTATTTTTTGTGATTCGTTTAATGAATCTCCAGTGACCAGATCATTGTTCTTACTAATCGCATCCATTTGCTAAAGCGATTGGTATTAATTATTTGAAAGGAATTGTTACCGTTTTGGTTTGTAATTGCTTCCACTACAATTTCTCGAGCTTCTTCCTCTTCGTGTAAGTCTAAATTTTGATAAGTCCAATTTGGCCAACTTTCTTCGTTTTTATTTAATCAATATGACCCATTCCACCACAATTCCTGGTATTTTAAATCTTCTGGCTTAATTCCTCTTGTTGTTATATCTGCTGGATTGGTTTTACTAAGTACATATCGAAAGGAAAACTTTGATTTCCTTATTTCTTCTACTCGATTCTATATAAATTTTGGCTGTAATTTCGTACAATTTAGTATCCAATGTAAGGAACATTTTCAATCTGACCAGAGAATTGTTGGGATTCCTTCTAATTCTAATTGTTTCTTAGCGAACGTCACTGCTCTTACTCCAATTAAAGCACCCATCAATTCAAGTCGCGGTATTGCAATAACTTTTATTGGAGCGAGTCTTACTTTTGAAAATATTAACGATGTTTTTCTTTCATTGCCGTCGTTGGTTGGTATATAAACTGCTGAATAAGCAATAGCTGAGGCGTCTGTAAACACGTGCATTGTAAGGCCGTCGTTTGTTTCCATAGTTTTTCGGGGAATGTTTTTGATAAATTGTGGCCATTCTTCAATAAGGGATTGCCATTTTGCTAAATCTTTCTGTTCTAATGGCTTGTCCCACGAATAGTTTTTTTTCCAGAGATCTTGAAAAAATAATTTCAATTTGATGTTTATTGGTACGATTAATCCCAGGGGGTCGTATTGAGACGCTATAAATTGTAGGTTGTTTCTTTTAGTTATTTCCTTTTCTTTCCAGGATTTGAGCTCTGTTGTGATTGTATCGTTGTGATAATCCCAAGGAATATCAAGAACTTTAATCTTTTCGTTTTTAAACTTGTCGTCTTTCGGTACATAAGCGTTGAACTCTTCATTATTGGATAGAAATCCTCTAATATTCATAGGTGCTTCACTATATATTTGTTTCACTTCTTGGTATTTTTCCAAGGCTTCTTCTGTTGTGGCTGATGATATCAAAACGTTGTCTACTTATAAGTTCTTCTTAATTTCTTTGGCTAACTCATTCCCGTTGATTTCTAAGTGATTATTCAAAGTCGCTGAAAGTAGAAATGGTGATGATATTATTCCAAAAGGGACTCTCTTGAATCGGTAGCATTTGACATTGGTGTTTTCCATTGGTTTTTCTATGTTGCGTAACCATAAAAATCTGGTGCAATTTCTACCAGTTGGTTTTAATTCCAGCTGTAAAAACGCCTTTCCATCATCCGAAATCTCCATGGTATAATACGTCATTTAAACTTTTGTCATTTTTCAAATGTCGTATACCACTCCAAGTTTCGTTGTTTCTTTGTTAAGTGTAAGAATCTCATGATGTGGAAAATAACGTATTATACCTTCTTGATCCATCTCTGTGGTAACGTCTTCGATCATATCACACGCTAATTGTTCTCGAATAGTCTTATCGTAGCTTTGGTTTGTCTCGTAGTTCTATAAGTGATCTAAGTCTTCCTAAACATAACCCATAATGACTTTTAAGATTTACCTTTGTTTCTTTCCACGGTCAGCTAACTTGATATCGCCCATTATGTTTACTGATGCTTTTTTTGAATTAAGATAATGCTTTGTCTTCTGGTTTTTCTTTCACACAAATAAGTTCTAATTTTCAAAACTGATCGATATCTGGTACATTGCAGCGAAAAGTTGTGCGAAAAATTGCTGTTTCCATTTGCGTTATATTTGAATTTATATTGTTAATTTGACCATAACCTGCCACTATTGGTCCTCCACTAAGTAAAATCCCGAATTTATTCGTTTGGCTTTACTTGGTTCTATGAAATTGAAAAAGTGGTTAGCTCCAATAAGTAGGTCCGGTTTTTTCCACTCACCATGGACCTCTTTTAGTTGTTCGAGATTCTGATCAGAAAGATCCGCTACTTGCAGGTCGTTGGTAAGATGGTCAACTGTACTAACTTCCATCTGAACGTTTCCTCGTTGCTTAATTTGATTTCCACTACCGTCTTTATCGTTTGAAATTCTATGGGTCTTTCCTTTCCAATCCGGCCATATGAAGAATTTCACTTTTTCCTTTAATTCGTAATTGGTTTGCTAAGTTTTTCGACATGAATGATAACTGTGATCCTATTTCGAAAAATGCCAGTACTCTAGCTTTGATTCCAGGTTTTTATGGATTTACTACTGTCACTTCTCGACAAAGTAGTAAGACGTTGTATTTCGTTTGTATATTGCGATCTGCTACAGCGTTGACTGCTTTTACTTCGTCTTTTCTTTGATCCATATTTATAACCGCCTTTGATTTTTGTTGTGATTGACCTCTTCTTTGGAAAATGTGACACAAGGCGGAATTGTGATTTTGCTTACAGTGGAAACAACTCTTTTGATTTGTCTTATAGTTTCTTGTGTTATGTCCCACTTTCAAACAATTTCTACAGGCTTTTAGAGCGTTTAATCTTGCAAGGCGTTCTTCCAAAGTTGTATATTTTCGGCATTCGTCGTCTCAATGATCTCGATTGCAAAATACACAAGGTCTTGGACCTTTTGCTAGAATTGATGCTTCGATTTGTGGTTTCCTTTTAAAATTATATTGCCGGTATTGCTGATGTTCTCTTGGTTGATTAAATTGAATTCTTCTGCTTCACGCTGTTCTTGCATCGTCTGGATTCTTTGGTCCACAAATTTGGTTAATCGTTTCTTTTCGTTTCACACTAACAAACCAATCTGGATCTAGCTCCTTCCATTTATATACTTCATCGAGTACCCATCGAGGTAACTTTTCTTCAATAGTCAGTTCGATACTCGTTTGTTCTACGTTTTCACCAAGTTTGTCAGCTGCCTAAGGATATGTCTGAATGATTTTAATTCGTGATACAGCGTTCGTTTAATGGTGGAAGGACTTCCAAATCTTTCAAAGAGAATGTTTCGAATCATCTCATAGTTTTCTGGTGTTGTTTCTTATTCTTCCATTGCGTTTAATGTGGTCCCTCTTAAACAAGAGAGAAGATATGTCAGTTTCTGTACGTCTGTCAAATTCTGTTGATGTACCGCTGCTTCAAATCCACTCCAGAATTCTCTCTATTGCTTCGGATCTCCATCAAAATTTTTAAGGGCAAGAGTGGAAGTTTAAAAGTTAGTGGACGTCTTACTTCCGTTGATCCTTGCTCTTGTTGACTCGAAATTCCCTGATCGTCTTCAACTATTGTCACATATCGTTGATTTTCTTGTTGTTTAGCTGGTATCTTTTGCAGGAATTCCATCCATTTTTCATTGAATCTTCCGAGTGTCGTTATTTGTTTCTCTATTTTTTGTTGCTTCTCTTTAAGTTTTTTTCTTGTTCTTTACATTGCTCGCTTTGGTTTTCCACGGCAGATTAACGTCCTGTTGGATAACTTTCAATTGTTTAATCTCATTGAGCGCCTTCTTTAATTTATCTTTCGTGGGTTTGGCGCTTATTGCTATGCTCGCTGACATTTCTCCTTTCTTTTTAAACTCGGTTGCCTTCCCAGTTCGTGACACCATTCACATCCGTACAACCCCATCATACGCTACAATTTATAATCTAAATTAACAACGAATGACAGACTAGTCCCCTCGGCCTCACTTCTTAAGAATGTATATCGGTACGACAAAAGCCATTCATCATCTATCATGCACGGCTAGTAACCGTTTGCTTTAATTTCCGCAATGCCTTCATAACTCTCTCCTCACGCGCAGCTTTTGTTACATCTATCATAAACGGTCCCATCCTTATACCTTTCTCGAACATCAAACGGGGTACCGCTTCTGCTCCCAACCGGTCGATGTTAACAATCTCCAATTTTCTGAGTCGCGCATTAACAGAAGAAGAGAAGATACTGTCCATGCTGATTCCACCCATGTGTTCTTTAGAGAAACTTTTTCATCGTCCGCATCCTCTGCCCAAAAGTCCACTGACAAATCCCATGAGTGCCAACCTCTTACTTAAACTTGCACAATATAGGAACAGGGCTGGGGTATTCTGCAATACTAACAAAAGAGGATTATATCCGATCCCACAGGCCTTCCTTGGTAGAATCAAAAGCCGCAAGCTTATCAGGACAACGTAAGCACTCCCCTTATAAGATCTTTTCTCTCTACATTCGACTCTAGGTACAGCAGAGTCTCCGTAGCCATACCCTCGAGTAAACGGCCTCTCCTTACTTTGTAATTTACTTCCTCATGTATACTCACATGGTGCTTACGGATGTCCATTCTAACGAGCTTGTAATAGTGCCACAACAGCAGAACGATCGCTGCACTTTCGCTGTATCCTCTGGCGCATTTGCTGAGGAAGAGGCGTTTTGAAGAGAGCATATATCCCAAAGGGTCTGAGACTGTTCTTGGCTTTTCACTAGGTATTATCATTATCTGATCCCTTGACACATAAAAGCCATATCTCGCAAATGTCTGAACAAACTCAGCGCTACACACGCATAAAAAAGTCTTCTCAGACGATAATACGTGTCCGCAATGATCGTATGCGTTTCGCAGCCATTCCATAAACTCTCCCACCTCATCAGCGTTGACATTGGCACCATTCAGCCTTGTAATCCATTCCATCCAACCGCCTGCCTACTTCAATACTCAATCTTGAACCGAAAGCGGTTTCGCCTAAGCGGTTCATGATGCAATTCTGCATCGCAAATTCTCAAGGTAGTTCGCCGCTTGCTTCGCTCGTCAAACGCACTAGATCTCGACCATCTATATAATTACCCACATATAACCTCAGAGCGAGTTTCGAACAGTACAACCATCTCACCTCCGACTCCCCGTATCCTTCTCACACAAAACGTAATCATCTTCTTTTATCGATCCCGCACCGTAAACTGCAGTCACCTTCAGCTCCTTTACGGAGTTAGCTTTTCTCCAACACCCAAATTGGAGGTCCAGTGGCTCAACCTCTCCAACAAGGTGTCGTAAACGTCGCGACCATCATCCCACCAGGTATTATGTACCCATCACCAAATGCGTTCTCTACCATTTCATCCCATGTTATCCATGCCATCCTGCTGATCGCCAGGAGCTATACACTTCAAAGCCTGCAACATTGGTCCACGGAAGTTCCAAAGAACATTATGCGAATCATACTCAGATCTGTGTCCACCGCCAAAAAGGCTGAATCTCTAGACATTCTAATCGTTTCATAATTATCATATATTCTCAAACCAGTCGTCGATCCAGGTCCAGAAGCAATGTTCGAAGCATCCAGGCCGTACAACATAGGTCCATCGTTTTTACCTTGAATAGAAACGTAATCCGCTAACTGCCCTGCTACAGCCACTTGCGCATGAAGACGCGGTAACGGTAGCACATAAATATCCCTTGGCTTTATATGGGACATCCCGATATCCAACACCACCTGGACTAGTCATAATTAACTTTTTTTCCTAGCTCCGAACGTCTGAACTCATCTTCACCCAAAACACATCCTATCAACATTTTCTTTCTGGCTTTAATAACTCTCTCTTCACCTTCAATTACCGACTTTACTTCCATCGGCGTGACACCCGCACTTGTCGACCTCCAGTATCCGATACATTTCTGTTTTTATATGGGACATCCCGATATCCAACACCACCTGGACTAGTCATAATCAGGTGGATAATAACCGTTTTCGCGCGCCTGCCTATCAAAGACATTATCTTACTCACTTCCTGTAGTAATTCCTGATCTTTAATTGCCTCTTGCTCGCTCCTTGGGGCTGATATACGCTTGAATGCACCTTTTATTTTTTCATTAGACTCATTAAGAATGAGCATGCACTAACGAAATCACTTGACAAGGTACGTTTGAGATTACAACGAAGAAAAGATTGGCAAAAACCCAGCAGTCAAACTAAACCTAGTTTCGACATCACTTCTTTCACTTCCACGATTGTGCTGTCGGTGAAACACATACGCGTAACGCACATTCATCAAGAATGGCATACAAACTACATTCTACACCATTCAGGTGTACCGTCGCACGCACCAAACCGACGGGCATCTCTTTCACATTCAACAGCGACTCAACTACGTTGTGCAAATAATAAAACCCATTCACGAAAACCATCTGCGATTTGTTCGCTCTGCGAACCGAAAACGCGCTCCAGTCCGTTTTCTCGCAACTCTGGTGGAATTTTGTAAGTTTGTTTGAATTAAAAAACTCAACAAAAACTGAATGATAAAACTCGTAGCTGGAAATTGAACAAATTTTGTTGTTTAAAACAGAAACGAAGAGGCATAAAAACAAGGATGCAGATAGTTGAGTCAGTGATTAGCGCGACCAAAGGTTACAAATATGTTTTCAGGTGGAAGGCATAAGTGTCGCCAATTTATCAAATGAGAAATGAAGTAAAAAATTTTTAATTTGCAGTGAGGAGTGGGGACAGTTAATTGTACAAAAAAATCAGTTCGGTTTCTCCTCGATTTCTAATTCGGATCATTATAGATGATAGTTGTAATGATGACATTAAACTGGCGACTGACGTATTTTAAAAATAAATAAATAAATAAAGTAAACATTAACATTAATTTGGTAAATTCTTTCAAGATTTCACTGAAAAAAGAAGGATTGGATTAATCAAAAAATATTGTTTGTGACAAAGATAGTACTACTTCATGTGTAACTTATATTACTGCAAAAATTTTTTTGCAGAAATCCTATTTAGACAGTCTTCAAATTATAGTCTTTACTTCAACTTTAAGCTAAAATAATTCCATTTTGAATTATTAATCTAATTATATTTCGCACATTTTCCTTCATAAGTTTCTCTGTTTATGCATTTCTGTGAGAAAGAAAAAAAAAAAAAAAACATGTACCTCGTATAAAATATATCAATGGCATCACAATGACCCAGTTTAAGCACCGCATAATGAAGTACTATTCTGTCTTAAAAGTTGGGTCACATGAGCAAGTTGACAGTTGTTAAAAGAATAATGAAATATAGAAATGAATATAGAACAATCATCGACAACCAAACAAAGCGATAACTGATAACTACAATTTAAATGTATTATGACATAATGAAGTGAAAACTATCTGCTAGAGGGTTAATAGTTATCTAATAAACAGAAAGTTAGAAAGCAGATTTTGCTAAAATCTTTTCTTCTTTGAATGTGCTTATACCAAGAATTAGATTAAATGGATCCTTATACTAATGAGATTAAATGAAAAGTTCATAATTTTAAAAATTAAACCATTTTTTATTTCTTTCTTCACTCTTTATCTTCAAATTCTCCAACATTCATTATTTATATTTTCTATTGGTTTTTAAATTATTATATCTGCTAGATGTAAAGTGATCAATATAATCAAAAAAATCGGTAGATTTTTCAATGTTGTGTTACTGAAGTTAATTGATGAGTGCAATCAGAGTTCAGAAAATGTTTGCCTAAGGTTTGTTTTCATTTATTCATTAATAAAATTTGGTTCGTATCAAATTCATGTTTTTTTAAATTTTAATCAACCAGATAATGAGAACTGACAGTTTAAATATTTTGTTCACGTTAAAAAAGAGAATTCCATTGCTCTTCACAACACTCTTGAACTGAACTAAATCTTAAACTGGAGCAGGAAGCGAATATTACAGGAAACGATTAATGATTACAAATTACGATAAAATGTGTTGCTTCATTTTTCTGGATGAGTCATGTATCTATTAAACTTTCGAATTTTTAGAAATTTCGGATATTATAATAAAAATAAAGTTACTATCAGTTTATCCGCAAATTTTACTGACTTGCAGTAAATGTGAAATAGCTAATGGGTCACAATTTAGCGATTAACTTGGATATCACAATTTTACTGATACATGGGAAGAGATTCTGTTTATTTCTGATTTTTATAACTATCAACAGTGCATTAAATGAATGCAATGTGTTATGCATTATTTACATCAGTTCTTATTGATGTAATCTCATGGGTTAGTGCATCATCAACTTATCCGTTTCTCAATCGTGATTTTCGGGTTTCTGCAGAATGTAGTTTTGTAGGGTGCAATTACATTGAATAGATGTAAGACATGAAACATTGATAAGAAATCTTTCGCGTCATAGTATGGCTATCTTGCAGCATGATTAGCTCTATTAGACTTCCGGAGTTTTAAAAATCAAGAAATTCCATGTATAAAAGAAAATCTTTAAGTTTTATCATGAACTGAAAAGTCATGAAATTTCCTACATTTTATTCATCATCGAATAACTTGTGAATTTATAATAATAAGTTAAGTAAAGCTATTTAATATAGCATTGCTGAAGTACGATTGATGAGACTGAAACGCAGTCATACTTCAATATCAAATTTGGCGACGCTTTTGGTAATTTTATCGAAACAACTCGAACGATTTTATTGTAATTGTTGTTTAAAATATAATTATTATCCCTGACAATCTTTGAATTTAAATAACTCTTCAGTGAACATTTTTTGCTTCAACATAGAAAAGAAATTGTGCAATTTCATTTCCAATTTGTAATAGAATAAATGTTGGAATGCTTAGTTTAATTAACAAACTGAATATTATTTTCTGTATGGAAGATAAAAGAAATTGATGCTTAAACCGGAATCAGGATTTCTGTCGCAAACTGAATTTAATAATAATGAAGTTGTGAAATCAGAACAAATTTTGAGTCGATCAGTCTCTGCACGCGCTAGCAGCTGATGTGTGAAAATAATGCAAGCTTTTGCGACATATAATAAAGTTTTAATTGATGTATTCAAAAGTTTTGTTTTGTTATCAGAAATTGAAAATTGCTTTTGTATAAATTCTCACTGTGTGTGCGGAAAATTGCAAAAAACACTGAAAAAGTTTGACAAATTTTAAATAAATCTATTTTAGTCAAAAGCTAAATAAGTTGATTGAGTAATACTGAAACTATACGATACAGTGCATCCTGAATGAAATATCGTGAATGCTTTCGAATAGCAGCTAGCATGAAATTCACAATTAAAAAAAAAAAAAAACTATCAGCCATCAATTTCAAGCTATTTCGCTGAAGTATTTTGATAATCAAGTAAATGATTGACTGAATTCCGCTTGGCTTTAGACCAAGAAATTTCTACTTCTCTGCTTCTCAAGACTTTTGCAAATTCTAATCAATGGAAATGTTACCGGTATTCGGTTTATTCTTGTTTACTTTTTTTGTAATATTGCTCTGAATGCGAAAACTACTACTGCTCTGGAATGTGGGAACGTGATCTTAGGTATTAGGATTGATTTCACCTAATGCATAAAACTATTTAACCCTGAAGCTAAGCTAGCTGGCCAGCTTAACATCGGGTGCTACAAATGACAAAAGCGAAAGAAGAATATAAACACAAAAAAGAGAGCTAAAATTCCTTTGAGTTGTGCGAATGACATTCAGTACTTCCGTGAATTGTTGAATTCTTTTCGTGATAATAACGGTAATTAAGAAGTTCAGTGTCATTTTACATAAATTAAATTATTCCTAACGAGCAATTTGAAATGCTTTTTTTTTCCCTCTACATAATCTGCGCTGATGTAATTTTTTGACAGCAATAATTTAAACTATTTATTACCTATATTTTTTATTCATTTTATGACTGTAAACACTATTAATAAATGCATAAATTTATTTCAATAATTAAATGAACTATATTTCACACGAAAACCAATATTTTCATTTGCAATAATATGTAATTGTAACGTCTCCCGATAATCATCAACTTTCCTTTAAATTAAGACAACATAGATGACTATTTAAATGATCAAGTAATAAGTGAATTAATTAGAAATGTTTTTAACAGCTGCTTTCAGTTCTTTTAGAAAATCTAGTCATAACACTAACTGGATGTATCATTAGTGAATAATTAGATGGTCAGTGATTATTTTTAAATAAATAATCAAATTAAACAACCGTCTTCGTTTTTTATTTGTCGAAATAATTTCTAAATGATTTAATGGGTTTGTCAAATATCAGTCTTATAAATGCATATAAACAACTAGATATGTACAATCATCATCCATAATTCTCGACATATTTATCCTTTTTTTCTGGTCATCATTTGACAAAATTCTGAAACACACGTCATGCAGCATGGCAAAAATTTTCATATATTCATGAAAACTTTGAAGTTTCTTAATAACAGCATAATATTTCGAGAAGTCCAAAACAATGAAATGACCATAATTGTGGTCAACTTAAGAAGAAAAAATAATTCATTACCATCGAAATTAATTTTTCCATCTCTGTTAACATCCACTTGATTGTAAATAGCCTTGATATCACTGTCAGTAAGTTTATGTCCCATTCGTTGGAACGCAGTTCGTAACTCAGATCTAGTAATACATCCATCACCATCTACATCTAATTCATCGAAGACAGCTTTCAAAGATAATGAAAGCGGATTTGCATAAGCTATCGATAGAAATTCTACAATTTTAGTGTGAGTTGAAATATCGTATGCAATATCTTTATATAATTTATCGCACTTCACCAAAAATTAGCATAGAAAAGAAAGTGTTGATCTTAGGATTTGCAATTAATTCTAGCGCAATTAATTTACTATACTTAATGATTATACGCAGTTCTACGTCTTAAATTATAATATTGAATAAAAATAAAAAAAAAAGAAAAACTACACTTATTGGCCGAAAAAAAATACCATCAAAATCAATATTGCCATCCTTGTCTTTGTCCGCGGCATCAAACATTGCATTCAATTCATCATCTGTTGGACATTGGCCCATTTTTACCATCACCGCATTCAATTCATCTTTTTGTATGTATCCATCACCATTCAAGTCAAATTCTTTGAAAATTCCTCTCAAATCTTCTTCTTTTAACTCTCTATTACTTGCATTCTAGAAGAATGATTTTCTTCTCAAAAGGTAAATAATTATGCTAGTATTATTGATTCATGGTTCCTTTCTTTTCTTTTCTCCCAAAAAAAAGTATGAAGAAGAAAGTTGTTCTATTCAAACAGAATTGCAATCAATATTATTAGACATGATTTGTTTGAAAACTTTGAGTATCTCTGAGCTAAATTTACAATCTTATTCATTTGAAGAAATGAAAACGATGTGATCAGAGAATGGTTCATTCTCCCTCCCATCAATATGCATATTATTTTAGTTACGTTAAAATAAAAAATAAAAAAAGCTAAATTGAACTTGACAATCACTGAAGTAAAATATTAAGAAAACAGTGATGGAAAAACCACACAAAACATAATTTATAACTTTCACGCTCATTATGTGAGAAAAAGATTATGTTTATTATTCCATTTTTAGCCTTTTCCTTTTCCACATATTGCCATTGCCATTATTTATTATTATTATTACTATTACTATTATTATTATTATCATTATTATTATTATTATTATTATTATTATTATTATTATTATTATTATTATTACCACTACTTTTATTATATTAATACTAATCATTACTATTAATTATTATTACTTATCATTATTTGCTATTGTTAACTGTACTATTATTGTTAACACTTATTGTTTTTAATTAATATTAATCATTAATATTAAATTACTATTAGTTAATACTAATTATTTTACTGTAGGAATCGATAGCATTACTGCTCTGCTTACATTAATCTATCATTGAGTTGTCATTATTCTAGATATCAACCAAAATTAAAAAAATTTAAACCTGAATTTAATTATCATTTTAACTCGAAATATTTATGCAAATAAACCTTGCAATTCGTATGCTTCACATCAAGTTTTAAAGTTTACGAACAAAAAATAACATGATTACACTTTTTTAAAAAAGAACTATTTGCTTAATTACAGGAGTCTTTAATCTGTGTTATTTATTATTGAATGACGCTGACTGCTAAGGAAATAAATGCTTACTAAGAAGTACTCACTCAATAACGAATCAAATCTTTTTTTAAAAATTACTATGTTCGTTTTTTACTTCGATTGCTACAAAGATGTTCGCTTATTCTCAAATCATACATGCATGAGATTCATGAAGACACATGTCATTCACATTCCGTAACAAGAATCGGAAATCAGACACAGTGCAACAGTTGATTTGTTTTATATTTCATGGAATATGGTTTATTGGACTTTGACACAGCTACTGATTGCCAGTCAACAATCACGATGAAGCGTCAGTGATATAAATCATGGATTTGTAATTTTGTTAAGAATATCTAAGATAAATAGAGGGAAATTCAGCTATAACCGAAGCATTTGTTACAGATACAATGCTCTGAAATAAGTTCATAAATTATATTAATCATCGTCGGTTATTCTCAGTGATTTACTTCCTGCAATCAAAAAAAAACCATGAAAAAGAAGTAAAATAATGATTCATAAATAATTACAAATTATTTTCTCTGAGCAATTTTTGTTTCTATGCAATAGTAATTTGAAGAGAAATGTGACAAGGGGTAAACATTCCCGTGTGTTTTATTATACTTAAAATAGAGTTTCCTTGCTGTTTGTTTACTTTATTATTGCAATATTTTGAAATTACACATTTAAAGAAATATGATGAACGAAGTGAAAATATTTTTCCTTGCTTTTTAAATCCCAGAAATTCATAAAACTTATGTTGTCTACCAATTAAAATTTCCCATTAATTTAATGTAAATCGTCGGGGAGTATTTCATTTACTGTCATCAATCACGAAAGATTTCGCGGAGTAAAAGGAACATTCCCCCCTTATCCATATATATCAGCAGTCCCACTGACTACGACTTCAATGTAAATAATGACTTGAATAGTTTTGCTTAGCAACTCATCGTGCAGGACATGGGTATCTGCTAAGGCCTTCTAAAGTAATCTTTCGTGAAATGTATATTAAATTAAAAATAGAATATAATTTCGACATTATTACGTCAGCTGTGACCATAGATATTTGAAATCGCATAACGATGAAACGACTTTTTCCCTCCATGTTAATTTTAATTTTTATTTTTCAATGTTTTAAATGGATAGTACATCGTATATTAGTTTAAGTAAACAAAGTTGCTTAGTCTAACCAAAGAATTTCAATACTAAAGCTAACATGTATATCATGTATATCAACATATATAAGATATATAAGAGGCCAAAAATGCTTAGATTTCCCAACTAAACTACAATTGTCTTAGTATGTGCTAAAATTAGTTTGCTGGCAAACAGTCTCAATATTCGTCTGATCTGGACCGCAACTAATAAAAGGAGTAATACTGCTATTATTGATCATCGAGAGGTTGATTTTCTTAAATAACATGTTCAAGTACTTCACAATTTATTTTCTTGAAAGACAAGTTCATTCAATAATCCTAATAATTCTGCCAACATGCCAAGTTTTAGCATCGGTTTGAAGTAGATGCATATGCAGCTCATTACTGCAATTAAATAAGCTATCGGCATAGCACTAAAATATTGTTTTCATTATAAAATAAGAACGAAAAGAACAGAATTTAATTCTAAGTTTTTAATAATTTTACGCTGAAATCAAGAATCAAAGGGTAAAATACGGAGAATTTGCATGAATTACATTCTGTGTCTCCTCATGAAGTAGTACTTCTATTATGCAGTTTTAGAAGCTTACCTTCTGCTATTTTAATTATCAATCATTCGATTTCAAGGGCAAAATCTCTCGATAGAAAATAACAAACATTATGTTCCGAAATTTCTGCGAGCAAAAAAAAAAAATGGTACAGATGAAAAGAATGTCGTAAAGTGCAGATACCTACAGACAGTTAATAACGACACCGACATATTCAAAAGTAATTAATTGCATCACCTTATTAAAGTTTTTTATCGAAACTAAAGAATGTTGATGTTTACAGTAACCTGCTTTTGAGATGATAGTTTTAAATCATTTTAAGTGGAGTGACACTGGAAGCAGTTTGTGTAGCGCTAAAAATTAAAGGTAATGGGTGATAATAACTGCAAGTAATACTCACCTGCTGAGTATTTCTGGACCTGGAGTTCGAGGAACAACATATGCCCATACGTGTAGGTGTGAACTGTCTGTGATACTGCTGCAGCTCGTGTCCGTCAAGCGAGCACCAGGGGCACAATACCAGTTGTGTCGATCTGTTTAAGACTATGCGTTTGAGATGGTCGACTATCGCAACACCTTCCACGCCCACCAATCCCATTCATACCTACTAGGTATTGCATGCAGCCGCACTGAACGCCCCAGCAAGGACTCATCCTAATGTCTTTAAACTTTCACTGCTTGCCACAATAACTGCAAGCTTAGTAGCTCGGGGTCGCTGCAAAACAAAGGCAACAGCAACATTTCTTACACGTTCGAAACTGTTTGTGATATCATGTAAGTTCATTTAATAGTATTATTCAAGAATTGCTGATCATTGCATTGTTTAGATAGCAACAACAGCAAACAACAAATAACAAACAACAGTGACAGTAACAACAAACAAGAACAACAACGGCAAACAGTAGCAACAAACAATAACAAGCAACAAACAACAACAGCAAAACCAACAATAATAAACAATTAGAATAAATAGCAACTACAAGCAGCAATAATAAACAGTGAAAACAGACACAATGAGAACAGTGAACAACAATACACATAACAAACAACAGCAAGAACAAAAAACAATAATAATTGAAACAACGAGCAACAGCAAATAACAACTAACAACAATAAATGGTTTTATATGAAGTGGGGCATTTTTAAAGGAAAGAAAAATTGCAACAAAAAGGGAAGACATAGTATTAAAAAATTGAAGACAATGGGAAAAGTTCGATGTAATCATCAACTACCACAAATTTCTGCAACCTGTATTAAAGGATAAAAGATCTAAAAAAGAATGCAGCAACTTTCATTCAATAAAAGAAAGGACATAGCTGATGAAAAATCATTGTCCTAACGATCTTTCCTCGTTGTATGAAATTTCTGCATTTTTATGTCTATGAAATGTCTTTCCGATTCCCATTTTTATGATTTAATTAGCGAGATCATACTGAAAAGAATAATGACAACATTTCCACGGGTATATTTACATATGACTAAACAAAATGACTATTTTTCGTCCAAGTATTTATATAAAAACTTAATTCGTACAAATGAATTTCACAAATATTATTGTTATCGATATCATATTTGCTAGGGTGATAGTGCTATGTTGTCAGAGAGACTGAAAAAGCAAAGTTATGCATGAAAATTAATTTTGTCAGATTTGATCAACACTAACAACATATACTCGACACTGAATTTGACTGATTAATTAATAAAATATCATTACAAATATGTCAAGTGTTAACCTTCCAAGAGATAATAAGAGAAATAATGCAGCTCAGAAGCTCTTACAACAATGATATTCGGATGCGATAAAAGGTGGAAATATTTGTTAATAAAATGCAGTAAATTTCATGGAAAATGACTTTAATGAGAGCTTTTTGTGGAATTTATGAAATGAATAAACCCTCAAGAATTGTTGTACCGTTTGGGACTTTTGACAACTACATTTAAGACTTTTTTTCATTAAAAATGGCATTTAGTTGAGAGAAATTGCAATCAGATTAAAGATTGAGGCCAGATGTGTCAAAAACAAATTAATAATTATAACCCATCCATCAGGATTGATTTCACATTTCCAGTGGATTGTTATATGAAGTTATGATCTAGCAAAAGCTGAAGTATTTGTGGATTTAAAGAAAAAATTAATTTGGTTTCTGCATTACTGAAAAAAAAAGCTGATTGTCACTACGGGTTACAGGTAACTAATTAATTACCCAGTAGAACGCTTTTTGGTTTCTGAAAGAAAGAAAGTGAAAAGTTTTTTATGTTGCTTTCATACGTGTGAGAGAATATTTTTGTTTGTTTCCGATCAGTATCCAAAATAACTGCAGAAAAGTCAATTAAAATAAAAAATATTATGCTATAATAGTATTATAATGTTATTTTTTTTCATAATGCTATGTTTTATACCATTGCTAAAAATATTCTTGCTGGATAAGATTGGAATCGAGTTCATGGATGCATTCAAGATAAGTTGCTGTCAATCAGTTTTGGGAACTGATAGCAATATGATAATTGAATTGTAATTCCGCAGAATATCATTCATCAACTTCAAAATTGTTAAGCCACTTCGACCAGTCGCAGCTATTTTCATCATTAATTATCCGAATTGTATAAAGATTTTACTAATCTTACTCCCGTAAAACTCTTTTCTGCCTGTTTGATAGATTCTTTCAGTTTTAAAAGTAATTTTAAGAATTCCCCGAAAACTAGCGTTACAGCAGGATTCGCATTAATAAAATTTATGTTCTTGTTCGAAGAAATAAAACCAGCTTTTTCAGTAACATTTTTGTAACACATTGTTATGAACGATTGTAAAAGTTATTAAGGAAAGAGGAAGTAGTGAAACTTATCAGTCTGATAAAAAAGATTCTGGACATCCATAAAATATGCACAAAGATATTATTAAGATTATTTGCAATAGTTCGCAAAAAGTTTCTGGAAGAGCGAATGACTAGAACGAATCCTGAACTTGAAGTTAGCTATCTAAGTTGAAATACCAAAGTAATTAAAAGAAATTAATAAGATCACTGACTAAATAATAATTAATAAATTAATGATGTAAAAAAATGTAACAGAGCAATAGTCACTAACACTAGAAAGAAAACTTTAACTTATCAACGAAAAAATGCCGGTATGAAATTTGTGTCGCGGATTTTAATATCGCGATCTAAAAATATGAGTTGCAAATTGTAGTAAAGATATCTACGTAATTTCCGCAAATAATGCTTATACTTCGGACTCTTTGTTTCCAAATTTATGCTTCTACATATTGAAACAATTTACATCGTTCTTTGTTAGCAATCCTTACAATCATGAGGATATCTACATTGTTCTTTGTTAGCTATCATAATCATGCGGTTATCTAATAAGCTCTTTATTAGCAACTGGTGCCCATGCAAGCACCTCCTCTCCTTTGTTTCGATCATTGTCTAACATCAATGTAGATTTATAACCATACTATTGTCAATTAGGTCAGTTTTAAAATCATCCAATCCTCCGAATCAGTTTTACTCAATTGTTGCCCAAATATTTAGCTGGCATCCAACACATCTCCCTGACATCAAACTTCTCCCCCGAATAACAATTTAACCAAATCATAAAGGTTTGTTTCCAAAAACATTTTTTTGCTTCCACTACAATTTTGGTGCCACGAGCCGGGACATGTCCGACAGTATAAGAAAAGGAAGCGAATTATCGAAGTCGAGAACTCTAGAACTTCTTAAAGAAGCAAGTGAACTCGATCTGACCTCCCCGTCTCAAACACTATCACGAGGGGAACTTCAGCATCAATACGAAATTAAATTGCGAATCGTCAAGGAGAAGATCGCACATCTCGAATATTATGCTGGGTTACTCGAAACAGCTAATCAAAATTGGCTGGATAATATTCAGAGCTTGACAATAGCAACGAGGAGAAAGGAAGAGGAGACGAAATACGCCAATATGGTTGACGATCCACAAGGTATTTTAAGTTTAATCACTAGAACAAGAGAAACTATTATTACCCTTAAATTACATACTGATGAATATTGCTCGGTACTACAACATTTAAAACAAGAAGAGGTCAAAGAATCATTTCCAAAGAATAGTATGATTCACACAAATCAAGCAGAAATAAAACTTCCTCAATTACCACTAATAACGTTTAGTGGGGATCCAAAATTGTGGAGGCAATTTTGGTGTAGTTTCAAGGCAGCAGTCCATGAGCAAAGCATCCCAGATATTCAAAAGTTAAACTATCTGATATCATGTCTTAAAGGAGATGCTTTGTTATCTGTAAGAGGTTATGATATAGCGCCAGAAAACTACGATGTTATAATAGGTTTACTAAAAGAGAAATATGGTAAACCTTTCCTTATAAAGAAATCACTCTACAACGAGTTGAATACCATCAAAAAAAATGACCGAGAGTGGAAAGCAACCATAGAAGCCATGGAGAGAACATTTCGACAACTGGAAGCTATAGGTGAAAATTTAGAGCATTCAAGCATCGAAATTACAATTGAAAATAAACTACCAGCGTGGATAATTGATAAATTATACCAATTGAAAGAGGATTCGACGAGTTGGTCAGTTAAGGATATCCGGCAGTACCTGACAAAACTAGTTCTAAGAAATGAAGAAGTTGCTAGAAGTCAAGCAGACACAAGGGAGAAGAAAACAAACAAAAATAATGTTAGAGGCGAAACGTCAGCTTTCGCCACAATCAACCAAACAAAGGGAGATAATACAATCAAATCAAAAAAGGTTCCAGGAAAAATTTCTATAAATGGGAAAAGGAAACCATGCGTATTTTGCAATAAGGACCACTGGAACAATGAATGTAACATCTATCCCACTCTCAAACTCCGGATGGAACGTTTGAGAGAAATCACTGCATGTTTCAAATGTTTACGAAAAGGACATGCAACAAGTGATTGTAAAAAAGGGAAACCTTTGTGTTTCCATTGTAAAAGTCCACACAATACAGCACTGTGTCCCAACAACTACAAGGAACTCACGCAAGCAGTGGATTCCAACAAAGAAAGGTTGGGTTCAGTCACAATCGCTAACTCCATTACCGAAAAAGGAAATCAATGGAAAAAGCGAACCTTACTGTTATGTAAGGAAATAAATGTAACCAATCCAAATCGCCCAAAAATCCAACAAAAGGCTTTAATTCTATTCGATATTGGTTCTCAATTATCGTTCATATCAAAGGATTTGGCTTATCGATTGAATCTACAAGAAACTAACGAGATGGAAATAAAAATTGCTTCATTTGGTGATAAGACGCCAAAAACGTGTATCACTACTAAAACTGAAATCGGAGTAAAAATTGGAAATAAAGAAATAATCCGATTAGATGTAATAACAGTTAACCACTTGACGAATGAATTGCAAGTAGTTAATCTAAACAAAAAGGAATTGTTGATGATAGACAAACGAAATCAGTTTAGTAATTTCAAAAACAAATGGAAACAACCGGACATACTCATAGGTGCGGATCACTTCTTCAAGTTTATCCAGTTTGACCAAGCAGAGAACTTAAAATCAGGATTTTCATTGATCCATACAAAGGTTGGACCTATAATAGCTGGAAGTGGGTATATAAATGAAATACAC